TTGATAACTAAGTTGAGCACGAAGCTCCTATCTAATGGCAGACATGCCAGTCTTATATAGAACCTTCGTTCTCCAAATCCCAAATGTCGACAGCGCGCTCGTCGTGCTGTCGCGCGCGACAATTCGCTTGTCGCGCTGTCGCGCTTTTATCACGTGACTATGAATGCTATGAAATCCTTGGATACTCAACAACCCTGAGTAACCACTGCTATGATATAACTACTCTGGATGTATCTGTCCTGTTAGAACGCCGTTTGGACTAACTCGTCACATGCTAACACGTGATTCGTGACATCCAACTCGCTTGTGGACTACGTTATATAAAAAAGATATATAAAAAGGTTAGGTTTAATACCTTATTCGCTAGAAAGGATATAAACCTAAAAAGGACTAATAGTTAAATATTAAAGACCTTAGTAATACTTTAGAGGTTATTTAAGATTTTAAGATTACTACTTATAAGATTATTCTATAATAAGCGTAATAAAATTGTCACGGATGCCAACAAAGGATAAAGTGTATACAGCTTTTGAATCAATTGCTAGAACTAAAACCGTAGGTACGAAGAAATCAAACTAAAGAGAGAAGAGAATCTGAAAGGAGCGAAGTTATTTAAGTTGTTCCAATGCCAAGTCTCGTCACGTGCTTGGCCAAGCGAATGAAATCCTGTCAAATGAAATCCAGCTCCGTCACAAAAATAACTTTTCTTTTGTTTGGGATAAATATATTAGATTCGTATTAGATTTAAGATAAATTACATCACTTTTTAATAATCTTTATATATTTAGTTCCTAAAAGAAAGGACTAGGTTATTTATTTCTACGAATAATAAGTCTAGACTTTTATTATAATTAGTAGATATATACTTAGTATTATCTATACTTATTTAGAGTCTATACTTAATAACGCTAGAATATTATCTTTTTCTTTTTACAAAGTAATTATTATAGAACGTACTAAAGTTTACCCCTTTGTTTACTTAGTATATAACCCCTATATTAGGCGAGTGTCACGAATCACGTGCACACGTGACAAGTGAAGACCAGACGGCGTCATGACAAGCCGAGCACATATGGGCCTGGGAGCTTTATGTGTTCTGGGAAACCAAAGGGAGTTTTCTTATGTAAGCAGGAGCCGTTAATTGGTTGGATAATGTATATGGATGTATACCTTTACCAACATGTTGGTCACGTGATAGTCGACCTGTCGACCTGGTCGACAGAGTTGGTTGTCAACCAACATTCCTTAGTAGTAGTATTCTGAGAACGAAGGTTCTATATAAGACTGGCACGTCTGCCATTCAGATAGGAGCTTCGTGCTCAACTTAGTTATCAATCTTATCATATTAGTTTGACATCTTTGATACAAGTAACGAGTTCACTTCCAAGTGAACAACCCGATAGTCTTCTTCTTATCATAGCATACCAACCAGCGAACACCCAGCCAAGTTTAGTTAGCCCGTTTGAGTATTCGTTACAAAGAGCTCCTATATTAGAGTACTACTTTACCTTAGCTAGCTACTTTTAGATTATCTACTTTTTATAGCTTATTCTAATAGTCTCCTATTTTGTCCTTAATAATTATATAAACTTTTAAATATTAGAATATCTTTAATATAATAAGATATAAGTAATATAGTTTTAATTAGAATAAAGTATATATTTACTTTACTAATAATAATAGATATTTTAAAGGTAAATAAGATTATTTTTATCTCTTAATATGAAGTATATAATCTATATTTTAATTAAATATATTTTCTTCAAAACGTATTCTTTAATCTATTTAAGAAAAACTAGTAAATCTTTCTAGAAATATATATTATGAAAAAATAAGTAAATATTTAGAGATTCTAAACTAATAGATTTATCTAAATATTTATAGAAATATTTAATCTATATCTTTATTTAGCTTTTCTCTAATAAACTATTATTATTAAATTAACTATCTAGGAAAATATTTATAAAAATAACTAAAATAAGATATAAATTCACTTAGCTATTCTTTAAGTAACTATTAATAAACAACATTACTCTAATTATTTAAGAAAATATTTTCAGATATAACTCTTTAATGTAAATATACATTTTAATCTTTTTTCTAAAACTAATAATTAATAAATTTACTTAAAATATTTAGGAGAATATTTTTCTAAAGAGTACTTTCAAATAACTAGTAACTTTAATTATAATGTAACTAAATTGTTTTTACTGATTACAATTTACTAAAAGAATTTACAAAACTTCTTTAAGTAACTTAAATATAGAAAGTAAGATTATATGCTAGACACGTGATCTGATAGCCCCTATTTGCAGGCGAAGAATCAAAAGTTTTTAGGCGAAGAAATCAGGGTTCATAATCAAAGTACGCTCACAAATCGAGTTCTCATTCCGAAATGCTTCTAACCTCCAAAATCTCTTACGACATTTGTCGATATACGGCCAAATTCTCCAAATATTCTGCCCCTTGAGCGGACAACGGCTCTTCTGCCTCCAATTGAGCCTTTATCTCCACTATCTCCCGGCCAAATCTCTCCCCAAAGTACTCCACCCAGCTTTCATCATAAGACCCAGTGAAAGCCACTTCCCTCAAGTCCTCCAATTGCTCCAATTGCTCCACGGCCCACACCATATCAGGGTCCGCGCCCCCTCCCAAACGTCCCTCCTCCCAGCTCTCCACATCACAATCCCAATAAATGGCGATTACCGCCAAATGGGTCGCTCTTTCAGCAAGCAGCGAGAAAAAATCGCACTAAAGGTGCCCGGTAAGCGGCTCGTCGAACTTGAGCCAATTGTACTTTGGCTCGACGTAAACTCGCAAGGTGGTGATCTCCGCCGCATTTTCTTGCCCAATCTCTCGGAGCCAATTCAATCCCTTCAATGGGTCTGAGATGAAGAAGGCATGGCCCTGATAGTACAGGGGGTCGACGATGTTGGTTGGGAGGGCATCTCTGGTGATATCGACGTACTTCGTGGTGGTATTTTAATGGTAAATCAGTTTCTAGATAGCAATTAGCTCATGTATAGGTAGAAGTAAAAGAGGAATTTACCTTTCTACTGACGATTCGAAGCAGTTAAGCAAGGTACAGAGTGGTAGTTTCAAAGTCGAGCGATTTCGGAAAATTGCGATGATACTTGGTTTGAAGCTGGTCAAAAGTTCAAAAATCCAAATCGGAAAGCTCTTTCTGTCAAGGAGTGTTCTGGGTTAATCTAAGCGAACTATCGCGCATCCAAATCGCTCAAGCGAGGTTTTTTTTTCATGCGGTCGGTTAAACCTTACCAGAGAGATTTACTCTGAGCGTCAACAATTAATCCTATCTGTGCGCAATGCTTCAAAAGAGACCCCTTGTGCTGGTAGCAAAGAGAGAAAGAACATTTGGATACACAGAGAAGCTTGTATCAATGAAATAATCACTATAGGATAACTCGCTTAATTTTTTGCAACAATCCCCTATCCGCTGCTTGAGTTGACCTGTTCTGTACTCATTCTAATTTCCAACGATAGAAAAGTATGATATTTTTTACAGTAATTCATAAGGTCTTTTGCTGTCGAAAAGGGGTGGCAGGGCAGAGAAAATATTGAAGGTGAGCTCGACCTTGGAGCTACATCCCTGCCCCCCGCAACATCCGCCTGGAGTCCTATAAAATCCCGATGGCTACCCGTACCGGCCGCGAGAACGACTGCCTAAATCCATTTGGCTCCTAGTGAAGACAATCTTCCAAATTTCTTTCTTCCCAATCCATCTAGGAATTCAGTGTTACAGTATCAAATCGAGAATATGAGGCAAAATATACATCGCTGAGCTCATCATTGTTTGTTGCTGCCATTGAAGCTACAAGTTCGCAATGTCATCTGTACTAATATACTAAACTCTTGATCTAGTTTCAAAGGCACTTCGGTGGCTCTCACCTCTTCCATGGACCATGCCCTCCTAAGTGACGGTTGGCAAACAATCGGGCCAAACTCAGTACATAGCCACGTGATAGCTACAGGAATATTGTTAACCCACTCTGCTTCGTGACGGTATTGCGCTTTTGTATTTCGATCTTAGGCTTTGAGGCCAGCAACAAGGCAACAAAATATACGAAGCACCGTATCCAATGCTCCTTGCTTCTAGTGTCTCAGACGTATGAGAGCTACACAATACACATGCACCCTTTGAGTAGAAAGGTCTTGCAAGAGATACGCCGAATGAATAGCCCCAATCAACGAAAAGCTAGTTCGTCTGATTTTTGTTTCTTTCAGAAGTGACATAGTCAAGGATAGTTTCAATTCCATCAACATACTAATTAATCCAAATATATAGACTGCTTAAGTATTACGTACGTTTCCGAGATGTATTTCATGTAGTCCGACGATGCCAGAATTAAACATTCTCGACAGAAAAGTTATCTATCATCCATGAATTAAATGAACGATTCTCGGTTCTGATATCTCAGCAATCCACTATTAGCCAAGGCCCGTCCTCTTACAGTATTGCGATACCTTCTCCCAATGTACTAAATGGCCCCTTCTGTGTCGAACCCATCCTGCATATGCTATAGAGCTAATACCGACTGCTATGGAACTCACGCTGGCAATCCACATGAATTCCTCAGGTTTCCCCAAGAAAATGCCCATCAGATGCTGACACAGCTCAAAAAATGAAACAAAGCTGTACTCAACACCAGTAAATGTCGATAGAGCTTGAGGAGGATTGAGGGTCTGAGTTAACTGTTGAGTTGTAAGATCAAAAATCCAGAGACCCAGTCGTGATAGAGATAGGAAGGCAAAACGTAAAAGCTTGAAGAGGGAACGAAATGACTGGTGCTAAATCACGAGTTGCGAACGTCGATGGCGAAGGAGCTGGTGATAAGAGCCAAATGGCATACAAAACGGGAACCTGATCGTGTCAGCTTACAGTGTTGGCATCAAACAGGAATGGGGTACTTACCAAGCAAAGCAGTTGCGATGTTATTCCCCAGTCCCAATCTTTGTAGCCCTGTCTCTGTCATCGAGTCTATATCTGACGACTCGGAGGTGCTTTCGAGCAGCTCCAAGTCATATTCCTCATTATAGCTCTCCCCAACATGAATAAAGTCATGTCGTTTTGCCTTTCCTAGATATCGAACACCGACAGGTGTCACAAACGTACTGCTTATCTCCACGATGCTACCACAGGCTCTAGCAGCTGTTATGAGGCCCAAAGAAAATCCAGAACCAAGTAAAAATGTGATGAATGTTGCGCCATAGGAAAGCGCCGAAAGATGGAGAAGAGCGAGGGAGAAAGAAGGGATTCATACTTGGGAGCGGAAGTAACTACGAAAGTTATTTCCGTATAGTCGAACTATTTGCGAAGTCCTTTCAGCAAAAGTTATTTGTGCTTCTTCGCCCACTTCTCTTGTGACCCTTGCACTGGTTCCAATGTGTCTGACCTTGAGGACTCTCAGTCTCGAATTACGATTCCAGACTCGCTTGGCGCACCATAACTCGACCCCCCAGCTAAGGGCATTCATAGCGGCAACCACCAGTATGCCAATCCTCACGCTAGTAGTCGATATAGTGACAGATATCATGATGGGAGCTAGAAGCTTACAGGTGAGATCGATCCTTCTCATTACCGAGTTTAAGTAAGTCAAATTATATTTCATGTGAGTCGGATCCGCAGCGGTGGGAACAAAATCTCGTTCCATGGAAAGTATGTTTCCATTCGCACTCAAAGTCTCAATAACTCCAAGGAGTAGAATGAGAGAAAACATCCCATTTTTCAGACCTGGTGTAAGCTTGAGTTGGAAACCCGAGGTTGAGGAGGCCTCATCATTCAAATTGGCTGATTCTGCAATGCCGAGCAACAAAAGACATAATAATATAACTGCAAAACGATTGAACGAAATAGTTGTCGACAGTGTTTTCATGCGGTTTGGGGACCCATCGACCCATCTTCCCACAATCGAAGAAAGGCAGATAGACACAACAGTTCGGACAATTCCCCTACACAGATTAGCAAGACATACATTCTATACTCCAGTGACCGGTTATGGTTGAGAGAATTTACCGTATCGATGAAGCAATTAAGGTGTGTGGATATGCATCTGCGGTAAAAATGATCTGGAATGTTAGTACATTTCCTACTCTTGGCATGAACGAACATTCTTACCGCCGCAAACTCCTATGAAAAGGTTAGTATAAAAGACATGAGGGCATAGTACCGGTCGCAATGTGTGGAGGCATAACATACATAGCTTCTAACATTCCACGTGGAAAGGAAGTGACTGTCAAGAAGACGGTTTAGCTCTTATCTGCCGGTTCAGATTGCGTGCTCCAGATGCAGAAGTTCATGAATGACGATGGGTATTTTTTCACATATTGTTTTCCCCAGAAAGTCTGGTGATGCAACGAACCTCGTGTACAGATTTATGGCTTGAGACCGACTCATGCCTTGTACTTGTGTCAAGTTTGGTGTTGAGGGAGATGAGGGGTCATTGATCAATCGTCCCTCTTCCTCCGTGCGTTGGTCAAAGTCTTCGTGGTCAACCATTGCCCCGGATCTAAAGTCTTGGCTGTCGACGTCGTCAAGATGCGATAAGATCTACCAAGCAAATCGGGTCAATGTACATGTTTAGAACGAGTTTCAATAGCTTGTGAAGTTCTTATGGTGAACAGAAACAATTTTATGCCAAGCCCCGAAATGAATGGACTATTGCCTGCACGTGACTTGATATCAGGACGCTGATTCGCCAATTGCAATTGCACCTTTATTTCTGAACAATTAAATTGACGATATGTAAGTCTCCTGTTTTCTACTTGTCAAGGGTTACGGGGAACTTCGGTCTCTTAGGGAGTCCTTTAGCTTAGTCTAATATAGCTGAACCACAAGTTATGAATCTATGTCGTAGAAATTAAAATAGCTATTTCGTTTTCTCAGAATGTCATAATAATTGGTTTGATCATCGTTCGAAATATTGAAACTGATTGTAGCTATGAATTAACTTGGTATAGAAGAGCGCTCTTTACTACTGCCATTTCTGCACACAGCTTGATGGGCTTCATACAGTACTAGTTACCACAAAGATGGAAATATGTTTACTATGAAATAAGTAGGTAGGTCCATCTAATTGAACCAACTTGAGAGCCAACCCTAAATAAATGAATTACCTATATAAACATCATATCTACGAATCTTTTTCCAAACAGATTACTTAGGTGATCAGTTTATATGATAGTGTATCACATGTGGCATTGCGCAAACTGCACAGACACTTACGAAACACATTGAATATCAAATCTCTGTTGTTCACAAAACAGAGCCACTCTTCCTACTTTGTAGTTACTTTTTGCTTCCTCCCTCCATGACTTCTTCATTTGCATTTGATGTGTTTTCAAGTACATGTTTGCTGAGTAAGTCTCGCCCTGTCAGTAGTATTTTACTGTTTTAGTGCAACTACTCGAGTACATATCCATCCTTCCTCACACCTCCGTCTTTTACTACATCGACTTTGGTTGCTTGACTAACTAGCTAGTCTTTGGATTTCTTGGCACTTACTTGCCAAGATGAAACAGTACTCGTTTTTGGCTATTTGCTAATTGATAAGGTTTGCCTTTAAGTGCCAACCTCTCCTCCCTGACTTCTCTTTCGCTAGAGGCTCACCGTTCGCACTGTTCTCTTCGGGGCGAGGTGTGGCGGAGACCGCTAACATGTTATTAACCCCAGCACACAGGGCGTGCAATGATTTCTTAGGCTATACCCAATTGTCTAGAGTTGTAATCATTTCATCAGCAAGACGATACCAGATCAGATAATGCGAGTCACGAATGACAGATGTCTCCATGACAGTTTAAAAACTATTCCGAATACAAGTACTCCATCTCATACTAAGTAGTCTTTTCTGATTCAGCTGTAAACTCAAAAGTGGTAGTCTTCGCATACATACGCGTACCTTTTTCTCCATATTATGATAAATCATCTCTAAGGGAAATTTGTGGGACGTGCATGAATGGTACTAATAAGGTATAGTAAAAGTTGGGAAGATTACATTTTAGGCTACCTATAAATTAATCTTCTACGGGTCTTTCATTGCGCCATTTACTCACGTCCTACTAATTTCCCCCCAGAGACGATTTACAAATGAAAGTGATATAAAGTATACGAGCTAGATGTCTTCAACCCCTGAACCCGAATCTGACTCAAGTGATAGCGCCGAGGGAAGCGCACTGACTATTAGTTATTCAGTATTTTTCAGTCACTTAATCAGTCAAAATTCGCAGTTAAGTCAGTCAAAGTAGGGTTTTCAAAGTTCTCGGTATTCTCGGTACAGTCTTAAGTCAAAGTTTCGGCCTTTATAATAGTTAGGCACATTTCATATTAGAAGGAAGGAGCGGTGGGCGGTAATCCCTAGATTGGTAAATCCGTAGGGGATTCAAATCCTCCTACACCAGCTTTCCGAGTAGGCGCCTTACGAAGGTCCGTTTAGGTACTTATAAGAGGCAAATTAGGTCTAGGATTGTTAGGCAAGATGCCGTACTAGTACTGTAGCAGCAATTGGCAGAATGGTGGCCAAACCTAGACTCACGGGGGCTTCGTCATGTTTAGAGGGAGTAGCAGGTAATAGACTGAACTGGAACTCAAGGAGTATGTTTGTAGTCAAAAATAAGCTAGCGGCTGGTGTCCTTCGGGACTGGGAAACTTAGTGGAGCACAATATGACACTTTATCCATCATCTTTCTCTCCTATGCGAAGAAAACGTCAGAATTTGAAATAAATTACCTGATTCCCCCTGGACAACAAAAGTAGCCGAGAATACCCTTCCTCCTTCCAGCACAAGTTGATCTGGAGAACCTGAATACTTTAAATAATCTCAGGACCATTATCTTATTTCTGTTAGAGTTTTCAACTAGGTGTTTTAGTTGTTCTAAATAACCAGAATGATCGCTTGTATTAAGTCATGCTAATACCAGTAGAAGTTGATTCTCTACCACTTTTCTTGTCCACTGAAGTCTGAGGTATATAAAGGTTCTACACTTTGAGGCCGTTTGGACGAACCCCAAAGCATATTTCTACCATTCCGATACAATTCCAAGCCCCCGCACTATTTATAGTTGTAAGTTTGAAGGGGTATGGCCGCTAAGATCCCGGTACTTCCCGGGAATTTTCCCTACCCATGAAGCGATCTTTTTTTGACAGTCAAAACGTCCCCTGTAAGATCTTACATTAGAATTCCTTGGACAACACTCAGTGTGACAGCTTGAGCGCCATCTTGGTCGCGTCGAGTGAATAGATTGTTGATTGAAAAGAAGTAGTTGTAATGAAAAGCTGGAAATCAATTTTGCTTTGGCGATAAGTACCAGTAACAGTCTGGTCAAATCACCTAAGTGCCAGTCCCGGCAATCCGGGAAGTGTAATTTCTGCATGCGAAGAAAGGAAATGCATATCGGAAATGAGTGCATGAGGTATGCTCTCGTACAACCTATGAGTGAGGTTTGATTTACAATCTTCCAAGCAAAATCCACAAGGTAAAACTGGATTAAGATGTTCGAGTGAAGGCAAGGCTTCTTATCCAGCAAAACACCGGTAGACCAGAGTCAAAGAGTCTGGACAACTTGCGTCTCCCGCTCCCGCTCCCCTGTAAACGACTCGTTATGGGCAGGGTATAATCCTACTATATAACCTTCTAAGCCAATTGGATTGACCAATTCATGTGGAAATATATCAGAAACTGACAAGGGGGGTAAACCTGAGCTGTCTACGGGGGTACGAAGTACGAGTAGACTACGGAGCTTCGAAGTAAATTTACCATTAACCACGTGTGTCCTTCTGCTTTCGGCTAGCAAGTCTGTCAGGGACCATGGGTACCGAATAAAAGCACACTTAAAATCAAAACTCGGCCAATAGAAAACCCCACTTTAGTATGAGATTGGATGATCACTCTTACCCCTGCACAATCATCAGTTTAACATGGAAATCCTTAGATTAATATAAGACTTTTTTGTCTTATGGATCAAACATTGTCAGTGTTTGTAGATTCCGTCGTAGAAAGGGGATTGATTCATGGCATGGGTTCGAGGCCCAACAAATACAGATTGTATATAAGGTACATACCATTTTGACTCTGGAACCTAATATTTATTCACGCATTCCTTTCTCAATACCTACACATTCATTCATTCACTCCAGACGTGTCATCATGTCCGCTTACGCCCTTACCATCTTTCTCAGTGTGACTTCTGTGCTTGCACTTCCAGTACTACCAGGAGAAGATGTCCCATTCTCTCCTGCTGGTCCAGGAGATGGTAAGCTACTTCGAAAGAATCAGAAATACCATGAAGTAAAAGCTCATCCAGTTTAGTTCGATCACCTTGCCCCCTCCTCAACGCAATAGCCAACCATGGCTTCATTCCACACGACGGCAAAAACATCGACCTCACTACAATGCTCGACGGTATTGACAATGCGGTTGGCCTTCAAGCCACAGGGCGAACGTTCTTCGCCAACTCTTTTAACAGAATCGCCGCCGTATCCTCCACTGGAAAAAACACTACCATCAACTTGAATGACCTCAGCGTACACAATGTGATCGAACACGACGGATCTTTGAGTCGACTGGATATCGCGCAAGGAGACCATGTTTCTTTCAGCCAAACAACCTTCGATGAGACAAAATCGTTCTGGCCCGCTGAGAAAATCTCAATCAAAGATGCCGGCACTGCTGTGAAGAGAAGACAACAGACTCAGACGAGGGCCAACCCTCAATACAATCTCTCACCAGCACTACTTAACACTACCGTTGCACAATCTGCTCTGTATTTGGGACTTTTCGGAAACTTTGTCGACGGAAATGCAGACAAGGCTCAAACTGTCTTCTTTTTCGGTACGGTTTCCCTTTCTACTCCGTGTACTTAACGTATCCCTATGACTTTTTGCTGACTATTTTTCCCATCACAGAGAATGAGAAGATGCCATACGAGCTCGGATTCAAGAAGAAGGAAGGCGACGAAAGGTTCAGCTCAGCGGGCATTGCAGGCTTGGCTGCACTTATTATGGCCGAATTCCAAAAGGCTTAAATTGGATTGATGACGGATCATGCAGTATTTGGGGTACGACCTCTGTATTAGAAGTGTGTAATAATTATCTGGTAGCTTGGGTATAGGGCCTGTTTGGCGTTCTGATCGTTAATTTTTAAGCCATTCTTTGGGTTGTTCTAGAGAGTATTAATTTTATATTTTATCGTCCATTCGTCACGTCACAAAGCAGACTTATTGATGTGAAATTATCATAAACAAGAGAGTCAAGTATCGTGCGATGAGAACGATAATTGTGGTGTTGTTGACGGAGGAGTCCACTCGAATGTGGGATATTTATCCCACCGAGTTGCTTAGTACTGTAAGCACTTCCTCATTCACAATAAACCACTGCTAATTATTTTCATCACACCTACAGACATCAGTAAGATTTCAGAGAGCTGATTTTCGTGAATTTTTCCTCTACGATTCTACGAGAAAGTATCTTGTTTTTAGTCGGAGCTAGTGTATGAGTTAAGGCGAGGGCTTGAGTTAGTAATAGAATCGGGAGTAATCAGATACCACTTCATGGCTTCGTGCTGTGGTGTCTTTGAATGAATGGCTACGACTTTGTTGTGAAAGAGTCCTTTATCATAACTAGCAATTTGTATGAGTATTTCGCTTGGCAGTATTTCGTTTCTCGCGACCTCCACTTGAATCCTCTCATCTCGAATTAACACAATATTTCATCCAAAACAGTCCATATATGGAAATTACAACCATAAACTACAAACCTAACCGTTCTCTTCCCTCTATTCAGCGTTCGGCAACTGGAATTCCATTCCATTCCAGATACCCCCTCTAGAAGGATTCTATTCTAGAGGTATATATTCCATAGAATATACGGAATTTCCAGCTAGAATTTATTTTATAACCCGGAGAAATGTACTCCCGCTCCGTCGACTAATAGGAAGTCTCTAGGGCCCTATTTATATTAAACAGTTAGATAACAAGTCATATTACGTAAATGCCCCCCTAAATGTCTATATAGGATACGAGTATCGTAAATACTTCTAGAGTCAATTATAAAGGAACGTATTAGGTACTATTATATTTTCCTAGCTATTTACTTAACTCTCTAGGGTTATATAGCTCCTATAACCACGTGCTTTAAATAGTCTAGAATTCCATAGATTCCATAGAATTTTCATAGCCTACTGATAGACGGAATCTTTCTATTTTATATAAGCTCTGGAAGGATTCCAGATAGAATCCTATCTATAGAATTCCATGGAACTCGTTCCTTTTGCCGATCGCTGCCTCTATCTCGCAACACTAAACATCCCGCCCAGAGTTGACCAATCCTCCCATAGTGGACTACCAATACTGCTACCATCAGGGCCCTCGATTAACACATTGAACCGCCCAAGGAGCCCAGAGTCTTAACTCCGAGGAAGATATCAAGCAGCAACTAAAACTTGTTTCATCCTCACACTGCGCCGTCGCTCCAGCAGAGTGCGGACGAACTACTACGTACCGGTACCCCTCATCTGCCAATCTCAGTACAAGAGTCTACCAATTCCTAGATTGCTCGTCTGCCGGCAAGATCCAACGTCCATACACACCAAGAAACCCACCACCAGAACAGGAAAAGAAGAAGGAAAAAAAAAACCACCACCCCGTAGATCCAACGTCGATCCCGCCAAACCCAACAGAATCCGATACATTTTACTTACTGCCTTAGCCTAACGGACGCACCGTGACAGAAGATTTCGGGAAAAGAGCAAGGAACATTCCACAATCTTCTCTTCTCGAACTTCGAATCTCTCCGAAGCAGAGTCCACACCTTCTACGGGTATTTCGTCATAGGCATAACGAACATTGACTTTCCGGGGACTTTTGATCAAGTGGCTCCACCAGATACCCCGCGTGATCTCAACCTTTGTTATGCCTGGGATGAAATCACGAAGTTCTTCGGAGGCACCGATTCCCTTAGGCAGAAGGCACAGCACAGCATATCAACGCATTGCGCAATGAGTGATTATTATTGACAGGCATTTGCTCCCAGTAGTACCTACACAGTGGACAAACGTCGAAGACTCGAAGCTCGATAGCAAACCCCCATTTTTGACCCTGGCCACATAAACATCTCGCAAACAAGACAAAGGGAATGTTACTCGGCAATCATCGTCCATTGACTACATGCGTTCCTGGACTACCTCAGGACCCTGAGCCTATTCAAAGTTCACTCCTGCATGTTTTAAACCCTACATGCATTGCGGAATAGGCAGAGGTCACATCACACGACAGAGATAAGACATCAGGTTTCGAGAGAGCATCCAAAAAATGTATTATCTAACCACCAATAAGCGGACCTCTATAACACTTTCCCCCTCTTAAAAAAAAGAAATCCAAAAAAGAAATGGTAGTATCTTCTAATATTCAAACTTCCGAACTCTTCTCTTCAGAGAAGGAGTTTTCCAACCTCGAATCTTGAGCCAAAAAAAAAAAAAATGTGTACTCCACAATCGTCCGCAATTCATTGCGTGATTGTTCCGTCCTAAATGATGCCGTGTAAATCATACGTATATGGGGCATATATCTCCAACGCCCCTCATAATCCGAAAAAAGCAAAAGTAATAAGTAAATCCGACCATCGTCCCTGCCGCAAAGTCTTCCCATCAAGTAGTAGAATAATAATTCCCCGGTTTTCAACCGTTCCTCGTACTTCGTCGTATCCATCGCCCATTCGATCAAAATTTTGGTAATGTCTCCAGTCCTCGTCGCCATAGATGAAGTTGCTATGTTCGTTGATGTAAAGGAGATGAATTGGGTGTCGTTTATAGAGAACCCATTCGCTCCTCCAATCCACCCCAGTAGACAAGTGGTCTTGGTTCAAGAATCTCGAGCCCTGAGCCGAAGGACTTTCTCTCCTCTTCAGCGTGAACCAGTGATGGTTGACGGTGCATGATGGCGTGGAGTTGGGACGCTTGGGAAGAGGCGTTGGAGATGTAGGAGTCTCGGCTGTTGGACATCATTGAAGAGTCCGATGGCGAACGAGAGCGACGGAGAGAAGTGCGGATGCTGGAGAAGGAGAGGGATGAGAAGCGTGTTTTTTGCATCTTGACGGTATTGGAAGGTAGACTTGTTGAGTAGGTGAGAAGAGTTGATTGAAGATTGATCTTGTTGACGAGTCCAAAAGATAGGGGGAAGAAGTAGATATAAGATAGCTTCCAAGGTCTAGATTTGGGCCAGATAGGCTTGTGTAAGGATTAAGTTCGAAAATAGTTCCCAAAAGTCTAAAGTTGTTGGTGGGTGGAGTGCGGAATAATGCGTGTGGGGGTGTATATCGAAGGCACAGCCTGGTCGGATTAGATAACTGAACGAGTGTCAAGTCTTTTAGGTAGACCTTGTAAAACAAAAATACTTGACTTTCGCAGAAGAGGACGATGAAGGGAAAATAGAAAGATAAACAGTTAATCTAAGGCGGCGTGCTTGCCGTACTTAAGTGGCGACGCTCTCGCCGAATGTCACGCTAGGATGGTCCTGGAAATAGAATGGGAAGTTTGGAGAAGATGGAGATCGACAGGGTAAAAAACAAGCGAGTCTCAGCGAGTGCAGGGCCCAGGGACGATGACGGAGAAAAGTGACAGGCAAAAGGCCCAAAAGAGCTAAAAATGCAATAAAAGACGAACGTGCAAACAAATGATCCGCTTCTTGTGGCTTTCTGTCAATGCGAGGGATGTTACAGAATAGTGGGAACACACTCAGGAACCGTCTCAGCGGAGAAGGACGATAGAGCGATTTCAGGGGAGAGCGAAAACCTGCCGAGAATTGTGACGAATTCGGAGAGGCTCCGATAATTTGATGCAACGCAGCAAAACATCTGCTCCATATCCACAAAGTAACAAACAGTTTGCAGCACACTGGTGTGGAAGATCTGGATCTACTTCCTCCGCACTTGCTGGCTATTCCTGGAATCAGAGAGTCACGGTAATCTGTGTGAAGCATTTCGATCCAGCGTTGCCCCTTGTGTGAGGAAATGTCGAGATCGTTTCGGGCCTAGACAGCACTGCTATCGATCCCGTTATCGAGCGCGGACCTTGAGCTCGGTGAAGCCTGAATAACGATGGACCCCTCCAGTCCCTCACAAGGAGATCGCCATGCCTCTCCATTTCAGCCCTGGTGACGTCCCTTGAACCTCTAAGTTCGCACGCAGCACGCAGCAGATTACCGGGACCACCTTCCCAAATCCTCCCGCGTCGTCGAATCGATGCCACCAATTGAATAGGACATATCCGACTGTGCTTACTCTTCGATCGTCATACCACTACGTATAAAATCCCATCTCCTGATGATTCCCAACTCATGACGGCGAGACAAAAAACCCCCCAGACCCCAGACTCACGGACATCTTCAACATCCGTCAACAAACGGCACAAAATCACACGCTGCACCCACTCAGATCACCAGCCGCAACTCAACAATCCACAGGAAGCCGGTTTGATGCGCACCAGCCTGATCTTTTGGCTTGCAGCGTGATGTGTGATGGATGTGTGATGTGAAGGACGAAGGATGCAACCTTGAACCACCGTTTCATCGCCTCGCTTCCGGACTAGTGCCTCGCCGCCCCGCAAATAAGGGGCTTCATCACTTTTTGATACCGCCAAGCTCCTGTGGGAAGGAATACTGTGACAGAGCCTCAACCCGGTTGTTGCATCATTTTGATATCCCAGGTGAGCATTAATAACATACGTGAGGAAACAAAAAAAACACAATTTATGAACACAATCAACAAAAAACATGTCGCTGTTGAAGAAAGAGTTTCGAACGTGCATATCCTGATAATTGCCAATGTGCCCTTGGTGTTTTAATTTGAATGGTACCCTACCAGGGATTCCATTCTCCCGTACCGGTCAATAATTAATACGAAGGGAGAGATATTTGCACAATATCATTATTACCGGTTCATTCCAAGTAATGCCCCGAAAATGTAATGAGGGCGGAAAATAACCGACGGAAACAATTATACCCTCATTTCGAAAAATTGTTTCATAAATATTATGTTCTAATCGAAAGGTGATCTCGATCCCTCTCTCTAACCACCCAACAAACTCCCTAGGCTATGCAACAAATATACTGAGAAAAGGTCCCTCCCATCTAATTCGCCTGTCCCATCCCTTCCTAACAAGGGAAATGCCCAGGCCAGCCCAAAACCGGCTCAATTGATACACATCATACATAAAACCGCCCCATCACCATATTTGAGGTTCCAAATAACCCCATCACCATATTTGAGGTTCCAAATAACCCCGTCGCCCTATTTCTATTTACATACCTCTACTGATCGAAACAAGAAAAGTCATCATGAGGCCGTGATGTTCATTAACCCAAGTCCCTCCCAAAACCTTCCCTTCTATGCCAGCCGCACGGATCTTGTTGACGTTTTCCCCAACGTTTCGCAGAATAGCATTCCATTGGTCTGCCTTTTCCAATTGATGAATGATGAAATATCTTTAGAAAAGTTCTGTATGTTATCTAGGTTTCTCCTCTCAAGTGCCTTCCCTTCGATCGGGTCGTCTCGTCGTGAAACTCCGCCTGATGCTCTCTCCCCACGCTGAGGTCTCAAGTACTTCGAGAACATTCTCAGCGCTGACAGCACTTCCACGCCTGCTGCTTGTAGCCGAATTGGGGGCAGAAAGCTGCTGTTGATTTTCTTCGAAACTGAAATTTGAGTTGGTCGGTCGATGTGGTGAAAGTTGTGGTGATCGCTGCGGTGACCTCCCTGGGCTTGCCGGCCATGGGCTGGAGGGCGAGAGAGGACCGCCGGCGCTGGAGAACGACTCGGTCATGCGATTTCGATAAGCGCCATCCAAACCGTGTGTAATGAAAGAACTGCGGGGATCTACAATATCCATAGGTGAAAGTCGTGATGATGCATGCGCTTTTGCTTTTGCTTTCCTCGCAATCTCCTCTTCGTCATCCACATAAACCTCAGGACCAAGTTGTGGTACATCTGTCATGCGTCCCGAGCGTTTCTTTTCCAGGTGTTTCCTGAATCTACGTGACCAGTACCTAAACATGTATTGTTAGCAAGCAATAGTTGAGATTTTCAGCCGGTCATTCTTACATGGTATCGAAAAAGCCCAACACAATCCGCCTGCGTATCTCTTCTTCTACGCGTTGGAGTCGGGCGCGACGGCGTAAGAATTCCTCGAGCCTAAGAGGGTCAGACATATTGAACGATATTCTCGTTGGATTGACTTACTTTAAGCTCTTGCTATCGCTGATGACATTGTAATGAGCAAGAATCATCAAAACGGTTGTAAATGATATTCCCACATCTACCTCTGCTGATACCATGACTTCCTCATAGAACAAATTATAGCGCGCCCTCGCGATTCGAACTTTTTGGTGGTCAATCATAGCGAGACGTTTGTTCAGTGCCTTCAGATTGACCCCACTTGATCCGGCAGACCCGGTCATCGCAGAGATCCTACCAGAACTAGGCTGCGCCTGAATATCTTCCAAGATACTGCGAACAGAATGTTCTTGGTCGTATATCCGCATCTCAAACACACCGGATAGTTCTCCGAGTAGTCGAGGAAATTGTTCTTTGGTTATGAAGCCTGTTCCTTCGGGATCCAGTGTAGCCCAGGCTTGCTTGAAACGGCGAATTTCCTCTCTGCTGACTTTTCCGAGGCCACTAGAATGTTGATAAACATAACTGAAACTCTCGTATATCAAAGACACGAACAAACTTGTGAAGATATACATGCTCAGAATATTCCAAGCAATGAAGAGTGCCCGAGCCCAATTGGTGCTTCCACAGTCGCTATTAAAAAAACTTGCAGTATCCTTGGTGCAGAATGGTGGTTCTACTCCTGCAAAATCTTCCATAATTTCATTCCATCCTTCACCAGTCGACATTTTGAACAGCAGGATCAGTGCCTTGGGGACTGTTCTGAAGTTTAGGTTCCCAGTTTCCTGACTGGCAAATCGAGTGAGGCCAAAAGTCTGGGTCATGGCTATGGCAAAGACAAGGAAAAAGACAAACCAGGTTGCCAAGAGATTCCCAATATTTGTCAGACTAGCAGCTGCTGTCTTGAAAAGCTGATCTAGGGCGTCGTTTCGTGGAATTAAGAGAAGGACTATTGAAACCAGAAAGAGCTTGTGCAGTTGAATGTAAAGCTGTTTTTTGATATCCATCAGAAGGACTATGGTGGAAATAAGTGTTCCCACAACGGCGACGATGGAGAAGACATCCCAGGCACTCCGACGGAATCTTGACCAGCTGAGACCAACGATTCGTACCATAATATTCGCCAGATAGAAAGCTGTAAAGGCGAGGAAGACAAAATTCCGAGCCGTATCCCAGCCAGCTGGTTCTGGGTAGTATTCAACCAAGAGGATGACGAGATGTAGTACAAGAGCGATTGTTACACACCTCTGCCATCTCCCATGCTTTCTAACAGCCCTTTTGTAGCACCAGTCTTTCCAATTGCTAGTAGCAGTCGTTGACGGTCTTTTCGAAGGAGACACTTGTTTGAGGAGCTTTCTTAGTTCCAGCCATGATCTTTGTTCGGCTGTCAAGAACGCAACCCCTGTTTGCTCTGTATAATTTCGCATGAAAACCGAGATGAACAGCGTAAGTACGAAGACGGTAGCAAGGATATTGAATATGACAAAAAAGACTGCATTTCCTTGAGAAGTTTGGAACTGAGGCTGAAGTCCAGGGCCAACAATACTTTCAGCAGCCGACATGACATCCACCCAACCTTCTTGAGAAACGATCTGGAAGAGAATGATTAAGGAACTGCCGAAATCATCGAAGTCAAAGAATTGGTTGGCCGCTACGCGAGGTTGGATTATGGGCCAGTTCTCGCTGAACGGATTGGCCTGATATTCGCCAAAACAATCATTTAGATTACTGCCACCGGGAAAATTGCTATCGTTGCAAGAAACTAGGCGGCCATTGAACAAGTTGACGCCGTACACAGCGAAAGGGATCAAGAGAGAGAGAGACACAAAGGCAGCCTAAGAATTGTCAGTGAACATAAGAGAGACGAAGGCGGGGAAGTATTTACCGAAAAGAATTTCGAGAACCCAACAACGATTAGCGAATGGAAGGTCTCCCTGGCGCTGTCACTAACGTTCAATAACCGTAATGCTCGCAGAGCTTTAAAAGCCCCAACCGCTCGTGAAACCTCTCCATCACCCATGAGCGAGGTAATAACATTGATCCAGAATGTTATCAAAACAACTCCATCTATCATACCCCATGAGCTTCTGAAGTATGCGTTCGGAGTCCAGAAAAGCCCATCCGCAAGAACTTTTATCAGCGCCTCAACCGAGAACACAACAGCAAAAGACATATCGACCCATACAAACCAGTTCCTGACACTGAACGTATGGGTCTGAAAATATTCCTTTTGATAAAGAGGTGTAGTCACGCAAGCAAGTAGAACCATTGCTACGATAGCAGCGTATATGAAGGCAGAGAAGGCATACCAAACAACCCTATTTGGCTCTACGCCATCTATTCGCTCGCCTCCTCGACCAGGGCCTACAATCCTCTGACAAAAATGTCGGATAGGGTTTGTAGGTGTCAGAATAAACAAGGCATTATTATAGGTAGGGTGCCTAGCCAAGAACTCTCTCTGTGCTTTCTTTCTCTGTGAAGTTGCAGATACCGCTTCCTTAGCTAGGGTTCTTGCATCCATCGTGTCGTCTGCACGACTTGACAACTGAATGTTCGAATAAAATGGATTTGGTTCTCGATTCCAGATCCGATTCTTGAATTTGCTTCTGAGTCTCGTAAAGAATCCGGCAGTCGAAGGAGCATTTTCGTCGGTTGGCAAAGTGTCCGGGACTGCGGGAGTTTGCTCAGCGGCATGAATCTCATCATCGAGAAAATCTTTCACTACTTTGTCTTTTAGAAGCATTTCCATGGTAGCTGGGCCATAATCCAGTGGATCCTTGGTTTTCCTCGATTTGCCAAACCGAAAGATGGCAGAGAGCGACAGATTGCTCGAGTTGCTACCAAGCTCTTTTCTGTTGAGAAAAGCCTTGACCTGATGCATGCGCTTTTCATCCTCCGAGACGTCGAAATTTTCTTGGATGACCGCTATGAACATATTTACCAGGATAAAGTTTGCCAGAATGAACCACCCGATAAGAAACGCAGCGCCAATCCATGCATTATCTCTAGACCTCCCGGCTCCAGTTACGCTGTAAAGAATACTTGTCCAATTTTCACTCGATAAGATTTGATACATTGCAAGGAAAGCGTTGTAAATCGTGAAAAAGGACGCAATAATGTCGTTTCCAGAATCATCCTGCGCTGGCAGTTCACCACGAAATAGCTGGACAGCAAATATGGATATCAGGAAGGTGATGAGAAACACGAACAACATAAGGTTACCAATACCACTGGCGTTTCCCAAAACAAGCGTGATCAGCTGTCTCGTAACTGGTACCGCAATAATGATGCGATAGACTCTAATAAGTTGAAAAATCGTCAACCATGCGTAAGGCGTCCCGGAGGTATGAATAGGCGGAATTAGTATCACCATTGTAATAACGGCAAGTCCGAAATCCAACCAGTTCAACTTATTCCTCGTAAACCCCCGCCAGTCCACTGCAAATCGGAGAACTATTTCAATAAAGAGGATAAAGGTCACGACAACCTCGGAATTGTCAATGAATCTCCCTCTACTGGGAGGCATTGTTGAGCTTCGGGAAGCTTGGACAATGAGGTCGTAGGAAATACAGAGCAACCAAAACCATTTTGTTTTGTCAAACAACCGTTTGAACTGATTGAAGCGGGGTGATGGGACAGGGGCATTCGTTGGTAGCATGTCTTTGACACGAGCAGCGAATGCACTGGCTTTGCCTTCTTCTCGAATTACTTGGAATGACGAAGTTATGACAGCAATAAGCAAATTGAGTAACCAAAGCATCATGATCATGATGCCGCCTGCGAAGAAGAGAGCAGTAGCCAGGTAATCCGAGTCCATGGTATAATACATCAAGTCCGTGTAGGTGTTCGCAGTCATGATGACAAAAACCAGTTCAAGCGACTGAAATATGTTATCGAAACTTATCGTCCCATTGAACGGTAGAGTTTTGTGGTCGAGCTCGATGCAATATGAACCTTGGGGGCATAGATAGCCTTTTATAGCGCTGTCCGAGGGTCTTGTGGCATTGAGCGCGACGCTGCTATTATCTGGTCGATACCTCCAGACCTCGTGTTCTCCTAAAGAATTGAACTGGCCGCCACAGTATTGTCCGCTATCCACCCATGCTGTGCTGCTATTGTTGAAGGGATCTGTAGGATCAACCCAGACACATTGTCGGTCCAAACTTGATTTGAAACTTTGTACGCCAATAACAGCAAACAAGAGCCAGAAGAATCCGATTAGAAATGATACATTAACCAGCAACGGCGCAGCCTTCTTTAAACTTCTAAGAATTACCTAATATGGGTGGTTAGTAGGTAAGGGGAGTGGATTGAGATATCATACGTACTGCGGTGCCATGTGTGAGAGCCAGGAGTCGCAGAATCCGCAAACAGCTAAGCATCCTAAAAACATACATGTGTCGACCTGACTCTATTCCTGTGATTGACAAAACGAACGAGACCCAGTATGCACAAACAGCCACAAAATCAAGTCTGTTGAAACCGTGGCGTAAGAATGCACGCCTTGCTAGCTGGAGCCGTTGCGCTTGTTCAACTGTCCTCACTTTGTCTCCCTGTATAGCAGTAAAAGAGCGGACAATAGTTGGGGCGCTAAGGGACGGCGAAGGACGAGTTCCCCTGGTAGAAGATTCACGCTGTGGTTTAAAAACGCTGCGGTACTTGTCTAAAATAATAGCCTTCGCCCCAACCTTGCCCTTAGTTGAGCTGTACTCGGGTGCATTTAGAATGAAACCTGACACGACGATTCGAGCAATGAGTTCAAGTGTGAAAATGACAAACAATCCAAAAATAGCCAAATCTATGTGGCTGCGACCCCATCGATCAGGTCGACCATGACCAGCATCAAATACACTTCTGGAGGATTCTACCGCCAGCAGTACGGTTTGAACCATGATAAGTATTAGGATGATTGGTTCTGTGAGGGGATATACCAGTACGTCACATAACCAATTCCTCACTTTGCTATCGGATGTAAAGATGCCCAGAGATCTGCCCCTCAGAGGATTAGGCGGCTTTTCTATTTCTTCCTCCAAAGACTGTTGTGGCTCGCCCTTGACGAAAAATTTCATTGCTTTCTCAACGGGTGCAGTGGGCAATTGGGCCTGGGGATTGGGACCGGCTGCTAATGGGTCCTTTTTACGTTTTGGCTGAAACCGAATCTCCTCTTCGTCGCTTAGACTGGCCAAAGTGGAAAGACTGGGCTGCCTTTGTATCGGATAGGCTTTGGCAGCCGACTCTCGGCGAGCAGCAGATTCAATGAGCTCTGCTTCTCCACTTATGTTGACGACACGCTGTGACATGGCTCTGACAATTGAGCCGGCCCTCAAAAAAGCGCCAGAGGTTGTGGAAGGAGAACGAGATCTGGAATGACTTTGAGCGTCAGGAGCAAGTGAAGCTCCATAGCTCTGGCCCCTCGAGCGGCCAGGCCTGGGTGACAATCCTTGATCAGTAGGTCCAATGGCATCACTATTTCTATTGCTTCTCCGTCGGACCTGATCGGTTGAGTCAAAATTGACGCTGTGAAAGCTGTCTGATCGAATGTGTCCAGATGCCCCACTTATAGGTTGTAGGTGGCTCGCGTCGGTAAGGGGTATGCTGTCCGAAGCTTCCGTATGGAAGTAACTTGACTGGTTTGAAAAATATTCATCACTGGCATCGCCATAGGGAGATATGCGATCCATATCGTCCATGGGATAGGAGGTACCAAAGGGGGAAAATGTGCTTGGAGCCGGCGAAGGCTGAGGCACTTGGGAGATACTGATATCGGGTACACTGAGTCCTGTGAATGCCATTGCCGCTGCAAATGACGTGGTATCTACGGGAGATGAGGACGTTTCGGGTTCCTCATTGTAATTGGTATTCTGGTGTATCCTACTCGACTGGGTTGAGACCAGAGGCCTTGAGGCACGCGCGGGTCTCTCAGTCCGACTTGGTGAGCCCGTTTGCACTCGCTCATAACCACCACTACTCGGGCGTGAGGAAATACCACTCAATATACTCCTCCCTCGTGTATGGTGCCGGTGTCCATCAGCCAAATCCACCGATTCGGGCGGTGGTTCTAGATTCTGTAGTGGAATGGATTGTGGAGGGGTTGCAGGATGCGATGGATCCTGCGAATTCGGGGGCGGCATTGTGGCCTACGCCAATGACCCGAAGGTCCGTTCTTCGTGGCGTCGTGAATGCTAATGTTGTGAGGTGAAAGTTGGGTTGTGGGTGGTGGGTTGTGGGTGGTAAGTGGAATTATGGGAGGTATGAAGTACTGTGTCGCCTTGAGACTCGAAAAAGGCAATGCGCTGAAGCGGCTGTAAATGCTCAGTTGGAGTTCATTATGGTGTTGATGGTATAAAAATCGCAAAACGAGAGGACACAGATACGGCCTCGTCGGGAGATGGATCTTCTTCCCAGCCGCCTGTCGCAGATTATACGGAGTATCAAGGTGGTGTTGGTGTTGTTGGCTTCTTAGCAGATTTTACTTCCAGAGCAATTCTGTAACATCAGGGTCGTTTACTACCGTATGAGACTTCCATGGGCGAGGTCGCACAGCCGCGCCTTGCAGGGGGTTGGGGTCGGCTTTTGCAACTGCACGCACGGCACAGGTACGCCCAGCAGGCCCAGCCAAGGTGAACCACCATGAGCCCAGGTGAGCTATTCTTGGAGACCAGGACCCGTGAACCACTCACCACTGGTGGAGTTGAACTGGGGACCAAGTCTCCGTAGTTCTACCTACAGTTCCACCTACGGAGTACTTAGTACTCAAGTAATTACACTGAGTGGCTCGGTGGTTCGAAAGCTACTTCTACGAGTTACTTCGTACTTACTTGCAGTGACCTCGATGAAGCTGAAATCAATACGAGTACTTGCAGCATCGATATGGTACTAGGAACCAATCCGTGAGTAAGACGACCCCATCTAAGTCCAATTCTGGTATCAATGCAACCCTATCCCTAAAGCGAATGGCAGATATCGGATTCTTTCCATTGGGCTGAATTTACACGTGACCACCTTGAATCCGATCTTCACCTGCACTGCACCTCCAGCTCCGCCCAGATAGCCCAGGTGAGCTCTCGTCTCGCGCCAACAAGCCGCCTCGCGTCGGCAACATTTTTGAGGCATGAACACTACACCCAACACCACCATCCAAACACTGTCCACAACGCGTACACTCGTCTTACTGCCACCGCAGACACCCTTATAATTTCTCGTTTCCGTCAACATCCATAAGCATCACCAACGCGCGATCGTTGCAATCGCACCCGCCTCAATATGGTCTCTTCGCGCAAGAGGGGCCGTCAGGAGATGGAGGAACCTGTCGCGCCAGAACCACCCAAAACAAAAGAGCCTACCATGCTGGACCGTATCAGGAATATGTGGGAGTTTGCGGCTTTCACCCAGTACATCTTCACCTTTGGAAAGGCACTCAAGATCGACGAGAATATCGACACAGAGGCAGGCCTCCCTTTAGACTACACTCTCCCTTTTTCACCACTAATCTGTTGTCTCTAGCAATTGGAAATGGAGTGTTTGAAACAGCATTCAAATTTTCTGCAGGATCTCGGTCTCGCCGTTCTGAAATTCGTCTCCTCTCACAGGGGATTGACGTAGGCAACCAAACCCCTGTTAAAATCAGTATATTGACCTTCCATAGAACAGAGATTTTCGATGAGTATACTCGACGACAGTATGTTGCGAGGGCGCCTCACCGCAATCCTTTCGGTGTCGAGGAAGAGCCTGCTAAGTTCGCCGAGTTCGATATCTTTACCAAGGTAGGCCACACTGCATCACCGGGTGCGGAAGGCATGCATACTGACAATCATGGCTACAGATTCGAGTACTACAACAACTTACACAATGGACAATGGTAAACCCGGACCGGATTAGAGAGAGGATGGACGAGCAAAAGGACGTGGACCAAGCAATATGGGTATGTTTCAATTCAGATAACCAAATGATTGTGTTAACATGGTGTGCTCAGCGTATCGAACCATATGGCTGGGATTCAGAGGATCGCACTTATATCGTTCTTGATGACAATCGCCTTTATCGTCAGACCGAGCCCCCACCACCACCACCTGCGGCGAGAGCAAAAAAGAATTCCAAAAAAGCAAAGGCGGCATCGCGCGCGAGCAAACGGAGAAGAATTTCAGAAGCCGTTGAGAGCGAGGCCGACACCCCGGATGAAGCTATATCAGGCGGCGACACAACAAAAGAAGATGACGGACTAGGTGGTATGAAGTGGGAGTGTCTTGCTATCACATTGGAGGATTTTAACACATTCCTTGCGACCATTGAAAAGAGTCGGGACCCAAATGAGAAGATACTTCGCCAACGAATAGTCGGTGACTTGTTGCCAATTTTGGAAAAGCAGGAAGAATCGAATAAACGCAAGGCAGCGCAGAAGGAGCGAGAGCTACTCAATCTTGAGAAGTTAGCAACGGCCAAGCGATCAAGCAGAATTGCAGGCAAGATGGAGTCGCAAAAGCAGGAAGAGGAAGCTCGTGAAGCAGAGCGTAAGAGACTGGCGGACCTGGCCATGGCCAAAAAAGAGCAGGAGAAATGGTTGAAACTGGAGAAGGAACGGGAGTCTCGTATGGTTACCCGAGAGCAAAGACTAAAGGAGAGAGAGGCCCGCCGAATACTCCACGAAGAAGAGCTTGCGAATTTGTCTGAAGACAGTAAAAAGATCGAAGCTGGTTCTGGTCGTCTTTCCGAACGTCATCTCAAAGCAGAAATTGAGAGGAAAAAGCAAGCACTTGAGGAACTTGCGGAAGAAGAGGATTGGATATTTGATTGTATCTGCGGTGCTTATGGACAGATTGATGACGGTACCCATAGTATTGCATGCGATAAATGCAACATATGGCAGCATAGCAAATGTGTAGGAGTCAGTCAAACGGAAGCGGATCGTGAGGATTTTCTTTTTGTCTGCAAGACTTGCGAACGCCGGGCGTTGGATGAAGAACGAGCCAAAAATCGACCTCCGATTAAGATCAAACTTAATCGACCTGGATCTTCATCTGCTTCTTTGCCGCCAACACAGAACAGCAAGCCAGTCGTTTTGGTTCCATCTTCTCCCCATGGTTCTCGACCTGAGAAACAGGACGCACCCAGAGCGATACTTAGCTCACCTGTCAAGTCTAGCCATCAGCAGAATACCCCCAAAATGGCAACATGGCAACCAAATCTAAGCCATTCTGCTCAAGCACCCCAGTCTTCTGGACCACCTGCTTCTCCTCAACGTCAAAGTAGCCCTATTCTTCCTCCGCCGAAATTCAATGTCCGACCCAATCCCGGAGCAACCAATGGTACACATACTCTATCCTCGCCCCCGAATGGTAAACTCAATTTTACGTCACCATATCCTGCTGTTCAACCATCAAGTTCTCATGTGTTCTCTTCACCACATCCAAACAGCCCGACAAACTTACCACCACCGGGACAACCACCAGTCTACACCTTTATGAATGGCAGTGGCATAAATTACAACAAAACGACACCAGGCCAAGTCTCAACAGGGAATGGGGTGAATGGAAATCGGAATGTGCGTAGAGATAGCAATCCTTTCGGTAGCATTGCCAACCTCCCTTCATCGCCATTTACCGGAGCCCCTCTCTTAACACCAGCGACGAAAGCTAGTGATACCTTGGAAGCACCAGCTAGCAGCAAAGGGCAGAATCCAACACCAACCATGCATACATGGAAACCTAATTCTTCGCCTCCACAGGCTGGGGTGACTTCGACGGTTCCAGAAGAACAAGGGCAAGAAAAGGTTCTACCTCCGGCCACTATGGGATTCTCTCCAACTAAACATTCACCTCCACGTTCCACGGCGTCCAATACAAGCTTTGGGTCTGTAACGCCTTCTATATTACCACCAGTTACCTCATTGTCACCAATTTTGCGCGCGCAGAACCTCAGCCCTCCTGTCAAAATGGCGGAGCCTGAACGGAGCAAAGTAAACGGACAGGCTTCTCCATAAAGTACCCGAGTTCTTGTTCCCCTGGAAAATTTGGAAGGGGCATTTCTTGGGCACTTACACTAGGATTTTGTCCCTCATTCTGTCACCTTCTTTTGAGCCTCGTTTTTCTTTTGTAGATAGTGGATACTTTGACATTGGGTTCCTATGCGGCGCATAAGGATTCGTAAATGAAAAACAGATCTAGATTGGAATGGAAGGGAAATGGAATAGACGAGCGACTTGACTGGGTGGGGATCGTGCGCATTGGGAATGGAGTTTCTTGTGTGTAGGTATCAGAAGTAATAACGAATATAAATTTGAGTTATTGAAACGGGGGTTTCCGTATATGCCTACAGCACCTACTTACTACCTACCTACAGTCCCTTCGCAAAAGTAGCAAGATGTTTCGCCACCCCAGAACATGTGGGAAAAAGCAGTTTATATACAAAATACCTTGTAAAATACCCTGCAACACACTAGTAGATGGCCCTTGTTTCTTGCTACTTTTGCGACGGGGCTGTAGGTATCGTATATGTGGTGGTTTGGAAATGATTGGACATAATAGGTACTTCCGCGGCGCCTAATCACTGCATGATTTCAACCTCAGGCACGGATACAAGCTGGTCATCAGTACCCAATCAGAGGATCGGAAGATCCTTATCATCACTTCTTTTTCCTTATCACTCTTTCGACCGCCATCTTTTTCCGAGGAGATGGCATGCTGTAAGTGTGCATATTTGAGGCGTTGACGAGAAGGGGGGATCGTTGTGGAAATCGCCAATCTAAGGCTCGGGATTGGAAGATGAGGGGTTTGGGTTCCTGGGTGGTTAGATGTTATTGTTAACGTTCTCCGAGGATTTGGGTAGTGATGGGTGGTTTTTGCTTTTTTTGAAGGTGCAGGGCATGTGGGGGTGGTTTGGTCGTTGGGTTTCTCTTCTAGAGTCCTTGAGTAGGATTGTTCTTCTTTTTCTTCTTGGGACATTAGTTATTGCTGAAAGTTTGGCTTTCCTCTTTTTACTTGACACAGGTGTGAAGACTGTGATACGATCATACCCATACCGACTCTCTTGCAAATCGAAACGGGGAGTTTCAATGAGTGTGTAACGTATCCATACAGGTGCAATCTTTAACTTCAAGCTCCTAGATCACTCTACTCGAAAATAGGAGAAGAAATTAAGCGGGAACAGAGCACTTCGTTGAAGGAATAGGTTACAAATATGGCGGATGAAATTGAGACTGGCAACTGGCAACCCCAAGTTCCGGCTCAGGAATTCAATGGAGGCCCGGTGGAGAATAGCCCTGATGGTGTGCCGGGTTCGAAGGAGAGTGGTATGAGGAATGGGGAGGGAGATGGGATAGGAGATGGAGATGAGGGTGTGAAGGAAAGGAAGAAGTTAGTTATTGTTGGCTTGGGAATGGTGGGGATTTCTTTGATGTGAGTTTATTCTTTTATAGGACTTTGAATTGGAGATGAGAGGGGAGTTGAGGGGTGGTGAAAAGGATGAGAGTGAGAATGATGAGGGGGCTAATTGGTCAACAGTGAGAAGATCATGAAACTCGACGCCAAAAGACGGGAGTGGGATATTGTTGTTATAGGAGAGGAATCACATCTTGCGTATAATCGTGTTGGACTCACGAGTTTCTTCCAGCATCGGAAGGTGGAGAATTTGTATTTGAATCCGAGGGAATGGGTAAGTTTCCCTTTTTCACCTTGCTCTCTTACTCCTATCACAAAAAAAAAGGAAAAGAAAGTGAATGGAGGTTGGTGTTAATGGAGAATAGTATACCGATTGTCCCCCCGGCTCACTAAATTACCACCTCAACACCAGAGTAACTGAACTCCACCTTGAACAAAAACTTGTATCTTGTTCACCCGGTGAAACAGTCCCCTATGATGTCCTCATTCTAGCCACCGGTTCAGATGCCCTAGTCCCTAGACACACCCCCGGCCACGACGCCAAAGGAGTGTTCGTCTACCGAACCATCGAGGATCTGGAGAAACTCATTGCCTACTCTGCCCTTAAAAAGGGGACGTGTGGAGCGGTAGTAGGCGGTGGACTCCTCGGTCTCGAAGCCGCGAAGGCAATGATGGATCTCGAGAACTTCTCCAAAGTCAGGTTGATTGAAAGAAACCGATGGGTTCTATCCCGGCAACTGGATTCCGATGCGGGAGGACTGGTCGTTGAGCAAGTTCGCGAGTTGGGACTGGATGTCATGCTCTCCAAACGCGTTGGGAAGATCGAAGTTTCGGCTGAGAATGAGGTGGAAGGCGTGGTGTTTGAGGATGGTGAGAGGATGGAGTGTTCTACTATCTGTTTTGCGATTGGGATCTCGGCTAGAGATGAGCTGGCGAGGAAAGCGGGGATTAAATGCGCGGATCGGGGCGGGGGAATTGTTGTTGATGGGGAATTGAGGACGAGTGTTCATGATGTTTATGCGGTGGGGGAGTGTGCTAGTTGGGAGGGTCAGACTTTTGGATTGATAGCGCCGGGGATTGAGATGGCGGATGTTTTGGCGTTCAATCTCACGCAGGGGAAAGCTCATGCGATGAGGAGTTTTAAGAGGCCGGATTTAAGCACAAAGTTAAAGTTACTGTAAGTCCATTGACCATGCCCCTTCCCCCTCCTTCTTCCCAATCAAGCAAATAAAAATCTGAAGCTAACATCCCACAGCGGTGTCGAAGTCGCCAGTTTCGGGGACTTCTTTGCGGACAAAGATGGGCCTAAACACCTCCCTCTCCGCTCCGCAAAAAGTACCAAAGGAGGGAATCCAGACCCCCTACAGAAACTCACGAATGGACAACCTCCTGCACCCGTCAAGGCGTTGACGTACAAGGATCCCTTCCAGGCAGTATATAAGAAATATCTGTTTACCCTCGATGGGAAGTATCTTCTGGGTGGGATGATGATTGGGGATACGAGGGATTATGTGAAGTTGGTTCCTATGGTTAAGAATCAGAAGATGTTGGATGTGAGTCTATGTTGATTTGTTGATGAAAGTAAGGGGGTCTGGTTGCTAATCTGGGGTTTTAGGTGCCGCCTAGTCAGTTTATTCTTGGAGCGAGTAAGGAGGGAGATGAGGGGGGCGAGGATCTGGATGATGATACGCAGATTTGTTCTTGTCATAATGTTACGAAGGGAGATGTGTGTGATGCTGTCAAAGACGGTAGTTGCAAGAGTATCGGAGACGTGAAATCGTGTACGAAAGCTGGAACGGTAACTATCCCATTCCTTTATTTCTTCAATCGGGCTGTCGAGGGTTTTCATTTTGAATACCCTCCCCCCCTAAACACTTCCTTAAGCGAGTACTAACACAATTTCAGGGCTGTGGAGGATGCATGCCCCTCGTAACCAGCATCTTCAACACGCAAATGAAAGCTCTAGGCAACGAAGTAAAAAACCACATCTGTCCACACTTCAACTACTCCCGCGCCGATCTCTACAACATAATCTCCATCAAGAACCTCAAGACCCTTTCAGAGGTAATGCGAGCCGCGGGAAACGACCCGCTATCCCAAGGCTGCGAAGCCTGCAAACCAAGTATTGGATCCATCTTCTCCTCGCTATACAATAAACACGTGATGGCCAAACCCCTTATGGGTTTACAAGAAACCAACGATCGCTTCCTGGGGAATATCCAGAGGAACGGAACGTATTCTGTTGTCCCCAGAGTGAGTGCTGGGGAGATCACGCCGGAGAAATTGATTGTCATTGGGAATGTGGCGAAGAAGTATGGGTTGTATACTAAGATCACTGGGGGGCAGAGAATCGATATGTTTGGGGCGAAGAAACAGGATTTGCTCGCTATTTGGAAGGAGTTGGTTGAAGGGGGGATGGAGAGTGGGCATGCGTATGCGAAGTCGTTGAGGACGGTTAAGAGTTGTGTGGGGACGACGTGGTGTCGCTATGGGATTGGTGATAGTGTGGGGATGGCGGTCCGGTTGGAGGAGAGGTATAAGAGTACTAGGAGTCCACATAAGATGAAGGGGGGTGTGAGTGGTTGTGTTCGCGAATGTGCTGAGGCGCAGAATAAGGAGTAAGTACATCTCTACTTTCTATACAAGAGAGGAAAGATACACTCACTAATTCGCTCTCAGCTTCGGACTCATAGCCACAGAAAAAGGATTCAACCTCTACGTCGGCGGCAATGGCGGTGCCTCACCAAAGCACAGCGAACTCCTCGCCAAAGACGTGCCCCCTGACGACGTAGTCCCCATTCTAGACCGCTACCTAATGTTCTACATCCGCACGGCCGACAAACTACAACGCACCGCGCGCTGGCTCGAGAATCTCCCAGGAGGAATCAAGTACCTCCGCGAAGTAATCCTCGATGACAAACTCGGCATCTGCGCTTCTCTCGAGGCACAGATGGAAGAGTTGGTAGGTACATTCTTCGACGAATGGGCCGCCGCAATCGCGGACCCGGAAATCGCGAAGAAATTCAGACAATTCGATAACACCACCGAGACGCTGGAGAACATGGAGATCGAAGAAGATCGGGGACAGAAGAGACCTGTGTACTGGGCTAAGGAGAGCGCCAAGGTCGATTTCAAGAATACGAAGTGGTCGTCTTTGACGTGGCAGCCGTTGATCGAAGCTAGTCACTTCAAGGACGCGGACGAGACGCCGAATGGTATCTCGGCTAATGTCAAGAGAGGCGATACTCAACTCGCCATCTTCAAGGTGCGCGGGAAGTGGCTGGCTAGTCAGCAGATGTGTCCACACAAACGCTCGTTCGTGCTTTCCGATGGCTTGATCGGTGATTCGGGCGATAAGATGTGGATCTCTTGTCCGAATCACAAACGCAATTTTGAACTTACGGGGCAAGGAAAGGGGGGATGTCAAAATGATAGTGAGCTTAGCATTGCGACTTTCGAGGTCGAGGAGAGGAGTGATGGGTGGGTGTACTTGAAGTTGCCGCCTGTAGAGGAACTTGATGACGTGCTGGGGACGGGCAAATGGATGGTGAGGAAGGGGGAGAGTGGTGAGAGTCCTTTTGAGAAGTTGGATCGCAAGATTGGGGTTAATGGGATGAAGATGAAGGGGAGGAAGCCTTTCGAGGCGAGGAGACATTTGAATGTGGCGGTTAGCGCGGGGGGTGGGGTTGATATTGATTGGTGAGGATTGGGGTGAGGGAGTTATGGATATAGATAGATAAATTTGAATGGGGTGGAGTTGGCATTAGCTTGGGTCTTGTTTGATACAGTATATATAAAAAGCGTTTATTCAACCTTGTCAAGTCTCTACGCGCAAAATCTTGTGTAAAGCAATACCATCTTTTCTCCTAACTACCATCACCATATTACGTCTAGCGCTACCAGACACCTATTCCACCTCCAAATATATGCACAAGACTCCAATAACGATACTATAGACATACCCGGAAAACCCACATCTTTAGTAGCAAAGAACATTGAACACTCTTGTTCATGATTTGCGTTTACAAATAGATATTAGGTATTTCTATCCAATCGTGAAGTATACCACATATAAATGACGTAAAAGAAACAAATGATCCTTAGGCTGTGTAGTGAGAGAAACTGTTAGACTGCAGAGCAGTTGATTGTTTGTTTTGATTCTATGTTTGTGGCTTATTGGTGTTCATACCAGTTTATACGGTGTTGAGTTATGTACCAAACATTCTCATCTGCGGGTATTTTAAGTCAATCCCAATATGTCAAAAGTCCGAAGATTCGGGTGGTTCCTTTCCTCACTTATGATTTGATATCAACTGGACTAAGCTGTCCCACAAACAGACCAGAACCACTGGACTCGTTACTTAAGGTCGCTCCTTCCTCCGCTGCAACGATATGGACTCAAAGCTTCAAGCTCCAGCTCGACGGAAACTCGATACGAGCTTGTATTTGTTCCTAGTGTTGACCTGACCTCATGGCATATGCCAAGGCCGAGAACGCAACGAGGGAAGGTACGATGCTGAGCAGACACAAAGTGTAAACCTCCTCTTATATATGTACTGTACCTTCAGGCCATCGAAATCGTATCGTTGCGGGTGGGGGTGAGAACCTGTAGTTGTTGCAACATGACGCCAAGTATATCCTGCATGTATAGAGAGAGCGCTCCATCGTCCCGATATCAAATTAGCGTAAACAAGAAATAAGCAGAAGCGTCAATTACTCAAGTAGAGGAGAGTGAACGATACTGCCCAATTCAGTAACCCGAATCTTTTGCCCTATTCCACAGGAATAGGGCACTAGCTTGGGGATCAGAAGAGGGAATTACCTTTGACGCTGATAAGTCTGAACTCATGCACTTCTCTCGCAAGAGAAAGCAAAAAGGGAGAGGTATCCGGCCCCCTCCTTCTATTGTAGTGGAAGGGAAGACAATAGAACCTTCACAAGAGCTCCGCTGGCTTGGTATCTTTTTTGACCCTCGTCTTACCTTCTACAGCCACGTTAGAAGGATGGCTAGCAAGGCTACACTCGTAGCTAGTGCTCTGAAAGGAACAACAAACACTGTACGAGGCTCTCCCTCTCACCTACTAAAACAAGCTGCTACTGCTTGTATCCTGTCTATTGCTTACTTCGGAAGCGAGACCTGGTTCCCTGGACGTGCTAGAGCAAGAGAGGGGCAAATAGAAGGCAAAAACAACCGAATTGGCCGTCATCTAACTCTACTAGATAGAGTAGTAGCTAAGTGTGCAAGGATCATCCTTCCAGTGTATAAGACGACTCCCTCCTCAGTTCTTCTCATGGAAACCGGCCTCCTAGCCTCTGAGATCTCTCTCATAGTTAGAAGTAAAGCACTTGAAGCCCGGACTCGACGACTCGACCTAGCTCACCCACTAAAACGATGTGTCAATAACCCTTGCTCTAAAGCTAGGCTTGTTTACCGTGCTCGAGGAGCCCTCTCTCTCTCTGAAGAGATCGACCCTCTTCAAGACCCTCCCTGGAATAGAGGGTTTGACCGGCAAACTCGCCTTCTAGAGGTAGGGGGGCCTGACTCTGGAGGAACCAAGGACTTGTATAAGGCTAAATTCCTTGAATTCCTTGCTACTGTTTCAACTACAGACCTAGTAGTCTACACCGACGGCTCTCGCTTAGACGACAAGAGAACCGGGGGAGGCGTTTGTCTTACAAAGGGAGGAATTATCCTTAACACGAAGGTCTACTCCTTTGGCAAGACACTTGAAATCTACGACGCAGAGGCTAGAGCTGCTCTACACGGCCTAGAACTAGCTATTTCCTCTACTTCCTGGCCCTCGGCAAGGACGTGCTGGATTTGCCTTGACAATCTTGAAGCTACACTTCAACTGACCTACCGATCCTGTGGCACCTCGCAAGGGACCTTTAATAGGGTTAACGAGTTAGCTCTTTTATACCCTGGGAAAGTTCAAACCAGGTGGTGCCCTAGTCACATTGGAATTCAAGGGAATGAGATTGCGGACAGAGCTGCGGGAAGAGGCGCTCGGCTACCTCCTCCTGACCCCCCTTCTATACTCTGCACTGCTACACTTAGAAGAGAAGTTAAAGAGACAGGGGTTCAGCTTGCAAAGAAACTCTGGAAAACCACGCTTCCAAGCTTATACAAGGACCTAGGGCTTAACAACTGGTCTTCGAAGCCTCAATCACTTCGCTTACCAAGGGAGGTTCTTGCTCGCTTAATTGCAGCTCGCTCTGGCCACGGTGACTTTACTCTTTATCACCTTCGCTTCTTTCACCTCGACACGCTACTTACTTCAGGGGAGTGTAAGTGTGGAAGAGAAAAGACTCAATTTCACCTACTATTTTGCCGGCTAGCAAATAGAGTAGCCCCTGAGCTATTTGCAAAGGCTCAGAGGAACCCTCAACTCCTCTTCGGACCACAATGCGAGGAACTGTTTCACAAGATCTACTATAAGACAAAGTTCTACTCTAGGATCTGTCCTCCTAGATAGTCCTCTTCTTCCTTACACTATATCTCCTCTTTCTACTGTTCTTTGGTCTCTGTCTTATATAGTTCTTCTCTTGTTCTCTACTCACTATCTTGTACACTGTTAACTTATTTTTACTCTGGCTCTTAAACTAACTCAGAATGAGAGCTGTTCCGGAAGTGGGGCTTCTCTTTAAACTATCTCTTGTAAATTAGCGCACTTTCATTTACACCCCCTGTAGCCTAGGGCACCCCCCTAGCGTCATTTGCCCAACAATGGGACTTTTAGGACCTAGCCCACGCGAGTTAGATTCCGCCTGACGTTAAATAGTAATAAATAAATAAATAAATCATAATGACCAGACACTAGTAACGGGAACACCAGCCTCGACCACAAAATACAACTCGACCCACGTCCCAGCCCACCTTTTCAAGGAACTCATTCTCAAAAATACCAACTACACAACCATATCCGCCACAAAGTCCGGCCTTGAAACTCGTGCTAAGGTGAGTTTTCATTGCATACTCCCTTTGAGCCTCCAAGTGGCGGAAGAGCTAATGAGCATTAGGCCGATATTCAATGCTGCGGTGCCGAACTCCAAGGCTGGACCGGTGCAGATCTAACTGCGACGATGAAAAATATCGGTCACCTTAAAGGCAGTGGGACTTGTCTTTCTGGCGGTGGATTTTGTGCTCGTATTGCTTGTCAGAACAACGCTGCTATTTGGCTTTGCAACCTCGTGAGTTCCACTCCCGCTCCCCGTTCTCTTATCCCTCCATATTCCCTATTCTCCTTCTGATGTGATCATCTTCTTCTTACGAAGATGGAGCTCGGTGTATATCTGGAGCTTCGCGAGACTGACTCATAGTAGAAAGATTATGACATGGCCCCATCGTGTCCTTATCTTGCCGAGTACGCACTGGAAATCATGGAACGGTGTGGTGCGAGGAGCTTTTACCCTGCTTGTGGAAGAAGATATGATACGGATGGGTACGAAGTACACATCACGGGTGGTGCGGGATGCTAGTTGCTACTCAATAGTTAGTAACCCAGGGAAGTTGGGATGTTTTTCGCTGGAATGAGCGTGGGTGTTGTAGTTGGGTATTATTCATAGTATTAGGCTGGAATCTTTTCTTTGGGTTATTCGAATTTATATGGGGGTCGTGGGTTGGGGTTGACCGGTGATTTTAAGACTATATAGAGGGTTGGGATGGCAAATCTGTTAGGGAGTGGGATAATGATATTATTGATCTTTCAAAAAAGAATCTTTGACTCATACAAAATTGCAAAAAGAACTGATCAAAAGATTCGAAGAAGAATCTGGCTCTTTCATGCTACAGTAGTCCTCGGCATATTTGGCCCACATCCCCGGCACTCGGTCGGCATGCTTGTAGGTTGCATGGTTGCCATTCGAGGTTAGGAGGGAATGGAGGAAGTGAGAGCAGCTGTGTTAGACGTTGGAGTATGGAAGAATAACTGAATAATACCCTATTACAATTCACTCGGTCAAAACACTATTGGATACACACAAGAACTAAAGTGATTAACGAAGACGTCAACTCATATCACGAAAACAATCATAACACAACACTAACTTCTGGTATAAAAGAAAGTCCCGTGCTCTTACTCTTGTCGAAACATGCATTCTATTTTTATAATTAACTGCTTCTAAACATCTTCAAAGACCGACACCCATATCAAAACTTCTGCTACAACATCACGGAACAGATCAACGGGTTCTTTATATCTTCGACATACATCTTTGTTCTCTCGTACTCCTTATGCTTGGCTTGGCCATGGTAATACAGTAAGTCAAGACGCCAAGTATATTTTCAAAAGCCTTGAGTTAACTAATTATTGGCAGACGATCGCAGATCCTGACCCGCACCACGCACCTGGACTTTTCAACGGCACGGAGACTATACTGGACGCCCGTTCCAAGGTGAGTTTACATCTTGCGCATTAACCACCAACAAACTAACCACAGAACAATTCAACCAGTCTAAAATCGGCTGTTGTGGAAAAGACAAAGACGCGCCCCCCTACGTTAATCGAGCAAGCGAAGTAGCGACACGCTCCAGCATTGCGTCTGTCCACCACCGTAAAGGTTGGGAGGTCGGACCGAACACCAGTATATTTCTTGCCTGTGAGGATAAATCTTGAATCTTTCTTCAAAATGATGTAGGTTCATCTTTGTTCCTTTCTTCAGATAACGCTGACGTTTGGCAGAATCCATATGCAACTCAGTGCCAATACCTCGCTACCTACGCCTCGGATATCATGAATATCTGTGTTGCTGCCTGTGGTAGGAGTTATGATACCGATAATTATAGTGTGATAGTCAGGGACTGTAAGAAGACTTGAGTGGCGTGAGTGATGTTGATACTACTACATGTTGTGCGTTTAATGGCTATACACGTGGTTGATAGGATGATATAACTTTCACAAATACAGTAACATCTTTGGAAACTGCGATGGTTGGCTACTGTAACCTGGCTAATGGAGAAGTATATTCACCTCTCTGGCCACACAATAAATGGCCAGAAAGTTGAGTAAATGCGAATCTCATTTGATGAACTCCAGTACCTACAGTCTTCTAAAACTTCCATCGTGAGCACCGCACGATGCGTTGCGTCTGTTTCTTATTCATATTATAAATTCCATTCTCTAAAATATCTACAGACGAAAAAGTTTAGAGTGGTGAAGTCAGCAAGCCTCCACAAAACAACCCCGAGTACTCCCCGTAGCCAATCAGTATCCCTTGCGTAGCCCCCAGCCCCACAAAAGTCACACAATGATATTGATATCTTGAAATACCACAACAACTGACTTCAAAACTGATAACCTGTCCGCCTGGCCCAGTCAGTTAGTGTGTGCTCTCATATGCACCAATTCCCACAAGCGCCAACACATGAAGCTGTTTCCTCCCGTTAATTTAGACGCGCCCTGGTCAAGCGTCAGACCGCTCGGTCGTATGTAAATGTAAGTTCTCCTTTAATCCCTAAGAAACGCTCGTACTAATTATCTCTAGAGAAAAAAAGATTATAGTATATCTTTTTTTTGTGGGTTTCGTTTTGTTTTTGAAAGAATTCAATTCATGCGTGCACCGGTGCGTGCAATACCTGAATGTTTTAAGCGAAGGTCGCCAAGGATTTCAAATAATAACAAAACGGCGCTAGAGGACCGGATTCATCCCCCAAAAACAATCATAGTACGACATGCTTCTGATATATAAAGCACTACCAACTCTCAACTGTTCAAGTATCACCATCCAACTTTCAAGCCACTCTATTTGAACAAACACACTTCTGCTACACCTGCACCTGTGCAACGACTACATAAATTAACGAAAGAGACCATGCCTCTCTGCAAGATACACTTCGCAACTCTCTTGATGGCGATTCTTGGATTTGCCATGATGGTATGTTCACTCCCGTGGCTTCGTCACGTCACCATGTAATGTGGCAGACAGTTAGATTTAACTCATTGCCAGATACTTGCCAACCCTATTCGTAACGCCGACATAGAACTAAGCAGAAATACGATAGAGGCCTGTGCAAAGGTAGATGATATACAGTCCTTCCTGCGCTTCGCAATAGGATCGAGCCGCTAATACAACCAATCAAACAGGATGCTTTCGTGTGCAACTGGTACAGCAACAAAGATGCTGCTGAAGAGGGCTTGACAAGATCCAACATCGATACCCTTACACGCCAAGGAACGTGTCATGTCGAACCATTTCATAAATCAACTCCTGAAAAGACAGAGGAATGTACCGTCCAAGTATGTCAAGACAATAGTGCAATCGCCTTATGCAATAGAGTAGGTTTTGTCTCCATGCTGGATAGAAAAGAGTGTCTTGTTGCTAATGCTACATCGCCCCGCAGAAACCATATGCAATGGATCCCAGTTGTAAACATCTGGCCAGCTACGCTCAAGACATCCTCGATAGAGTTGATTGTAGGAATGGCACTTTGGTTAAAGGATCAAGGCACGATACCGACGGATATTTTGTTGAGATTAAGGCATGTTGATTTTACTGCTGGGTTCAGTCATTGATTGGGGCGAACAGGATCCTATGTCCTTCCGGGGGTAGGGGAACCCGCTACTGGTATGCGGAACCTTTTTAGACATTTAGACATTTTTTAGACATTACCTAGGTTCTTGGACATCTCTATCGCATTCAAGAAACCTAAAGTGGCAATTTATTTCAAGTATCCAATTCTTTGAGATTATATTCTCCTTAATTCGACAATAGTATTGTACTTCTCGAACTATGCTAACCTGACGGAGGGCGATGATTTCCTACTAGGGAAGGAATCACCCAGAAGGAGATCAAGATCAACCAAGGTATCATGGTCAGCACATCTCGCCAACTCAGAGTCCAAGTTAGTCGAGGCGAAAGTCGAGGTCGACATCAAGTTCAATGCTGAGAGAAAGGGCAACCACTTACCTTGACCCGAATATAACCCGCCCAACCCCTCACCCTTACAACCTCCGCAAAGTTTTATATCGACAAATAACGCTCCTCCTCTCAGCAATTCAGTAGAAATGGTCAAGTGGTGGGGCTACTGATTGCGAGATAAACCAACTTCCTGAACTTAGCCTACTCGTTTAGGTAAAGAGATGTAGGGATGCAGAGTTAGTCCGAGCCAACGGGGCTTGTTTTTTGCCTTTTTTTTGGTTTTTTTAAGCTAATTACTTAGTGTGCGCGTTGAGATTTGTTATTCTAAGTTAAGGTTGAATTGTGATGGGGCGAGCGAGAGTGAATAGGTGTGGCGCCTAAGACGCGTCTTCGTTCAATTAACCATACTGTCGCAATTATCTGCCTTGCTCCCAATTTCATTACTTCGTCTGGATGCGCCGAACGACCACCAACAAGAGAATCGGAGGAAGAGTCGATGATATCAAAAAAAGGAGACTTCATTAGAAAAGTAAAGTCATTCTTAGGGTCCATAAGCATCATGCCAACTCTAACTTACAGCTTGAGTTTTTAATGGGCACTACACGGTACAAACGTGACGTCTAAAGCCCGTTTGATAATTCAACGATTGATATTTTAGGAAAGGCAATTGTCGTCGCTGTCCAACAAAGCGATTGTACGGGCGGTTGGTGTACCGGAAGATGAACTGAGGATCGCTTTTCGTGAGGGAGGCGTTTTCACAGGAGAAACTCTTTACTACAGCCAAGGTTCAAGACAAGGTCCTTAATACCGGTAGCCCAAAACATACTACAACTATCCTAAATTGATTTGCAAGTAAACCATATCCCTCTTACACACCACTCATTCTCATGATACAATCTCAGGTACATAATCCATAGTCCCGTCCTTTGCCAAAAACGACAAAAATTTCAAATGCCAAATGTCTCATCACGCGAGAATGAAGTCGATAGAATCAGATTTTAGATATCAGCGGATTCTCAAACGGCATGAAGGCGTTCGTGATCTCAAGGGGTGCTCTGTTCTTCCAGCTTGAGAAATATAGGATATCCACGCCCAACTCAAAGTTGATTAGCCGAGAAAAAGGGATAAAGGTGGGGAGTTAAGGTGGTCCGAGCGAACCTTCCAGGCTATGAACAAGAGACGAGCATAGAAAAAAATCCAAACCATGTCCAAAGTACTCTTGCCATACAGTGTTTAAATCATGGAAAATGCTTGCTTCGTGTGAATGGTTCTAGAGGCAGACTTGTGTATCAGTAGTATCGGTTTCATATCGAGGCCCACTTTAATAGTTGTCGGTACCGGGCATAGTTACTCAATATATCACCTGTCCCTCACCGTCAGCGAAAAAAGACTAACGGGTCGTGTGGGTATATATCCCTTTCCCTTCTATACCGAGAATACAGAGGAGACTGTATATCCATTACAAACAAAACCAATCTTATCCAACTAATTCTCTCCAAGTTCCAAAACAGATGTTAAAGAAAGTGGACAGCGAGAAGGGGAGACTTGATGATTTCAGGTGCTCTGCTCTAAGACCCAATACTCGAATCCTACACTCTATTAATTGAGAGTTCCAGTGTGTTGATGAACCTACGATCTCTATGTAGTGTTCTGGTAACTTGCCAGACCGCTGCAATCTGCAATCTGTCAGATTCAAGAGACAACAAAAACAGTAGAACCCTCCCCACAGTACAGTAGTGAAATCCAGACGAAAATAGGGATTCAGAACATATGTATGAGTTTACAACTATCTCATGTTCGACGCCCACTAGCTAACCCGAGAAGACAGAAGGTGATTTGAGAGTGGCATTGCATTTTTCGTGTCTGCTAATTTACAACAACAATAGAAGTACAGGGTGTTACTTTAGGTTCGTTCCTTTTCGTTTCATTGTAGATTTACAAACTCCATGTTCCATGATGCCCCCACCCCCATCCCAGCTGACCCAAGCCAAGCCCAAGTCATGCAAAAAGTTATACACATATTAATCGTCCTCTACATTTTTACTTGATGATACGAGTCACCAGTCCAGTTGCAACGGTTCGTCCTCCCTCTCGGACGTTGAAACGCTGTCCAGCTTCAACAGCAATTGGGTGGTGGATCTCACATCTCATCTCCACGTTATCACCTGGCATAACCATCTTGGAGTCCATATCCGGGGTTCCTTCTGGCCAGAAAAGAGCACACGCTTCATCTGCGGTTCTCAAATACATTTGTGGTCGGTAGTTGTTCATGAATCCAGTGTGTCGTCCACCTTCCTCCTTGGAGAGAACATACATAGAAACGAGGAATTCTTTGTGTGCCTTTGTGGATCCTGGCTTGGCGATGACCATTCCACGTTTGACGTCCTCACGCTTGATTCCTCGGAGAAGAAGACCGGAGTTGTCACCAGCTTGGGAGGTTTCGCAGGACTTCTTGAAGGTTTCGATATCGGTGACCTTGGTTCGGATTGGAACCTCTCCCTTTCCTACAAGCTCGACTTCCTCATCCCTCTTCAAGGTTCCCCGTTCGACACGACCGGAGACGACTGTTCCACGACCTGGGATTGAGAAAACATCCTCGACAGACATCAGGAAAGGTTTGTCTAGATCTCTCTGTGGAGTTGGAATCCAACTGTCGACAGCTGCAAGCAACTCGTCGATCTTCGTCTCACCAATTTCAGGTCTGCGCCCCTCCAAAGCGCAAAGTGCAGAACCGAGAATGATTGGTGTCTCCTCACCCTCAAATCCATATGTGGTTAATAGTTCACGCATCTCCATCTCGACCAATTCCAACATTTCTGGATCCTCGAGAGCATCAACCTTGTTTACGAAAACGACACACTTTTGGATACCAACTTGACGAGCGAGCAGAAGATGCTCTCTGGTCTGTGGCATCTGTCCATCGGAGGCGGCAACGACAATAACTGCTCCATCCATGTTGGCAGCACCAGTAATCATGTTCTTAATGTAATCGGCGTGACCAGGACAATCGACGTGGGAGTAATGCTTGTTTTCCGTTGAATACTCGACGTGTGCTGTTGAGATTGTAATACCACGCTTTCGCTCTTCGGGGGCTTTATCAATTGCTCCATAATCCAAGAAATTTGCGAATCCCTTCTCTGCCTGTCGCTTCGTGATGGCTGCCGTTAATGTAGTCTGTTGATAGTCAGCTTCTGGCACCTCGCCATCTAAATCTCGAGTCCAAATACCTTTCCGTGATCGACGTGACCAATTGTACCTATTTCTAATCAGCAAGAGCTAGGAATCATCTGCGTAGGTAGACACACCAATGTTGACGTGAGGTTTCGTTCGTTCGAATGCGGTGGCGTACGTTCGTGCAGTGTTCAACACAGAAGCACCTTTTTGCCCTCGCAAAGCGTGTTGAAGGGGACTAACGGTGGAGCCTTGCAGCCATGACGACCGCGCAGTTCTAAGAAAAGGGGCAATTGATCGCGCAAATGCCGGCATCTTGGATTGAGGGTATGGCGAGATGAGGGAATGGGGAGATCAGAAAGATTGCATGAACTGCATGGAAATCGAGAAGCTCAAGATATTTTTTAGCGCATCTTCTGCCGGCCCGGAAATCGGGGGGTTCTGTATGAGGTCATGTGACTCGAATCCTTTTGCAACCTCTACTCCGTAGAAAGTCGTATACGAGTACCAGAGTAACGGTAGATAAATATTGGAATTCGTTTCTTCTCATGAATCTGCCCAAATTATTTTTTGTTTCCAATATAACATCCACTAGAGTCCCGGTGATTCTGCCTGCGTCTGTTGTGGAATGAGGATCATAATTCATCAGAACAAATAATGAGACCAAGTACGCTAGATAACTAAGAGAAGGTATCGCATCCCAAATGACTCCAACACCTACACCACAAAGACCTTGTTCAATACTCCTAAACTTACCCTAAGATAATATGCGTCTCAAGGATGCGCCAATAGCCTCATTTAAATCTCATCTCTCTCATGAACGCTACCCCTGTAAACCTCCTCAACCCTCTCCAAATCAAGTCCAGTCAACAAGCTATTCTGTAAATCATGTCCCCAGAATTTCGCTTCCTTGTAAAAGGCTTTCTGCATATCAACAGCAGCATTCAACAGGTCGACTTCAGCAACGTCAACCGCATCCCCCCTTTGCGCTTGCACATCCGGATCACCAAATCGATGAAACGGCCACTCATCAGCTTTACATTTATCCCACTTCCCCTCTGCCTCAGAAGGAACAGTCGGTACAACACCATCACGGAAATAAGATCGTACCTTCCCCATCGTACACAATGACACAGCGGCTAGACTGCAATGACCTTCTGATTCCTGCTCAATGAGGCCTGATTCTTCGAACTTGCCAGCCATTTTGAAAGCTGCATGAAGAGGTGTGACAGGATCCGCGGTGTTGCCGATAAAGAGCAGAGGGAAAGAAGTTTTGATGGGTTTGGGAGCGTGAGCTGGATTATCGTCCCAGCGCATGGGCGGATCTATTGCTTTGATTCTCCATCTGTCACAACCTATCATTAGTGTCATCCATATATCGGCCCATGAAGACTTTGTGGCTAGTTCTTCGTAGAGAGATTCTAGGTTTGGAAGTGTTTCGTTGAGCTGAGTATTTATGTTAAATGCTGAATGTGTAGTGAAGAGCGAGTGAAGAACTTACAACATATCGCTTATCGCTGCACATAATAGCGAGTTGTGCTTCGTTGGGATAAGACATTGCTGGAGGAGCTGCACCGCAGAAGGGTTGTAGATCCAATGAAACCTTGAAAATTTGCTCTAAAATGTCGTACAAGCCGCGATAAAGCAAGTCTGCTACCATGGCCAAAATGTGGAAGTTTGCTGTAGGCGAATATAATATGACGAACATGAGCGATCTGAAATCTTCGTTAGTGATGATTAGTGGAACCTTGGAATTTGGGTCGATGAGTGTGATGGGTTCGTCCTTAATACTGATCATAACTTGTTGGAGACGGTTGTCCACATCTTCAACAGAGTCGCCCTTTCTCCATAATGCACACTTTCTTCCAGCTTGGTGGCAGTATTGGGAGAAGGAGTTGGACACTGCATCTGTGTCTCGAAGACTTCCTTTCCAACCTGGACCAACGTAATAATCGGCATCACATACGCCATCAAGGACGACGCGGCCGACTCTATCAGGAAACATTGACGCAAAGGTAGCACCAAGAAGGGTCTGTTAGGTGTTAATTAAGTGTCAGCTTGAAGAAAAATAAACCTACCCCATAACTGAAACCCCAGTAAACCAACTTTCCCTTGGTATCGAGATTATTGGTGTCTTTGGATGTGGCTTCATCGTCAACCATTTCATCATCCACATCCAAACTCTCGGCCCATTCATCCCAAGCATCCACAATAATTATCATATCTCTAGCAACGGTTGGTGTGCTGATATGACGGAAAATACTATCATCTCCTTTTAGATTATCCTTCTGCTCGCAAAGTCTTGCCTTAGCTCTGGCTCTGACATCAATTTTCTTCAATGACTCAGAACTGGAATTTATCAGACCCAATTCTCTACCAGAAAGGGTCCAAACATCTCGATGAAAGGCTCCACTGACGTAGTCCTCTTGCTCATGATCATCATCAATTGGAAATGAAAAACAGTCAGCTCGAGGTGTAGTGGCACCGATTCCTCTAGGGTCGAAGCCAATGATATCTTGGTCTACGCCAACTATTGTTTGTAGTGCTTTTCCAAGATAGAGTGCGGCAAATGTTCCTGATCCTCCTGGGCCACCGGGATTGATCAAGAGCGGTGACATTGAATAAGGTTTTGGGCCAGTATGGATTCCTGGAACTAGCAAAAGTGCAACGTGGACCTTGGGATTATCCGGTGAGGCATTCAAAGGACGATGATAATCCATGGCAACCGTCAGACGGGCACATTTGTATGTTCCAATATCTCTATAACATGGATGCCATTCCAGTTTCTCGCTAGGTGTAATCTGAAAGATAATTAGTCTTGAGACGATGAGTGTTCAAAATTTGACGTACTTCGTCAAAAGACCACTCGGATGCATCACCATCGTCCTCCGATTCTGTTGGTTGATTGAATGAAAGCAGACTTGGTATTGCAAACACTGACCACCACACGAAGAAAAGGATTGCAACGAAGATGCCGAGTGATCTAGGACGACGTGGTGAAAGAGGTAGCCGCCTGAACCCATTATTCGCTCTGTTACTTGCTCTAGCGAACTGCCTCTTTTCTCCCCAACTCTCGGATGTCGGATGACTATAAGCTGAATGTTCATGACCGAGAAGCCCAGCCTTCTCATGAAGACCCGCAGTGTTTCGAGGCATCGTCGCTACCAAGATCAGGAATATGTTTGTGAAAACAGTGTGTAGTGACAAAAGGGATTCGTGATAATAATCCAAATGACCTCTGAGTACAAGTCAAGAGATGTAAGGATGTCTCTGCTTGTTATGCCTTGACAACGGTTACGTAGGATATGCAGCTCTAATAACCTTCAGTGGCTCTAAGGCAGCCAATCAGGTGAACCCGTGGACGAATATCAGACCGACGCTTATCGCGCTAGGATGTGAATGTGCCACACGCAAAAGTGTGTATGCGGCACCTTCTGAATGTGTGAGAGATCTACTTGTGCGAACGAGAGAGCATCCTTTAATATGTACAGGTGCATGCTTATGGTTTTGATTCGAAGACTTCACCATTTTATGGCGTCATTAAAGTTGTTGATCACATCAATCCCGTTGCCCGCGGGTTTCAGAAGCTTGTATTACACACGTGATTTCAAGCTTCTCACTTCATTAAGGTTATCTGCTTTGGCTCGAGCTTGGTATTCCATTGAGATCCGCTATGACTGGAGTGTTGGCACAATTCGATGTTGTCTTTGAGGACCCCAAGAAGGCAGATTTGGTCCCATGTCACGTGATACATGCGACCTGTGCTTTACATTGGCTTTTCCATATTGTGTTTACTAGTCATCAAAGTATTTTATGCTATTTTTATGAGTCTAAGTTGTCGATTTCTATAACGGCAGCCTTTTCCGGGCTCATAATTTACTCGGGGAAGCTTAAGTTTCGTTTTTAAGCTGTGAGCACCCCCTTGCTATCTGGAAAGATGTAGCATGTACACAATACCATTACACTCAAATGAATTTCTACGTTAAATATGTACTCTCCAAATTAACTTTATAAACATGCGTATTATCCTTTAGAGAAAATCAAGCAGCCTAGCCACCCAAAATACCAGGAAACCCACATCAATATGTTGAAAGCAAGCGAACAATGAATTCTGCAAAGCCTTTGGCATGATATACCCAAATCTAAATTCTGCGTTGGGAGCAGTATGCTCATTTCAACAGGCTCCAAAGTAATCGACCTATATGGAACGTGGTAGGGTCGGGACCACTCGTTAGCCTCGCCTCTTGTTACAATCTTTTGGAGATCTCTCATTTGAGAAGTGGGCAGATCAGCTCCCCTACGAATAACCCACGTGAAGCAGATATTACCAGAAGCTCAATAAGCTAACATTTGACAAGATGGCTGAAACCTTGAAGCCCTTGAACACTGGTTTCTGCTTCTAATGATGATCTCAAAGGAGGGCTTAGGAGGCTGGTCGTTTAGAAGCAGGTGCATTTTAGAAGACCTTGCATCCCTGGATTTTCGGAAATTTATTAAGTAAGTTAGAAGCTACCCAAATCACCTTGCTGCAAGAGATTTGTCTGCGCATAGAAATATTGCCAAACTTATTGAAGAGTGGAAATAGGAAGCTTGAGGGCTCGTGGCTAAGTCTTCCCATCTGGACGTAATTGAATCTTCCTGTTAATCATTTGGAGAAATATTGGGGCAGTCATTCCAAGTAGGTCTGTAAAGAATGGTAAAATACGCATACAAACCAAATTATAGGAAGACGTAGTGACCCGCCGGGCTCCATTGGTTGGGTTACCTTCTGCGGCACAAGCACAAAGTGGCTCCGCCCAGTTCTAGAGCCTTGATCATCCTCAAATTATCTCACGTTTAAAGGCGTAGGGTAAGATGAAGAAATTCTGAAAGGGAGAATGGGAATGCACCGATGTTGGAGACGCATGAAATAAGCTCTTGAGTACTTTTTGCCTAACCCTAACCCTAAACTCGTTAAGCTTATTGGAAATACCGTAGCACAGGAGCGTAACCCGAAGCCTCGAGCTCTGTTGACTGGTTATATCATACATATATGCGTTAGAAGTGAGTGCAAAAGAAATAGCAAGGCATGGCATAGTGAGCTAAGGAGATATGAACTTCAGACTAGAATCAAGGGTATGTAGAGGGTATCGATGAAGAAGAGAGTGAAGTCAAGGAAATGGCTTCAATTGGAAGAAGATAAAGACAACTTGTTAAGAGCCACAGACACAGACATATCATGAGAAGATTGAAATCACTGAATGATGAAGGATAAAATTAGTAATCTGCTTAGAGAATTCCTAATTTGTTTCAAATTACTTCTCGAAGTTCTATCTGATATTCAAATGTGTTCTATCCCTTCCAGAGTATCGAGACACACAAAAAACGGGCACTCAAAGTGGAATAAAGATTAAAAGAGTGGAGTAAAAGCATCTACTTTTACAACTACTTATGTCTCCGTAGAACATAAGTCATTTCGCCAACCAGGCAACGTTTCCGAGCATTTGAGCCTTAATTCGACCTAGTTATCGTATCTACTTCTATCTACTTTGAGTGTACGTTTTTTTGTGTCTCGATACTCTGGAAGGGATAAGATGCTAGATCGAATTTCTTACTTTCTGTAAAATAATGAAAAGGTAATTCTTTAAAAAGAACATTTCCAAAATGAGTAATAACGCTATCTATGTCAAAACCGGAACAAATAACTGTATTCAAAGTTGCTTATTTATCTGGGAGTTAATAATTAGGTATCTATCCCCGCACTTAACAATGTTGTTTTGAGTATCGGTACTCGCAAAATCGGTGAAGGAAATGACTCTGTCTCTTACAGATTATGGTAATGGCAGAGCCAGGGAAAGAAGAAAGTAGTTACGAGTCGTACAACTTTAGTTCTATTGTGATTGATTTTGAGTTGGGAAAATGATACTAGTCGCGTCATCAAATGATCGACGCTGGGATATACGCCACATGTGGCTGGGTATGCACTGCTACAATAAAATGTCCTAGAACGATCCGATCTCCACGATCGCGATCGAATATGCGGGCCCACATGCCATTACCATATCAACCAAAAATCATGTGTTGCTACTGTATGGGGAGAAAAGAGACAAGCTTGCGACTGTCCATTTTCATCGGAAGAAATCTTGGTAGCTCTTAGATGATAACCTGGCACAATAGAAGCCAAACCCTCCCGCAACTACGCAGCGCTAGTTTGAGCCGTTATTTAGGCCAATTGGATGCCCAACATTCCATACATGTTTCGCCTCCTCGCGTCAAAATGGAGGCTAGAAGAGATCCGATGATCTGTGATGGATGAGCGAGGAAGCTGGAGCATAACCAAGCTCGCGCCACAGACGACATCAACCCCTCCGTGTGGCTTTTGGTATCTGTATATGAAGCCTCAGCACTTTTGCCTTTTCCGTAAGCTTGGATAAGAATATTTTCACTTTTAACATACTCAATCTTTAAGACATTAGTCCTCAATTTATAAATCAGTTTGAACGCAACTATGGAGACTCTCAAAAGCCTTCTGTAAACACTCAGCTCTTCCCTTTTCAGCAGTTCATCTCTAACGTTTTTTTCAGTACTCCTGGAGAGGATAGGGATAACGAGCAATTATATGGTACTGGAGAAGACCAGAATGCAACAAGTGCGGGAAACAAGCACTCCGGGGGGCTTTCAGGAGAAGGCAGTCATCTTGCGAGGTCGACTGGTGGTTCCCATAGCATGCCAGGTCAATACCCGAGCGATTCAACAATGTATCTCACATCCGACAACAACTATAATACCTCCAATGTTCCTCCCCCTTCAAACATCGAAAGCAAGATGGAGTCAAGGGCAGCTGGTAACTCGAGGCCAATTGGCGAAGGAGCCGCAGAACCGAATCTGCATGCAGCAGGGTACCCAAACATGGGCCCCTCAATAACCTCCGGGACCCCTTCCAGTCAAGCAGATCAAGAAGCGAATAAGTTCCAACCCGGTATGAGCGGATCTGGAGCTTTGAGAAATCAGAATACTTCTCATACCGGTAATACACCCAGAAGTTTCCCACTTGTCCCAAAAACGAAACCATCCACAGCAGCTGGACCTCCCTCATCTACTTCGGAATCCAAGCTTGATCCCAAAGTTCACTCTAACGTGGATGGTTCTAGGAATGTGGGTAACCAAGGATCCACAGAACCTAGTATTATGGATAGAAGCTATCCCATTCAACGGGGGTTTGAAGGCTCTACTGCGGACACAACTTCATCAGGTTACAATCACGGTAGTGAGATAGCTTCAATGGCAGCGCTTGGAACTTCCCAGAACCATCATAACGAAGGCCAATTTGGCTCGAATGCTACCTCTTCTACACACACTGGACAACAAGGCATATCCGGAGCTTCTCACCAACGCTCACACCAGGACCCCCTAATCTCAGATACAACGTCATACACTCACAATGACGGTGGCAATCCGTCTGCATTAGCAACAGCTGCAGCGGCAACAGCTCTAACCTCGACACATCATCCAAATGAAGGTTCTGTAGGCTCAAACACAGGATCACATGGCATTTCTGAGATTTCTCATCACGACCACGGGAATCAAGGCCATCTTAGTTCCAATACAGCCTCTTCGAACCACACAGGATTACATGGTACATCGGGAGTTTCTCACCATCACCAGAATGAAGGACCTCTTGGCTCAAACACAACTTCTTCAACTCACACCGGATTACATGGCAAATCAGGGGTAAGTGCAGCCTTGAATACTTCCAAACATGAGTAAAGAATTCTCTGACTATTAGTAGCCACACCAAACTCAAACCGCAAACCTTCTAGATCCCCGTGTAGCCGGTGGATCATCAGGCGAAGATGCACTCCATCACCATGGACATCAATCACACGAACGAAAGCCTGTTGGAGGTGGTGCTGAAGAGGCTGATCGCTCTCATAAAAATATCGGAGTCACATCAGCTGATGCAACACAAATCAGAAACACCACTCTGGCGCCAAATCCCGAGTTGACCGGTCACCATAGCTCGACATCACACTCAGGACGTGACGCAGCTCTTGGTGCTGGTGTTGGATTGGGCGTTGCTGGGCTTGCTACACAGTGAGTCTTCGTGGTACAAACGTAAAATGTATGTGCTGATTAGAGAAGTGAACACAGCAGTCATCACACTGGCCATTCAAATATCGCGAAAGATGTCCACACAGCTGGACATGCTAGTCACCACGATAGAGATACTGCCGTGGGAGCTGGCACTACGAAACAGTAAGTTGAATATATCTTATCAACTGAGAAATGATTCTAATTACGGTAGCGAACATGATAGCCATCATACAGGACAACACACTGGGCAATTTGGAGTCGGAAATACTCATGGAACTATTCACCAATCCGGGAGTACCGGGGTGACAGGCAACACAAACTTAAAAAGAGATACCCATACACATGGGGACTCCAGTCACCATACTAGAGATGCGGCTCTCGGTGCGGGAGCTGGTGTTGGGGCAGCTAGTCTCGCAAAGCAGTAAGTGTCCAATTCCAGAATCAACGTACTCCTACATTTATTAATTGTTAAACAGTGAACATGATAAGCATCAAGCTGACAGGACTGGTCATGTCGGAAATGCGTATCCTACAACTTCATCATATAATGCCTTCAGAAGCGATGTTGAGAGCACTAGTACTAATAGATCTACACCACGTCATGGTCATCCTGCGGATTACGGTCGTGATGCGGTACTCGGCACGGGCGCTGCTGCTGGTGTAGGCTCCGCAGCCTATGAAGCAGAGAAACATCAAAAAGAAAAGGAACTCGAGAAAGAAAGAAAACACCAAGCTAGAGAGCATGAGAAGGATCTGAAGAAGGAACATAAACGCGAAGAGAAACATGCTCATGAACATGAGAAGAAAGAGGAGAAAAAGCATAGAGGACTCTTCTCATTCTTGCGTAAGTTTATATATTTTATAAAATTGGTGTCCCGTTTCAAAGTATACTAATGATTATCCCCAGACCGCGATAAGAGTAAGAAATACTCAGATGAAGAAGAGAAGGAGTTTGACCGCCAAGAGCGTGAGCACAATGCATCTCAAACCAAGCATGGATATGAGGCTGCTGGTGCTGGCGCCTTGGGAGTCGGTGCTGCCGGGTTATATCAACAGCATAAACATCATGGTAAACACTCTGATCAACACACTGATCACCATTCGGACACCAAGCAGCCCCCCACAGCTGAAAGTTATGGCGCTGGTACACTCGGAGAAGGAAGTGTACTTGCTGGTCTACCAGGTCAAAGCAATCTCGGAGCAGATAAAATCGGGGTTTTTGGGGCCGCAAATAAAACCACAGACGTCCACCCATCAACAACTACACAACACTCCGGTCATCATACTCCTACAACGACAGGTTCTAGTGCAGGTGCTGCCGCTCTAGATGAACACGAACATAACAAACACTACACGACTTCAGGAAAACACTCTGATGATCACTCAACAGGTCACCACCACTCAGGTTCTCATCAACCACGTCTAAGCGAGGCCGATTTCGATCAACATGGAAATCAAATTGGCTCACATCACATCCCTTCAGCATATGGCACTGAATCTGGACACGATGGCAGGAATAGATTGCATAAAGATCCTCCTGCAGGTCATCCGGCTGCACAGGCTATGGCTGAACATTCAGGACATGGACATGGACACGGACATGGTTCATCTCACGATGCGCCTAGCAAGCATGAAGATTTGACGGGTGCTGTTGACGATATGGCGGGAAATACTGGTGTCAAGAATGCTGGTGGGAATACTTATTGAAACGCAGTACTTTGGTGATTTTGTTATGAGTACGAGCTTATGCAGTGTGCCTGTACTTGGGATTTGAAAAACAGTTGAATATTGTGTTTGAATGATTATCTTGATATTCCAGTAATTTACGAATTTGGAAGTATATATACTGAACAGTCTTTCTCCCCCGTGAAACTTTCAATAGGGAAAAAGCACACACTCAAATCCCAACACAATCCACTCAGCCAATGCCAAATACCATAATCAAGAAACACCCACCTCAAAATGCCTCCTCCACCTCGCCAACTCCACCCAATAAGCCGCCTTCCCCCTCTCCTTCTCCTCCACAACCTTCGCCCCCGTATTCTCCTCCAAATACCCCGGCCAAGTCTCCAAATAAAAGCCCCCCAACTCCAAGCGCTCCAGTCCCCCAATTCCCGCCAAAGCCCTAACCACCTCCCCATCCGCACCACCACCATAATGCTCCGCATCACTATCCCAATGGACCTTCACCTCCTTCAGTCCCGTCGCGTAGTAAGACAGGTAGTTGAAGAGCGCGATCCATGCGGGGCCTGAGGGAGGCGTGCCCGTTGATGTGGGATTGGGACCGGGGTTGTAGACTGCGTGGATCATGATGCGGAGGGTGTGGAGGGAGGAGGTGTTTTCGGGCCCGATGCGCGAGAGCCAGGTGAGGCTGTGGTCCGGGTTGAAGATTACGAAGGGGTGTGTGGTGTAGTAGGCTGCGTCGGGGGTTGGGCGTGTGGCGGAGGGGTCCATTATGTGGATTGGTTTTTGGTGGGTGGGCATTGTAGGGGTTTTGATGTTGGAGGGGGATGAGATATCTTTGGGTTTCTTTGGATCTAGAGAGTGCTATGCTATACAAGAGGACCTTCTGTGGTAAAAAGAAAAAGAAAAGTGAGGATCTTAAAACTTTCCTTATCACTCCTCCTCCCAGTGGCTAGGTTACACACAGAGGCTGAGACGGGTTCTTGCACTCACCTCACTCCACCTGAGGCGGTTGCCTGAGTGTCAACCAACTGACTGGTGGAAACTGCGGTTCTGAATGTCCGAGATCTTCATGCGTCTATCATCTGAATGAACAGTTTATGACGAAATGCTATCATATTCGTGGGTAATTGCTGATTTGGAAATATTGATTGATAGAGCTTGCACAGAACGTCCGAGGAGGTGTTTGGTATCAGCTCATCTATCAGGCTACTTCTCATACTGATAGGATGGCCTTGTATGGTATGGCGGGGGAAGATCTTCTGTTAACGTATGTTTTTCGTTTTGGAAAAGGGGGGTGGTCACGTGGAATTGCTCGCTAAATTTCATCAAGCGAGTTTAAGTTGTGCGTCGTCTTGTTTAAGGAATTGGGATCAGGAAGAACATTTGGTTGCTTTACTTCCTGGAATGGTGTAAAGTATATGTATCTCGTTAGTAGTATCAAGTTTCATCGGGCTAAGATGGCTCTTTCAGCTATGGAAAGGGGCAAGTCATAGTTTAAACGACGTCAGGATAACTTCATCTGCATGCCAAACAATTCTACTTGAGTGAAATAGTTATGGACGTTCAAGAGCGCATTTTCAGATCAGTGTACTCTATATATAAATTAACTATCGACCAAGAATAAGTAATAAGTTATAGTCTTGAACATGAGGGAGAGGGAAGGGTGCAAGTCTTCTATGTATATCAATCACTATCAGGAATTACTCAAGTGAATCTCCCTTTGATCTCCTAGCCCTTCTTCCCATAAAAACATCCCAAACCAAAGAATCAAATCAAAAAGGTTTGCAAGAAAAAAAGAAAATTAAAAGCAAGAAAATGGCAAAAGATCCGACTCCTAAACCTGTACTATAAAGTAAGGGAGCACTCGGTGATAATCAGGCAAACTGGTTTCTTTGAGCTAAAACATCTTGTTGATATTTTCGCCGCCAGGTAAATACTCCAGTCAACTGTCATTTGTTCTGGGAGATGTATGAGTTATTTGGGGGGGTTATGTTGTGTCGAGTTTTGGGAATACTGAGTGTATGGTTTGTGGTCTGAGCTTTATCTGATTAAGGTACTCACTCCTGATTCAGTACTTGAGACGTGTGATTCCTATAGAGAAACGGTTTCAAATGATGTTATTCGAGGGTTGTTCGAAAGGTTTGGTTTTATGTATTAAGTATTTATCTAGAGCTGCTTACTTTATGTTAGTTATACATTAAAACATGCACCAAAAGTGGATGCTTTTGATGCATCTGTTTGTTATTATAACCCGGAAAGACTGTGTTTCAAGAAAGTGCACGAGCTGCATGAAGACCTTTGCTATCAGATAAGGCTAATACACTTTCCTAGGTACTTCTACTTCATACTGTTACCCACTTTGTAACTTAGGTACTTTTCCCAGGTGGATACGGACTATCCGTAAGGCGAGAGAATTGGATGCTTTCGCAGCGAGGTAATTGCTGGAAGTTTCTATGTACTCGAGTACTGGATATTACTCACATGACCAGAGGTTTATGATAATCGTAGAGAAAGTGGTTGCATTTATTTACTTTTTATTTGTGCTTATTTCTTGGCGTTGCTCTGGGCAGAAATCAATTTTGACTTGAACATGAGCCAATGAGGTAGCAACGAAATAAGCTCATATTAAGTCCCGAAGCCGGCAAAATGGAAAGAGAGAGGAGAATGCTTGGTTTGGAATTGAACCATTCCATTTCATGAAGCCTGCGGTCAGGCATCAAGCATTGGGAATGGGAACGAGTCCAGTGGGGTGGATCCAGAGAGGCCGCGCCCACGTGCGCCAAATTTCTTCAGCCCAATTGGGTTTGGTGGTTGCTTGCCCAACGCGACTTCCCTGTGCCGTCGCATGGTGCTCTAAACAAGCCCCACCACTTGAAGCCCCTCATCCCTGGTTTCCAGCGCAGTGATTTGTGCCTTGCATCTTGATTTCCAACCTCTCTTTGCTGCACAACACAATTGCATCCTCCATCCTCCATCCTCCATCCACTTTCCCACTCTTCCACTCTCCCACTCTCCTCTCCCATCCTCCTCCTACCACCTGCACTGCGAGCGATGTCCAACTTCATCACCAATCTGTTCCCCTCTAATCAAGGGGGCCAACAGGAAGATATACCCCGCATCGGCCAAAATGAGAGACCCAGCACACCCGTTGGCAACAACTTCATGACTCCCGTCTCGACTCCTCAAGGAAGCCCAAGCAAGAAGCAGAATCCGCCAGGTGCACACGATCTTCCTAATGTTTTCGAGAATGCCATGAAGATCGCACCTCCAGCAGTAGGAACTCCAACCACAACTAGAAGCGGACGCCCGTTGACTGCCAACTCCCCAGGAAAAGCAAATGCGCTCACGACGGACGAATCATTCTTCGCAAACTCACCTGCCAATGTCGATGATAGTGTCGTATATAAGTCCATCTCCCCAGGCAGCCCTCTTCGAAAACAAGGTCAAGAGAACACGCCGCCAGCATCGCGCCATGGACTGGACGCCGCCACTCAGAACCTGGCTGCCATGTCAAGACAGGAGCTTTACCAGCCAAGGGATCAAGGATCTATAGCAAACAGAAGTGGAAAAGTCAACACGCAGCGTGGATTGACCTCAGAAGAATTGGAGATTATGCACAAACCCAACGTGAAGCGTCTTGCAAATGTCACACAACTCTGTAAGTTGGGCAGCAGCTACATGACCTACACCGCTGATAACTCGCAGATTTCCTTGACTACTATCTCGATCTGATAACCTATGTTGGATCCCGTCAAAATCGTCTCAGCCATTTCCAAGCCGAATTTCCTGCACCTCCTGCTACCCCCGAAGAAACATATAATCCGCTATGGCAAAAGTATGCCGGACGAGAGCGTGCAAACCTCCGAAAGCGTCGAGTTCGTCTACGACAGGGAGATTTCCAGATTCTTACACAAGTTGGACAAGGTGGTTATGGACAAGTTTTCCTTGCTCAGAAGAAGGATACAAGAGAGGTGTGCGCGTTGAAGGTCATGAGCAAGAAGCTTCTTTTCAAGCTTGATGAAGTTAGACATGTTCTCACCGAGCGTGATATCTTGACCAATGCTAAGAGCGAGTGGCTTGTGCGATTGCTTTACTCGTTCCAAGATGAGAAGAGTATTTACCTCGCAATGGTAAGTTCAAGAATGCCTAAGTTTATGTGCCCAGCTAATTAGTGTTCACAGGAATACGTCCCTGGTGGAGATTTCCGAACTTTACTCAACAACACCGGTGTGCTTGCGAACAGACATGCTCGATTCTATATTGCGGAAATGTTTTGCTCCGTCGATGCCCTTCATCAACTTGGTTATATCCACAGAGATTTGAAGCCCGAAAACTTTCTCATCGATTCTACTGGACACGTTAAACTCACCGATTTCGGTCTCGCTGCTGGTTTCCTTGCACCTGGAAAGATTGAATCGATGCGCGTCAAGCTTGAGAAAGTTGGAGAGACATACGTACCATTTGGTAAGCCAATGGAACAACGATCAATCGCCGAACGCCGAGAAGGATATCGGTCGATGAGAGACAAGGATGTTAACTACGCAAAATCAATTGTTGGCTCCCCCGATTATATGGCTCCAGAGGTTCTCAAGGGAGATGAATACGAGTACTCCGTCGACTACTGGAGTTTGGGATGTATGCACTTTGAGGCGCTGACTGGTTTCCCTCCTTTTGCTGGTGCAACAGTTGACGAAACATGGAAGAATTTGAAGCACTGGAGAGAAGTCTTGAAGCGTCCTGTCTGGGAGGATCCAAACTATTTCATCAGTAACAGAACATGGAACTTTATTACAAGGTATGTGCACATTAAAATATGAAATGACGAAAAGCTAACCTCGGTAGTTGTATTGCCTCTAAAACTAAGCGATTTCTTTCGATCAAGGAAGTGTATAGCCACCAGTATTTCGCTGAAGTCGACTGGGAGACACTTCGTGCTCAACGTGCTCCTTTCGTGCCTGAACTTGATTCTGAAACAGATGCTGGCTACTTTGACGATTTCAGTAGCGAGGCTGATATGGCTAAATACAAGGAGGTTCATGATAAGCAGACCGCTTTGGAGAACATGGCCGACAGAGAAGACCCGATGAGCAAGAGCTTATTTGTTGGATTTACTTTCCGACACCGTAAGCCAGCACCAGATGACAATGCTAAGCCGAGTCCGCGAAAAGGCATTGCCACAGATGGGACATTTGGCACAATGCTTTAAATGAATTCCGTTGAGAGGATTTCATTTCATGACTTTTTCAAAGAAGGTAGCGTTTTATGGGGAGGTAGCACAACACCCGTTGAACGAGTGGGATTAATTCAATGTATCTGTAATGATTGGTTGCCTTGGTATTGCGCATAGGGAGGAGGGGTATGGGGGGTTTCGGCTGGAGTTCAAGATGACAACGCTAGGAATGCTGCGCTGGGAAGGGGTGTAATATTAGGTATCGATAGAATTTGATGACTTTCGAAACTCTTTTTGATCATGGTTAAAGTCTCCAATGCTATTCGTTTGGCGCTTATTTGCTTTTGGACTATCTATTTAGTGAGTGTTGGCGCCTCAAAATAACGAGAGAAAGGCAAATTTACACCACAGTACCAAACTGACCGTTTCTAATTTACTAACATTGAGTGATGCGAGGTATGGAGGTTCAAGGTCCTTCTCAAGTTCCATACAAGAACGTCAATATCAGGGGTATTAATATTTGAATGCTGACGCGGTGTGGCCGAGTTCTGTTGACGTGGATCGCAACGTCTTTTGTGACGTAGAGTTCAACCTTGTATTTCTTTCTGTGTATCTGATTTGTTAAAGTGTCATAGACAGGATTGAGGGTCTTGTGGTACGTCCTGTAATTTCGTTCATACATAAGCACTGAGAAAGTCTTCCGCCTTTTCGCGTGGGTAATTGGATTCGAGGTTTGCTTATGCGAGGGATGTGTCTCCGTTCTTCTGTTGTGTAAAGCGCCGCAGAAGTCATCTCACTACTAGATCTCACCAACTTTACGCAAACCAATTATATTGGAGATAATGTGGTATTTCGGGTAAGCCTCAAGTATTTCACGCTGCATCTCCGTTGCATGTCATGGTTTTCATCAAGTGTATTTTAACCAATGCAAAAGATTAGTTGGTAACTACTGTATTACTTGCGTACTTTAGCTTGTCTTGGTACCTTTCGGCATTCCTAGATTACCGAGGGTTGACAAGGAATGGGAGCCTCTTGTCACTTGTACCACCTCTATCCATCGCATCCGTGGCTGACGAACGAACGACCTCAACACCCGATTAGGAAATAGTATAGTAGTAAGAAGCAAAAGCTTATTTACTTCTACCATACAACCATCAGCCAAGATGCACATTTCTCCACCGACAGCTCTGGTAAACTCAGGCACCATCCTTCACCTTACTACGTATGTGCGAACGTCAAATCTCTGCTGTGCATGCCCTCACGGAACTCCTAAGTTCTCGCTCGCTTCGGCCATACATCGTGAGTGAGTGACGCGTGAACGACGTAGCGGTGCCGGTGGGAGACAAGGGCGAAGATTGCGGAAGGAGTAAGCACCGATGATCGGTGGGAAATTAACTGCTATGGCTTCAGCGACAATGAGATAATGAGATAATAGGCACTTCACTCTGTATCGTGAAACCTGCGTGAAACGTATATATATATATATGTTTCCCAAAGCCACTCTGAAGCATTGTAGAAGAGCAGCTCTTTTCAACACCACAGCTTTGAGAAAGAAATAGCAAAGATGCATTGGTTATCAGCAGCCTCCCTCACACTTCTCTCCTTGAAGGGAGCCCTTGCTTTCCATCAAGGTCTTCAATCGATACCAGATCGCTTTGAGAAATTTTGCAAACCCATTTCGGGGGATATAATACTCGAGCAATTCCAATTGTATCCCGAGAACTCGGATTTCTCTTTAACCACATGCCTTCTATACTTCACGTGGGTCTCCCGGTCCCATTTCAACGAATTGCAGCAAAAGATTCTAACTGGTGATATCTAGAGCCGTCTGGAACGCCACAGTAGTAGTCTACGACCCCTACGCCGGCAAAACAGTCGACATCATCGAATTCCCAGGCTACTCCCACAACCCGACCTACCACACCAGCGGCATCCAAGTCGACCAACGAACCAACCTCCTCTCCATAAGCCTCAACGTCTTTGCCCCCTTCGCCAACAACGGCACGGATGTCTCAGGTACCAACCAACTCGTCGAATATGACACCATCAAGAAGGAAATCGTTAGCTACACAAACCTAACCGAGACGACGCAGGGGAAATTTGGAGGGTATCAAGACGTGGATAATGACCCTGAGGGCAATATTTACATGCTTGGTACTTATGGAGCGAATATCCTGAGAACCAGTGCGGATTGCAATACCACTGAAGTTTTCTACCTGAGAGAACCGGCGCTTACTACGATTCCTGGGTATGGTGGATGTGTATCGAATGGATGGGATCTCATCGTGAACGACGTCCTCCAAAGCAAGATCTTGAAATTCGATATGCGTCAAGAGAAAGGCGTGCCGGTTGAAATTCCTCATACGCCGAATGTGACATGGGGATATTCAGATGCCATTATGCTCCCATCAAAGTACTTGAACACTGTTCTTCTTATTGCGATTGATTTGGAGGGCATTGTGGTTTTGAGATCCAAAGATGCGTCGTGGGATTCTGCGGAGTATTTGGGGTTGATACCGAATCCGATTTCTACTGCTTGGACTGTGGCGGCGGTGCAGATTGGGCAGAGTATTTATTTGCAGCCCATGGAGGTTGGGGATGTGAATCGTCCGAATCCGGGTCCGTTGAATCAGACTGCGTTTCCGTTGATTGATATCACTGAGCAGCTGGAGGGGCTTTTGGGGGCTTGAGTGTGTACGGTGCTGGAATGATAAAAGGGATAGATTGGGTGGAAGATGTAGGCAGGAATAGAAATAAAATGATGCGAGTCGGAATTCTTGATTTGCTGAAAGTGACTTTTCTCCGCCTATTTAACGAAAAAAGGGAGATGAGCGGCCTCTACGTAGGTGGCACCTTTGGAGACACCACAAAATGAATACTGGCTCTCAGCGGAGGCGCCCAATCTTGGGGAATAATCCAGGGTATTGTACAGAACGCAATCACAGGAATATATCCTTTACGGCCCTCAAAACTTTGCACTCACACTTATGACCCTTCTTACTCCACCCTAGAACTTGACACGCCTATAAAAACCATTAGCCTCAAAATCAAAATCCAACACAACTCCTGATAGCTCCAAGTGAATCAACAAATGCGATTCGCAAGACCTACCTTCCCACAATACCAAACACTCTCACAGCCTTTACACCTAACCATCCCTTCAACCTCCTCTTCACTCTTCCCACACCCCTGACAGCTCTTCTTGCCCTCTTCTTTCCTCCTCCTCTCACCAATCTCAATCAAATTCATCAACCCAGTCGGAAGAACCTACACCACCAATGCCCGTCAGCTTACATCACCCATCAAACACCCACCGTCACATCACTCACAAAAATCCCCTCACCGTCACTCCCACTCTCACTCCCATCCCTCCACAATCCCTCAATAAACCCCTTCTTCTCCTTCCGCCCCAACTCCGCATTCTCCTCCCTCGCCCCCTTCCTCCTCGCCATCGGAACAACAACACACTTCCCCTTCCCAAACGCCTTCCTACCCCTCGGACTCTCGTAGAAATTCCCATCCCCACTCGCGGGCGCCGAGCCCTCCCCGGATTGTCGCGAGGTGAGTTTCAAGGTGACTGCGAAGGCGTGTCCATCGCGGTCTTTACAGATGAATGTCGGCGTCACGGGGGTCAGCGTCATGTTTTCGGTGATGGTGCCTAGCAGGTAGTAGGGGTCTGGATGGGGTGGGGGAGGGTCCTCGGTGAGGGGGCATGTTGTGAAGATGGGGAAGAGGGTGGGGGATGTGAAGTCTGGCAAGGGGGTAGTCATGTTGGGGGTTGTGTGGTTGTGGTTTGGATGATGGGTTTTTGGGTTGTATTCGTACTGTAAGCTCATGGCAGGGCAGATACTGGAGGGGTGATTTTTGTGGGTTGCGGGTTTGGATGGGAGTGGGGACCTGAAACTGGGGTGCAGTGTTCNTTTTTGGGTTGTATTCGTACTGTAAGCTCATGGCAGGGCAGATACTGGAGGGGTGATTTTTGTGGGTTGCGGGTTTGGATGGGAGTGGGGACCTGAAACTGGGGTGCAGTGTTCTAAAATCTGACGACTTGGCTGAGCTAAACTTCGGAGGCTTATTATGGTATGAGAAAGATCTTCTGGTCGGGGAGTACAGAGAAACCGTAATTGAGTCAAGATTTCTGTTAAAACTAGTGGGATTGCAGTACTTTCTTGTTGCGTCCACGTTCCCGGCCAAGTCAAAATAACACGTGACGTGTCCGGAGTTCACTATGACGTGCCAGTGTTCCAATTGTTACCTAGGTATTACAATCTATCTTAGAACTCAATTCAAGGAGTGATCGCTTGCTCGGTTCAGGTTCTGACAACATACCAGTACTTTTCGGTTGTTGTCAGCAAGCGAAAAGTACTAGCACGGTACATACAGAAGTTTTCGTGAGGCAAGAGTGGTTCAGACATCGGGTCGACGAGTAAGTTTACCGAGTCTCTAATAGACCCCTTAAAAACATTGTTACAAACAGAAATTTGGATAAAACTGGACAATGCATTCGGTCGGAGATTTCTAAAATAAACCTATTAATTAGATGAAAATGAGCAGAAGTACTAATTCTGTCTATAAAACCCTGTAACCTTCGTACTAGTACTGACAGTGTTCTTCGTATCATTTGGATTCTTTTTCTTCTAATGCCTTTATTGTGGCCAATATTCCCTCATGTAGGCCAATTAGCTAGATATTTTTAATAATTCTTATTTCGAACTTCGCTGGCACTCATCCCAGCCTTTCCTTCCAAGAAAACTATTGCTTGTCGATTGGCTCTTGACAGGTGCTAGATCTAGAAAGTGACAAGAAGTGGATCTATTGAAGAGAAGGGAAATTATATTAATCACCCCTAAGCGAAATAAATTACATGCAATAACCCAGCCTACGAATAGATAAAGCCTAGTGCTATACGGCATCGACATTTTGCTAAACGGCATCGAAGTGACATGGCCCCCAGCCACATTACGGTCTGTTCCTAGGTAGGTACCCTTAATGCCTCGTAACACTGCCTATATGTTATTGTTACCACCACCTTACCGTCGCTGTACCTCGCTGTCGCTATCTTATTATTACTACCTGTCTATTACTACTAGAATTAAATGTATACATATATTCTATGAAAATAAATAATTATGTTTTTATTTTTATTTTTTAACGAGAATCATCAAAAATAACATGGTAACAATAAGGTAGGTAGCGACGACGAGGTGTAGTAACAATAATATTATCGATACCTGAAATAATATCAAGGGTACCTGGTAACACACCGTAAAGTGCCTGGGGGGCCATGTTAATTACCTCCACCAGCCTCCACTTGATCCTTGGTACTGTATTTAGAGCTGTAACTCAGCCTTCTATTACCAGTGCTGTGGATTTTCAAAATGTCAATTGTGAGCAATTCTGGGTTGCTATTTCCGCTTCATCCTCGCTATATCCGTTTCTTTCCCCGCATCTTCGCTTACTTAACACCGATCAGCCAGCGCTAATGCTGACTTACCATTTATCGCCGACTTGTTATTTATTAAAGTCCGCTTCTACCCAACGTATATCCGATATAACTATCTTATGATTCTCAAGTCATAAAGGTTCAGAAAACTCAATTATTTTGTTCAGAATCGTAGACAGACACATACTACACAAAGCTCAATTGAAACCTTCCAACGCTTAATACGTTTCCATAATTCAGAATATGCCTCCACCACGCGGCACGAATAACGTTCTTGAAGGCCCTGGTAGGTGTTTTTCATGTTTTCTGTGACTACAGCAGAGCCTTTTCTCCAACAATGTTCAGGTGGCATGATCGCTTTATAAATATCAGGTGATATGGACGACCTACCTCTCTCTTTCATTTCCTGGGCCGCGCCTGCGTCGTTTATCTACTACCATGAAACTAGGCTACAAAGCATCGAATCTAACATCTCACAAGGGATTACGATGTAACCTCAAAGGTACATAGCGACACTTATCCCGAGATCTCTCCCCTCACAATTCCTGCAACCGAAAAGTCCGTCTTTGTGGTTGGAGCATCTCGAGGTATCGGTCTCGCAATTGCTATATCATTTGCTCAATCTGGAGCCTCCCAAATCGCTCTAGGCGCTCGATCAAACCTCTCCGCAGTCAAAGAAGCAGTTCTCTCAGCAGCCGAGAAAGCAAATCGGCCGGCTCCAAAAGTGATCTGTGTGAATATCGATATCACATCTGAATCCAGTGTTCAAGATGACGCTTCAGCAGTGGAAAAAGAATTCGGAAACCTTGATATACTCCTCATCAACTCAGGTGTCATCGGATCTATGAAGCGCATCGTTGATAGCAACTCAGATGAGTGGTGGGAGACTTGGATGGTGAATGTTCGTGGTCCTTATCTTCTTGTAAGAGCGCTGTTGCCTTTGCTTCTTGAAAAAAAGGAGGTGACAAAACAATTATCACAACGAGTAGTGTTGGCGCACACTTGACTGGTGACGGTTTAAGTGATTACCAAATGACCAAAACCGCCCAGATAAGACTTATGGACTTCGTAAGTGTAGAATATGGCGATCAGGGTATTGTGAGTTATTATATACACCCAGGTAATGTCCCAACAGATATGATCGGGGGCTCTGAAGGAATTGAGAAATTTGGCTTGACAGAAGGTAAGCATAATCCTGATGAATTTTGGTATGTGTTTTCACTAATTTGTGAGGGTAGTCTTCACTGAAACGCCGGAATTGGCTGGTGATACACTGGTCTTTTTGACCAGGGAGAAGAGAAGTTGGCTTACTGGGAGATATGTCAATGTGATGTGGGATATGCCTGAGTTGATGGGCAAGAAAGACTACATCGTGAAGGGAAACAAGTTGAAGGTAAAGTTGGATTTTTAGAGGATCTCGTGAGTTAAAGGTTATCTCCGATAGAATTACCTTATGACTCCTCCTTTCAATCACCTGATTTACCACGTGAGTTTTACAATTATTCGAAATCTTTACGGGCCATACCTAATGGGAAGTCATGTCATAGGTAATATATGGGCTTGATTACGGGAATTCTTTGGTGATTGTCCTCGTGGTTTATAACTTCCGGTGTTGTGATTCATCCCAGAACCTCCAGCTCAGTCTAAATGCCCTTACTGGGCCGTACAGTAGCTCAACGCAATGATTCACAATCGACGTAAGTACCCGATGGCAATCACTACTACACCATTATATATGCGTACACTTATTACCATTTATTATTAAGCTGCCAACATCCAACCCACTTGCTCAAAACAAACCTCAGTTCTCGACAGAAATGGACTCTAAGGAACAGATCGCAAACTCGCCAAAAGGAGGCGAAAGATCGGCAGATGAGATTGGTGATCAAATTGCAAACAACGCAGTCAATCATGACCGGTTAATTCTTACAGCATCAGATGTCAGAGAACCGCTCAAAACACCACGATTCCATTTTTTCGCTCGACTTGATCACAAGATCCGCCACAAGATATGGCTCCTAGCCCGCGAATCTTCATCTCGTAATCTCGTAGTAAGACTTCAAAACTCGCTCGACGGAGTGGAATATCGGCATCTGTTTCCGAACAGGGAGCCCTGGGAGATATATACGTCTCAGATTCCAACACTTCTCTCAGTTTGCAAAGAAGCGAGGGATATTCTTCTCCCCAAATACTCAGCTCCTTTCGACAATGATAATGTTCTGGTTTACAGTTTCAAAGGCTCGGTTCCAGGTGGAAACTTTCCCTTCTGTTGGGAAACAGATTTGCTTCTAGTTGACCTGGAGGAATATTGGTCACCAGGAAACTTACACAGGGTTTTTGCCGAAATCTTTGGTCATTACTATACAGACGCTGGTAATTCCTTGCTTTCTTCTTCTTCGGTGGTAAAGCAAAGATTGCGCCGGGTAGGTGGAAACTTCGTTATGTGGAATCGTGCATTAGGAAGCCAAAATCTGAGCCTGTCCAACGCGGCTTTTTTCGACGATTTCGAGAATTTGGAAGAAGTTGTCTTTGCGCCACTTTTCCAACGCCTACAGATGAATTTTCATAATCCTGCGCAGTATGGTGGCTTCGAGCGCGAATCTCTAAGAGGACCTTGGGGTCAGGATTTCCAAAGGAGGTTTCGAAGAGGCATGTTGAAATGGCTCCCAGACCAGTTGGAATTGCTGAATCAAAATCGAAGGAGCAATTTGGGGATGTAAGATTCAATAGACTACTACTTTTACGACAAAATTCCTCTGTTCCTTCCACCCACTGTATCTAATGACCGCAAGTCACAATCCTTCACGTTGTTTCCTGTGCTACCTGCAGAGCTTCGAGCGGAAATCTGGAGACTCTCATTTCCTCAAGAAAGATACATTGATATTCGGCCAACGACTGTACTAGATGATTACGGATATCCTACAAGCCTGACCGGCTCTTGGCACGCGGTTGCGAGCGAGTGTGTGCCAGTTTCGTTCTTTGTCAATCAGGAGGCTCGATTTGAGCTTCTAAGATATTACCAACCAATCAAGAGCAATGACAATTACCCAACTATCTTTGCGAATTTGAAACTGGATGTCCTTTGCATTTATCATCCTTGTCGAGATACTCTACCGAACTTTCTCACCACGGTTTCTGTTCGCACAAGAGAAGCTGTTACAAATATTCAAGGTCTTCGTATGACCAAACCAGATCGTGTTTACAACATCGATCGACTTCGCTCATAGTCTGCCAAATCTTCGTATAATTCGAATCGATCATGATCAAAATAGCAGTCTGCCGAGCCTTGCTTTCGACCGAAATCAACCGAGGACCATAGGCTGGGAGGAAGAGGTTAGTCGGGAGTTGCTGGAGGATGAGGAGAAGCAGCTTGAAGAGTGGGGGTTTGATCCTTCTGGCAAGCATCCCTTAATTCGGTTTGGACGACATCTTGAGAGTGATAGCAGGTCTATCAATTAATGCTTGCACTCCGGCCCAGCCCAGTCCATTCTGAACTTGATCCTTACCCAATCGTGTAATCAATATAGCGAGGGCTTAGAATGACAATTACTCCATGAATTCATCTTCAAATTGTTGATGGAGTTTTCTGTGATGAATCTTGATATTGAAATCATCTGTGGCCACTGGCAAGAACACTGAAACCTTACATTTTAACATCTTACGATTCTGTTCATGTGGAGTTTCGTTTGAGGGTTAGAGACATAGAATTTTCTGAAGCCCCCAATTCATACGATGAGCGGAGTCACTTACATAAGAAGCATATTGAAATTTTGGAAGGAAACCACCGATGTTGCGTAGTCCAGAGTCCGACCCAAAAAGAAAGAAAAAGAAAAACAATGTCCCTTGATATCATGTACATTAGGTTGCCCGTGGTGCCAACTGATGGTCCCAGAATACGTGGAAAGACGTATCGTGTATAGGATAGCCATGTCTGACGAGCTTAGCGAGCCGTGGGATCCGTTGCTCCAAGTTTTGCAGCCATGCATGTACCTCTGGTTTCATCCATCTCGTATTTTTGTAATCCTCAAATCCAATCATCGGTGCATGGCTGACGGGAGACCTATCATCGTACATGGTCCTTGATAGAATCTCTTGCAGGTTCGGGAGACTATAAATGAACTCTTCTAGTGACTGGTAGTCGGCAGCTCTATATCTGTTTCTACGGTGTTTTCCGAAAAGATTTAGGTGAATACTGGTAATCTGCTCCAGTACATCTTTCGGGACACACTTGAAGAAACCATCAAGAATATTTCCACCGTTGTAGGGGTTGTGGTCAAAACATATAATATCGATTTTTGGGTTGAAATATGCCGCTCCATATCCATCATTTGATTTTAATGGTATGTATGATTTCTGGACTATTGACCGTGCCTCTTGGTTAGCAAAGAAAAGTGCGGGTGCCCGTTCAATAGCGACTGGGTGCCAGTAGCTGATGTCGTTTGGATGCATCATGGACTGATCACATTCTGCATAATCATTCCAAACGGGTGGTTTGGTTATCATGATAAATCTCCTACGAGGAAGTGCTAATCGCCAAATAAGAATTCTGAGCTCCGTCGGAAGGTTGGGAAATAATTTGAAGGTCCGACCAGGTTGATTTTCTGGTAGCCGATAGCGTTCGTACGGAATATTTCGTTTTCGACGTCTGATCCCTGTTTTCAAAATCCGAGGTACGTACGGGCTTGACTCGTAAATTGGAACTTCTTTGCGAGACTTGATATACTCTGCTCCGTTATTTTCCTTGCAAAGTTTGTCGAGAGCTCTGTGTTGCCCTTTTTGGTAAAATTGTAAGAAGAACTTGAAGAAATCACCGCGAAACTTGCGTTCCAACTTTCTTTGATGATCATGTCTTCCTCAAACCCAAGTAACTTGGTACCTGATCGATTCTGCAGGTAAAGAGGGACATATTTCAGTTCCAAATCCGAGAAGCGTTCGAAGAATCTTGTGAACTTAGGTAGAGTGGTTGGATGCCTGAACAAGGATATGAAGAATTCATGATTGCCAGCAAGACATCGTAGGCCCTGGGTAATTGAGTTCGCATTGCGGCTACTGGCATATGTGGAGCCAAAAAGTTGACAAAAGATCATTTCCAAATTATCTCCCCGCTCCTGAAACACCTTGAGGTTGATCAACAAAGTATCGTTGTCCCAACAAACCAAGAAGTTTTGTGTCTGTTTTGTCTTATTTGCACGGCTTCTTACGTGTTGCTTGTTGAAAGGCGTGGTGTAGAATGGGAGAGTAGCAGCTCGTGACTCTGAGCAAACGTGTAGTAGAACCGCTTCCTGATTTACTCGAGCTTCCCAGCCGTTCCACACTCCGTAGATACTAGGTTGAGGCAGGATAAACCGGTACCGGCGGGTGGCAATGTGGTAGTGAATGTAACTATCTCGATCAAAAATTCCGAAGCCAAAGGTTCCCGGCCATGTGGTTACCTCAACAATTCGTTCAGAGTTTTGATGAGCAAAATGCCAGATCTTCCGACGGATATGAGGCAAAAGCTTCGCAAAAAGATGGAATGTTGGTTCTTCGGGGCTTGATTTGCGGAAATGGTTGAGTATCCGTTTCCGATAGGAAAGCTGCGTTTCGGAGGCTTCAGGAGCCATGCTTGCAATTGGCAGGCAGCTCCTCTGTGTGATCTGCTCTCTCAGATGTTTTGCTTATTTGAGGACTCTGTTGGTAGCTTTAATAAGTAACTAAAAGTTCTCACCAGTTGCGGGGTCAACCCCCCTTCTAACTTAGCTGGTGAATAGGGCTTTACCCTTAGGTCAGACCTTACCCCACCAGTGCCAAGTTTATCTGCACGTGGCTTTAACTAAGTACTCAATGAAGATACATATTCATTGCTTGGTAAACACCATGCGAAGTTTTGTTGTTTTCAGCTATGGCCAGCTGATATTATTTGTAAGTGTTGGAACTGCAGTAGCGAAAAGGTGAGGTGAGCGAGGCGAGGCGGGTGACGAGCGGGGGTTGGAAGTGGTGGACGGATAATGCTCTTTAAGCGACAATTTATACTAAACGAAATTAGTGGCTACAACAACACAAAGATAAAGTCCAAAGCGATACCAAAAAGCAAAATAGCAAGACTGCGGACTACTCCGTGGGAAATCCCATGGAAAACTTTAGCTGGTAGGATTTTCACGGTCATGCCATTATTGCTCTTGGAGGCTAAATACGGCTATCTAACTTGGGTTGCGACTGTTGCGACTGGACTCGGCATCAAAGTTCTACTAAATCTATGCTATATCTATGTACTGAATGATGGTAAAAAGAAAACTGTTCGTGAGAACAGGATTGTGGTAGATCCCGTTTACATTTACTCACTCCGTCACGCACAAGCTCGGGGAAAGTTTCCTCATGATAACCTTTCTATTTCCTAATTATGAAATAGCCAGCTAGATTTGTGGAAAGCAGTAAGTATGGAATTGCCATTTGACGGCCAGAACAGTGAATTGGGGGTCGGATTTCATGAAAATGGGAGGACAGTAGTGCTTCTTCTTAGACCATCAAAAGGAAAAGGGTATATTTTGGCTTGGCTATGCCTATTGTGGTTGAAGAAAACGGTCGAAAGCGAAAGAGGAAACTTGATCCGGAGGGTGCCTTCAAGCGCCTGAGTGTTGCGTTGAAGGGAGCTTTCAAGATCATACTAATGCTTAGGGTTTCCCGGCCGAAATCGCTGGATCCAAGCAAAAGTGATGAGTAAAGAAAGAGGTGATGGCTTCAAAAGTTTCGAGGCTTGTTTCGAATTTTGGATGAAGGAAAGATTCAAAGACATGGAAGGCTTGTATGCTTTTCGCTTGTGGTCATTTCGTCGTGGGAGGTTTTGATTATCATTGCTATGGTTACCGAAAATCCGAATGATCTTGACCCATCTTTCGGCGAGGTTACTGTGAAAATATGCGTTTAATATCTGGCTCTCCGACGTGACATAAGGGAGACTCACACCCAAGAAATAAAAGAAATGATCAGCCTCGTGACGGCGTGGCGAGAAAATCGTGTACGAAGTTATTATTACCTTTCATCATAACCCCCTTATTGACTATTACGCGTGCTAACTTTGAGTCGAGGATCCGCCTTTATCATTGTCCCAAATCTCAAGAGAGGCGCCTTCCAAGTACCATTAGACTGTTCCTCAACCACTTGTGATATTTTGGAAATTTCTTCGAGGTCCGCTTTTATTTCCATGGGTCTGGAGATTCACAGGGTCAGCTTTGATAGAAGGGCCGAGAAATAGACCGAGCCCAAAGGTTCAACTTACGTTTCCTCGTTGAAGCCGGAAATGATTCCTGGTCGTAGTCCAGTGGAATTTGTCGTTATCATGAGCTCTTTGAGACATAAATTCCTGGAGAGGTCCTCGAAGAATCGTTTCCACAACCTGTGTTGAGTTGGACGTCGGGAAGGAGTGATCACAAGTTTCCGGATCAACTGCATGGCATCTTGATGCATGTGGCTTAAAGCCTCCTCCCTGCTATCAGCTCGATAATTGCTATAGATGCAAAACAAATCAACTTCAAAGTCGCACCAGATCGTTGATATGCCCTTCGAAGAAGCTCTGATTGGTTTATAGTGTTTTTCGACAACGTACTTTGCTTCCTTGCTGACAAAAAATAAGGCTGGAGCTCTTTCGTTTTCAACTGCGAAGTATGTATCTGTTTGCAGTTCTGAGTCTGGACCATCATAGATACGGTATGGAAATTCGATTATCCTCTCACGCGGTAGTGCGAGTTCCCAAATATCCAGTCGAAGTTCGGTGGAAAGCTCTGGGAAGCATGCAAATTTCTGTAGCTTTCGATCTTCCATAGCGGCTATACCCGCGACCTGCTCAGTGTGTTCTGATGCCATTGCGCTCGCTGAGACAGTGAAGGTGACACTTCCTCGTCGTTATGATTCCGAAATTTCAAGTTCCTGCCTTACTACTGGGACACCTTTGGCTCTGAGATCTTTCGAAGGTGTTATTTAGTCTGGTGTTGATGTTGTGATGTTGTAATGGTGCGTGGATGGTGGTACCTGCGAGCAAGAGGATGGGGTTTAAGTGTGTGGAATTATGGGGTGAGTAAGGTTGGTTAATAGAAGTGAGGTGAGTAATAAAAGTCTTAAGGCGAGGTTTGTAAGGATCTGGATTCACTTATAAGGCATTTTCTGTGAATAGACATACGTACAAGGGTCCGAGCACACACAAGGAAGGCATTTATGGGGAAAATTCATTCACAGATTGCAGTAGTAGAAGAGAGGTACCTGCGAAAATTAACTTACAAAAAGACTCAATATTATGCTGGGGTCTCAGTTGAGCATTCCATACTCGGATTTCAATTAACTATTCGGATTTTACATAATAACATTCCAACACTAGCAGAGCACTAGGAAGTAGCACGTTGCCAGCAATCACCAATTTGGAGAGAGGATTGGGAGGGCACGTGGGAGATACATGAACGATTCAGTTGGAAATTTCACTATAATATCCTGGAGTCTGGACTGTGTGTTTTTTGAAAGATTTTATTGCTTAGAGAGATTCTGTCAAGCTAAAGCTAAGCAAAGGTGGCTTGGGAGGTTGATGCAAGTATTAGTGACTTTGGTGTTTGTAACGTGAGAAAGAGGTACTGTACAGGCAAAGGAGGAATGGTGACGCGAAAGTGGTGATGGGCAAGTGGTGATGTTATTGTTATGAAGAGATGGCGAAGGAAAGTCTTTGTTGTATTCTTGCCGATGCATTTGAAGTGGAAATGGTTTCTTTTCGGCATTGATTGCCCTGGGTTGTTGTAAATTGAATGTTCGTCAACTTGATTTTTCGGAAATTTGGGTATGTTTATGTAAAGTATAGCTGCGGTCTTCTGGGCATCTTTCGTGAGTTTCAAGGTGAAGTGTTTTCGCTGAAGTCAGCGTGTGTTTTTGAGTCTGGTATCAGTAACCACAACCTCGTTGGGCCTACAGATGAGTTAGATTTGTGACTCACTTTCAGATTGGCGATAGCAAAACTTACACTGGCTTGAGACAATAGGGGCTCATGTTGCAACATGTCAATATGAACGAGACTGAAATCTCCGTAGACCTTCTCTACCTTGTCCAAGACTGTAATGACCGTTGACTTTCTTTGCGTTGCTTCGTCTAAGGTCTCCCAGTCCCAAGACTGGTGGTTTCTTCCAAGCAATTTTTGGCTTTCGCAGCATTTCCTCTACTTTGGTTCTGATTGCTAACAACCATGGCTCGCTACAGGATACGCTAAGACATACTTGTATTAGTCTGCTGTTGTTACCAAAAAGTTGTCAGGAGTATATGTAGACCTCCTGTCTTGGTGCGTTTTGGACGCTAGTATATATCCAGACAACAAAACTCAACTTACTGTGTAGAAGGTCTTTTGACATCCATACTTCCTGGGCCGGATGAACGAATGTGATATGACCCAGTAATCACAACCTCCTCCAAGCTGCTCATCTTTCCCCAGCATTCAATCGTAGCTCGGCAACGACTAGAAATGCATTGTTGAATGATCTTTCTGATCAACTGCAATGCATTTTCATGAAAGCGACCTAAGACATCAACCAACGTTCCAGTTCGAAACCAGAACTCAAATAGATCCACCTCAAAGTCACACCAAACTGTTTCGTACCCAGCTGATCCTTTGATTGGGGTGTAATGTTTCTTCACAACGTACTGGGCCTCCTTATTGACGAAGAATAGAACTGGAGCTCTTTCTGTGGCAACCGCAAAACGCTTGATGATGGCTCCATCTTTCCCTGATTCGACATATTCGATGCGTCGTTCGCCGGGAAGAGCAAGTCTCCAAATCATTTGCCGAATTTCCGCTGGAAGTTTCGGGAAGAACTTGAACTTTCGGATCTTGACCGAAGTCTTCGGGTTCTTCTTGGCTGGCATTTTGTGGAGCTCTGGTATATGGAGTTCAGGTTCGTTCTTCTTTGTAGTGTATAGATCGAGATCGATGGTCAAATTCCAAGTTGGAATCTTGCGGCGGCGAAAGAACGGCGATGTGTGTGTTTCTTGATTATGGCATTGCCATCAAATTATTCTGCAAAGACAACAGAGAGTTCTGTCAGGCTCCTTGTTCTGGAGCAGAAGTTGCCCGTTGCCAGAATTGGAATTGAATGAGGGAAGAGATCGAGGAATTGGTACGATTAATTCACCATTAAGCGATATAAAAGTGGGTGCTATCCTTGGCGCCACGGGCGCCTCCACGTCCCCAAATAGGCAGGTGCGATCTGACAAGAGTTAACATGAGAAACACCTCCAGAGGTTGACTTCGCTAATTTTAGTCAAGTATAATTTGACAAGACAAGCAAAATAATGTAGATCTATTGTCCTTATATCGTATACTTCACAGCAATTGTCATGAGGATACCACTTTTGAAATTCACTTGTTGAACTTGCCAGAACACACAATCAGGGAGCTCGAGAACCTAGTTGTGGTACTTCGACCATTTGATGATGGAAGAATTGAAAGTGAACGCGCGATGCTATCAGAATATATTTCATATCATTGTTGGATAATCTAGGGAAACGACTGGTATAAAGAAGTGAGCTGAGTCTTCTGGTACAGTATCTTTTTGATTCTACGTAGTCTTGAATGATTTCATTGCACATTTTATGAACTGCATCGAAGACTCTTAGGACATCGATTGTATCAGAATTTTTTCTTTTTTCTTTTTTTGAATCGATATCTTAATCGTAATTCGTACCCAAGTATTAACTTCTGGAGGTTTATTTAACTTTATATTCAAACTTGCTCTAAACAAATCCTCTTCTTTCCTCCCAACCTAAAGCAGACAATTACTATAATCAAATAAGCGAAGACGCGTCCTACACCTATTCACTCCCTCACTCCCACACCCCTCCCTATCCACATTTCAATATCGAATCTGCCCTCCCCTCCTCCTCCCCCTTTCCCCCTAAAACCTCCATCCCCCAAAAATCCAAAAAGATACGCCCCTAAAAAATCGCAAAAAAAAAGCCCAAGGCTCGGACTAACTCTGCATCCCTACATCTCTTTTGACTCTTGAGCTCAGGAAGTTGGTTTATCTCGCAATATCAGTGGCCCCTCCACGTCCAATTTCTACTGATTTGCTGGGGGTGGAAGGGGGGTTATTTGTTGATATAAATGGAACTTGGTGGAAGAGTGGGAGCCTTTTGTTTTGCTGTTCATTATGTTCACTGCCATTTGTGGGAATCCGTACGAATTGTGAACGATTGAGCGTCATACACGTAAGGTTATTCCCATGACATGGACACTCATTCCAATCCCCCCAGTCTTTAGCATTCTTGTCTCCCAAATCCATTATGACTCGAACAAATTTCAGCGACGGCCTCTTCCAGTCTGGGCTCTCAAGTTCTTTTTTCGCAAAGGGCTTTTGGGTATTTGGATATCTTTCATCATTGAGCTGAACTTCTGAGATATCAAAGGTGGCGATGCGGCGATTTTATCCGATGGGTCAAGAAGTTTGTTGGTATAAGTCCCAGAAAAATCTCCTTGTCGTGAAGTTCTTCCATTTCGGCATCTTGAATACCGCTGTCCACAGTTCTCGTGAGCCGCATGGGTAGCATCACTCTCCTGATAGATGCCCCGGACTCATGCACACGTCGCAAAAGGGAACCTAACGGAAATCTATTGCGTTTCCGCGTATAAATTGCAGGTTTCCACCAATGATGAAAACAGAATATGTCGATTGAAAGGTCGCACCAAATCCTGGGCGATCCTGGTTTCGTGTTGATAGGCGTGTATAGCTCTTCGACTAATCCCTTTGTTTCATGGCAGACCCAGAACAGGGCTGGAATGACCCACGGCGCACGAGCATTCCATAGCTCATCCAAATTAAGGTCTTCTTTAGGAGGCAAAAAGTCAATGAATCTCGCTCCAGGCAAAGCGAATCTCTAAATGATCAGCCGAAGCTCAGTAGGAAGTTTTGCGAAGAAGAAGAAACCATAGTCGGTCTTTTCTTTGATGGAACAATGAAACGTTTTGTCACCTTCCAGAGTACTCTTTTTCTCAAATGTGGCGACCGAAGTATTGAGAACTCCCATATGAGCAACAGATATCGCCATCATCGAATTTGTACCAAGCTGCAACCCAGGATCAATGATTGTGTCTTCTTCCTTGGATACTGTATCATGCCATTGCTTTTGCCTGCCATTTTTCTTATGTCGAAATCTCTCAATGTACTCGGCCTGTGACTCGACTAGCTTCTTCGTCCCCATACTCATTGTGTTATCTGATAGTGCAAGACTCCCCCCAAGAAGGAAGGGAACGGTCTCTAGCATACTTGGTATGCCTGATACTAAACTTATGCCGTATTAGATATTGTACGACCAATAGGATCGAACAACTTGTTGCGAATGGGTAAATTAGTAATGAGACGGTAGGTAGTAAGGTATCCGTTCAGAACGTTAATATGGAGGAAGACTTCAGTAAGATTAGATTTTCTTCAGGCTACTTTGTGGCTGGCCCTGGTAGCATTAAAATGTCGTTTAAACAAAGAACCTTCCACTTTGTCAATTCTCGCCACATGATGCTAGTACTTTATTGAACAATCTCCCACATACAGCAATCAAGAGTATCTCATATGAGTATGAACAAGATCCGTTCCAAACACATCCTACTTATATATAGCCTCACTGAAATAGAAGCCTATGCTTTGGCATGTTCATATGGGATTTCAAGGGGCTAGAGAACTTTAGATATACCTGAAACAACCTCATATCAATGGGTCGCTCATTCAAAAGACTTCCAATGTACCGATGTACAGGATGATCATCTTCTCAGGTTACAATCTGTCCGAGGTGATAGAAATAAAAGATTATTTGTCATATCAAGTTACCGCAATTACTAAAACGTTCAAATTCGCAAAGCATTTCACTTACAGACTTGAACACATAATAGAGCTTGCCACAATTACGTCATCTCTTTCATAACTACAAAGAGTCCAGTCACACAATCAAGAAAGCCCCATTTCTCGAAAACTACCACTTAAAGGGAAATCCCTTGTGCTGAACTTTTATCATTGTAAATGCCAATAATTATATAGAGCATACCGTTACTCAAGCATCTGATGGCGTAGGAATCTCACACTCTGTAACTCTGGCCCCGAAACGAAACAAAATCTGGTTAGTTATTCGAGGCTTCTTGAAACGCAGATTTGCGGATAATCGTGATTCGTTTAACACTTCAACTTTCCCTCTGCTGTGGTGCCATAGTTTCTGTTTGTCTGCATCGAATCTACAGATAAATTGCTCATTGGCATCTTCGGGTCTCTCGGGACCTTCTCGCGGTACTTCTATTGCAAGAAAGCGATAGTGGCAACTTGAACTCTCTGCAGATTTGGGGCCACAAAAAATGCATCATAATAATTGTCGTCCATCCACTTCAAATTATCTCACTCAGCAACACCCCAAAGAACGTATCTGAGGGTTTCTTTGAAATGATAGGGCAGTGGTGACAATCTTTCTGAAATCTTAAGATTTGCTCTTGTGCGACAGAAGTAGGAATACCCTTGTTGAAATTGCAATGGATCGCTAGAGATCCATCGGTGCTTTCAACAGTGGTATAAAGCAACAGGATTCTATTCCCTGCTTGGCAATCCACAAAGAATTGTCCAGGGTTGGAAGTGGGCGCCATGTACCTCAGTGTTTTCCTGTGGCAGGGTTACAAATCTAGTTAATGTCTACCAACTACATATCTCTTAGACCTAGTCTGTTCACTCGTATCAAAATCCACTCACAAACATAGCAAATGTTAGGATACCAGCTAAATATTATTTTTATTCTAATTTAGCAAGAAAGGTATATAACTGTACAGGAATAATCAGCGTTGTTAGCTACGAACCATTTTCAAGTCTTGAGATCAACTGGGTTCCATGATTATTAAACAATATATACCCACTAAAGAAGCAGCTCGCTTAGATCAAAAGGTTACATGCTACAAGTAAGCCAATAAAGATATTGGTAGAATGGTAGAATGTTGTTGTGCTGGGTCTACTTTCTCTTTTGCTCCACTTCCTTATTTGATCCACTTATAGCTCTGCTGCCTAAATGCTTCATGTCTGCCTAAACCTTACACTCTTTATATAAACACCTTAGATAGCTACCTTTTACAATGCAATCAATTCTCCATGACCTTCAGTCCCCAATACCCTTTCAACCCAATAAATGTGTATGCTTTTTCTTATATAAATCGCTACAAGCTGATTGCTACAAGTGTAAAATCAAAACTGTAGTTCAAATAGTTGGTGGAACGTACACTGGTGTCTGTACGAGTGCTAGGTAAACAGCCCTTTGTTAAGAAAAACATGATCAAGCTATAGTAGCACAGACAATTTTCCAACAGGCCCTTATACACAGCCTCCATGGTACTAGGCCTCACCATACCGGATCATGAGACCTACCACATAAAGTTACACGAAAAGGTTTATTAGCCAAACCTACTATATCGCCCAAGACTAACAAGCAATATCAACACCAAGAATACCAACCCTACAGCCAGAACTCTCTCCTCACCCCTCTAAAAAGATTCACACACACACCATCGCCCCAAACAAAATAGCGCCTCAAACAATCCAACGACCCCATCTATCCAGAACAATCAGCCCACAAGTTCCAAGACCCTTAAATCCTCATAACCCACCATTCCCCCCAAAATCCACACAACCCCAAAAACATCTTCCATTACTTTATATTCCTCTTAACTAAGCTCCGTCTCATAATCTGGAATTTGGTTGCTAATAGAATCATGAACATCAAGCGCGAAAAAAAGACGAGTTCCATCTCTGGAGGAGAGGGGGTAATCGCATACCCTCTCCTCCACACCTGCGCGAATAGCGATCTCCTCGTAAGAAAATCTTACAACTACGAAATCTCCCCAGCCAATATATAACGCCGGAACCCGTAAGGGAATGGTACTGCAATGGTGGATTTCAATACCGATACATCCCACATCTACGGCCCATTCCTCAGCTTTGAATCCTTCAATCGTCCTCCATCCGCCCAGTGTTCTTTAGAATAGAAAAAGACGACGCAAAGATAACTTCCCTAATAGTCGATATCACCGGACTTTCCCATACAACATCCTAGCCAAAGATCAATAATATTATCTTACATCCCCGTCCTGAAAGAAATCTCTTCATCCCCAAGAAACTAGACCATCTAAACTCCAACACCATCAAATACCGATCATCCACTCGCCATAGACTTCCGAAACGGCGATGGATACCGAAACGGCGATGGATACGATATCATATCTTAATCTTTGGTCATAAACGATTAGCGATATCTCCAAGCACTTAAGGCGGAGCTTTCTAGTACAAAGTAAGCTAGAACACAGAAACAACGCTCGGTAGATAGAACCATATTCTATGGAATTCCAGGTGGAATATTCTATATGGAATACTTCCAGAGCACCTATAAAATAGAATAGAATACTTCCAGCGATTAGTCTCTAGAATTCCAGGGGTTCTATAGAATTCCAGAGGCTTTTGCTGACCAATTAAAACGCAGGCTTTAGGGGTAGTTTTTCGTAAATAGCAAGTATGTTAAGTGAATAGGGATACGAGTACTAGTAGGTACCTAATAGTTTACCTAATTCTAGGTTGGCAATTGACAACGAATAGAGAAGGATTAATAAGCTATAGTACTAGGTAGACTCTCTATATTACGATATTCGTATCCAGGAAGAGTAGTTAGGGGAGCTTTTCGTAACGTACCCTATAACAGCTCCCTATTAGTTTGTCGGACCGGAGATACCTTTTCCCGGTCATATAATAAATTCGATCTAGAAATTCTATATATTCTATGGAATATATACCTCTGGAATAGAATAATTCTAGTAAAATCTTAAAAAGGAATAGAATTATTCTAGAGGGGGGGTCTAGAATGGAAAGGAATTCCAGATGCCGAGCGTTGCACAGAAACCGGGGATTCGGTGCGAATGCGGGGTTGAGATGAGGGTATGGATAATATGATTCGTTTAGATAGTGGGAGTTCGCGATACTTTAGTGAGGAGGTTGTAGTAAGTTTTGCTATACTAGTGACTAGGATTTGGAAGAGCGAAAAAGATAGGACGTGGAATTGTTAATTTTACTGTACCCGTAGTAGGTGGGAAGAGAAGTAACAAAAGCTTAACAGGAAAGTAGCGCTTATATTCTAAGAATAATACGATAGTCTTGTGAATAAGGACGTCTAATACCGTTACAAAGTAATGAAATATTATCCCCACCTTTTATTAACACAATATTCAAGCTCCAGCCTCCAAGATAAAAAAAAACACAACATATCCTTGCCCCTCATTCCAAATCTCTAAATCTCTAAATCATCCCCTAGACCCTAACCCTAAACTGACCAGAACCTCACCCTCCCCAATCCAAGGAAGAAATAGAAAGAAAAGCAAGGAAGTCAAATACCATATATACTTGCCTATTTCCAACCACTTACCCCCAATTCCTAACACCTCCCCTCCAAAGACTCCAAGAACGCAAGAACCCAAAAACTCAAGACTAGCTGAAGAAATCCACTTCCCTACCTCCCTCCCCTTTCCCTCTTCCCTCTTCCCTCCTTCCTTCCTTCAACACACTTAGCGTACACCAAAAAGATCCCTCTCGAGCTCACACACCTCATCCTTACCCACTCTCCTCCCCCCAAAGAAAAGAAAAGAAAAGAAAAATCATAACATTCCCCTCACCACCCACCCACTCACCCACCCATCCCTCACACCCCCACTCACACCCACTCATACCCAACCACCCTCTCGCACCCCCCATCAAAAAACCCACCAAGAACCCCCACAACACAACAGACCATCCTCCAAACCCTCCATATCCCCCAAATCCTCAAATCCTCCAAATCCCCCCAAGGTCTTCTCAAAAAACAGAAAACAGACAGAAAGACAGAAAACAGACAGAAAGACAGAAAACAGACAAAAAGAAAGAATAAATAAAAAGGATTGAAGAAAACAAAAGGACGTACCTAAGAACCCTAACCTAACTTTCAAAAGAAGGAGGAGGAGGAGGGGAATATCAATTCCCTCCTTCACTCTAAAGGAAAACTATTGACTTGCCTCTACACCATACCATACCAACCCACCTTACCACACAATACATTACCATACCATCCTATACCTCACCATCCCTCTTTTTACCATCCTATACTAAACCAAACCAACCTCCTTACCTCCTCCCGTACTGTAATCTTATATCGATAGTGAAATCCAGCCTAGTGAAATCTAGAAAGTACTATTTTATACTATACCTACCACACCACACCAACATCAATACCAATACCACAATAATACCACAACAACAAAGCCAGCCACTCAGTCCACTACTATAGCTAGACCCCACACACTTATCTATGAATCACAACCTTCAACCCTGACCTCAATCCACCTACCAACCTACCTCTTAAAACTCATCTCTTGAAACTCACCTACTATAATCCACCACCCACCCAGCACCAACCTAACTCACGCTCCACCATCTGACACCTACCTACCTGTGAACCTTATCATCAACCCCTCACTCCTTACTTACTCTACACCCACAATCACAATACCATTCACAAGAACCTAGAACCTAAAACCTAAAAACAGAAAACAAAATCAGCGGAATCCTATCACACCATCCCCAAAAAAAAACCATAAGCCTCAATCACTCATGCATTTCATCTGGTCTCTCTCACTCACCAACTAGGCATCTCATCTCTCATCTCAGAGCTTTCTTTCACAGCAACAGCAAAAGAACTCAAAGCAAAGAGGCCCTCAATATCAAGATAGTCTCAATTCCATTTCATTTCATCTCCTCTTTCATCTCACGTCTAATCCCTCAAGTAAAATAAAATACACATCCCGGCCACCGATCAGAGCTAAGCTCAACCAGCTTCAGATACGTACTCAAATTGATTTTTCTTTTAAAAAAAAACCCCCCCCAACAAGGGTACCCAGGGTATTGAAGAATTTTGAAAACAAAGAGAAGAAAGGAAATTGAAGGAAAAGAGAAAAGTCAGATCAGAAATCAGAGAAGAAAATCCCCGCATTCATGAAAGCCAAGATCTTCCACTTGCCATTTTCCACCGCCACTCACCCACTTCCATCTGAAGATCCATCAAATGCAAACCAGTCCCTCCCATTTCCATCTACGAAATAAAAGACCACTCCCTAAACGTACAAGGTGTTGTTTTGATTCCTCGGGCGGCTCCTTCCTTCCCCACAGCGCAAAAGCACAAGAACTGAATCCCATGCATGCAATGCCGCGACGACGAAGAAATCACACCATGAAAACCAGAATATGAAGATCGAGAAAAATTATATCCGTGAGAATTTGCAGCAAAGGCGGAAAACTCCGAGGAAATAGGACTTGTCGAAGCAAGACCCCATTAGATATGATTCCCCTTTCTAAAAACCTTCAAGATGAACCCGAACTCTGAGAAAGAACTCCCCAGAAAAGTATGAATCCACCTGGTTTCCGGAAATGCGAGGAACTGAATGTGATGAGGTCGCTTCACACTCAAAAATAAAATATTGTTCGGCAGACAACGCATTGAATTATATGCAGCCAATATACTCCCCCACCACCCCCGGATTTTGGACAAATGAAAAAATGACGACTGTTGTAACAAGGGTGTTTGTTTTGTTTTGGAGGACGTATGTATAAGTCGGATTTTGTTGGGGAGCCCAATTGAATCATTCCAATTAATTAAGGATTCCATTCCACATTCCCACGCCACCAAAGCCGCCAAAAGCAGGATGCATATTGTTGGATTGTGAAAGGCTACGTTGAGCTTCAGTTGCACAGCAGACACGCTTTCGTCCCATCGAAGCACTATTGGTTGATTGAATAGGAACTTGACGGGCACCTGCGTGAACAGCACGAGATCTAACGACATCGTCGGACCAGTTCTCAGAACGGTATTGGCCATCCAACATGCCTCGGACGTTTTCTTGCAGTGAGTGGTCAATTGACTTTGGTCGACTACGCTTGCAACCTCGAGTTGGTGATTCCACCGATCGAGGATGACTTTGAAGCTCTTGCAGTGCACGCGCAGCTTCTTCAGTCTTGGTAAAGTAGTCGATCTCACACTCTCTTCTCGCCCAAGGTGTGCTCAATGACATATCAAGGAACTCTTTGCCAACTGGAGCCGTGTAAGACTCTGGCGATGAAGATGATTCATCACAGTATTCTGGGACGGTAGCAATCACGGTTCTTAGCTGTCTTTCATTGCAAAGCTTCGCATATCGACAGCGCGCCTGAATATCCAAGGACTTGGAGGGAGTCGGCGCACTCATCAATGACGATGCAGACGAGATGGAAGATGAGCGGGAAGATGATCGTGATGAATTGTCTGAGACCATGGACTCGGGGGAGGACATGGAAGAAACTGAATTTGCCAAAGATGACCGTCGACCAGAGACATAAGATTGTGGTGAAGAAGTTGGCCATCGCTCAGTCAATGAAGAGGCACATGCGTTGGTGGCGTGTGTCATTGCAAGACTCATCGAAGATTTGCCGAGCATGTAGGAAGCGGCACTCACTGCAGGGGTGTTGAATCCAGAGCTCTGTGGGGTCAATCTTGGGGTCGGGAGTAGGCCAAGAGCGGGAGCAGGTTTGCTTGCGGAATAACTAGTATAAGGAGAAGGCTCCATAATGCTGGGAGTATAGTACTTTGGGGTTGGGGTAGACTCTTGAGAACCATATCCAGAAGAGGTGCGGTCCGCGGCGAATGCGCAAGATCGTGGACTTGATGCACTAATAGATTTGACGTTTGCCTTGGCAGATGTCGATGGCAAAACACCTTCAATGTTATCCAATTGAGGGTTGAGCCTAAGAATAATAGCTTTCCAATCAGCCGTCTGCTCAGCATGTCGAGGGCACGATGAACCTGGCGATGGTGGTTGTGTAGGGGTGTATTTGAGCACAATGTCGGTCCATCGTTGGAAGACGGCATCGGTGATATGTAACTCCCAATCCACGGCTAAAAGGAAGGCGAGCTCGTTTTGATTGATCTCCAAAGTATTGAGGCCCGAAATCTTGCTCCACGCGCGAGCTGAATAGTTTCGGTCTTGAAGGTACTTGGAGGCGAGAATGAGAGCGGAAAGGAACATGCGACGACCGCATTGTAAAGCGCGGGAGGAATGGGCGTCTTCGGGTTGTTCCATGGTAAAATCATGCTTGGGGACATGAGGCTTAATCAAGATCAAATAATACAAGGCCACCTGCAGGGTCGAGTAACTGGTTCTTGATCTTCGGAGGGTCTCTTGAATGAAGGTTCGTAGAGGAAGGACACCCTTGTTGCCCAGGTCACTACGACATACAACCGAGGAAAGAGGCCATATTGCTTCCACAATTTGAGCCGAGGAATCTGGGGAGGTTATTGAGTGGGAGGACTTATTACTCGAGGATTTTGTCAATCTTACCGACGAGGCTATCAACAAAGTTGACCTTGCGATCGCATTGTCGTACCAAGGAAGGAGGGCACTTTGGCTGAACGCTTCCTGCACTGGTTCTTCTTGGGTGTTGTCTTTGTTCTGGGGCTACTTCGGGAAGCTGTTGTTTCGGCCAGTATGTGGCGACCGATGTACCTTGTTCGCCTCTTTGGATGGGCGCTGGCAATGTTGGTGGACAGAATGTCTCTGAGGAGTCGGAATCTGATGAGGGACCAGTCACTGAGGAGTCATCTGAGGATTGTGAAGCCACATCAGACCAAACAGAGGCTGCAGAGGACGAGGCTGAAGAGGCTATGGACGAGTTGTATGGGCCACTTGTTGGATAGAGACTGACGTAAGACGGCGAATTTTCATCATCACGGTAATTCATCTTTGTGAAATCTTTATGTTATGTAAAGGTGTTGTTTATGGGAGGATTGGTAGTGGTGGTAAATTCGGATTGGGTGAACTCCAGTCGCCGTCTATGCAACGCCGACCGATCTATCGTTATAATTTGTCGCGGAACCTTCTGACTTGATATATGCGCATGCAACTGCGATGGCGGTTGCAGAACAAATAATTGGGAGAGGAGGAGGACAAGCTATTGCAGAGGGATCTCGCAGATCTCTGAGCAGACGATAAAACCGGTGGACGAAGCAAGACTGGCGACTGGGGAAAGATCGAGGGTCGCGAGGATCATGGCGAGCTTTTCGACGATGAAAGTGGAAAGTGTTGCGATAAATGGTGGGCTAGAGTAAACTAGACACCATGAAGGTGGAAGAGGAGGGGTTGTCGGACGGTGGTGGTTGGTGGTGGGTTAAAGGTGAGAGAGATTGGTCAGAGGGTGAATTATTAGAAGTGGTAGTGTAGTAGTAGATTGATTGATCGGAATCGCAGAACAAAAGAAGATGCAGAAATGCGAAGTTGTCGAGGGACGCAGTAATAAACAAGGGACGAAAGGATTGAGTGGAGTTGGTTTGCGTGTACAAAGGTGTTCTTTTTTTACTAGTCCAGAGACGTTGGGTGACCAGTTCGACTCAGAGGAAGCCGAGAGGTGACTGTGACTGTGATTGTAGAGTGGTGGCGAGCAAGCCTAAGCCGGTATCGCGGTGGTGAATGTTCGGGGGTGCTAGTCGCCGAGGACAGGTGGAAGGGTGGAGGGCTGCCTACCGAACTGTCCACACCTTGGGTATCAAAGAGATGAAAAAAGGAAGAAATAAACAAGCGCACGGCGGGAATGTTTTGGGAGAGAAAAAGTGGCAAGCCAAAGAAGTTAAATGGATGACTTCTTCGTCTATGAGGGCGAACAGAGGTATAGGGAAAGCTTGGTGGTCGGTGGAGTCTGGGAGTCTGGGAGTCTGGGAGTCTGGGTCGGTGGAGTCTGGGAGTCTGGGAGTCTGGGTCGGTGGGTGAGGTGAGGCGGAGGATCAGCGTGACTTGACGGAGCTTGCGCTTCAGAGTCACTGGGAGGCGAGAAATGGAAGTGTTTGCTCTGTCGCAGAGATCGCTCGCTGGACAACTTTTTGCAGGAGGGAAAGGGTGGTGAGGAGGAGTTTATCAGTCTAGATGATTTCGAGATGGATGGCAATGTAGTGGACGGGTGGGCAGACTTCAAAGAGCCGCTTTGTTTAGGCGTTGGGATCATACATTGCGGTGTTGAAGTGAAATCTTCAGACTGCGGGCATGCCAGCGCTTTTGTTCATTTTCACTATGGGGGGACACGCCTACTTAAGCAGCCCAGCAGCCCAGGAGCCCAGCCAGCCAGAGCCACCTACCGCAAGCTGGCTGGGGGGGTGAGATTTGGGTTGGTGGTCGGAAGGGGGAAGGGGGGGAGTGAGATTTGGGTTGGTGGTCGGAAGAGGGAAGTGGGGGGGCAAGAAGCGGCTGGTGGGAGCACACGGCAGGCTCGAGTGAAGAGTGGAGTCACGGCGATGCAGGCAAGCACCAAGCACCAAGCATCAAGCACCAGGGGGGGGGGTCTAGCTAGCGGGACGAGCCACTCAGTCTACGAGGAAAAGAGTCGCTGTGGATAAGCAGTCCCTTTCATTGGTCCCCACGGACTCTCCAGCCACACCCCTTCCCACTCAGATTTATCGCCACACCCTTTTCCTTTGTGGCAGGAGCAGCAGAAGCAGGCAGAGGAGGCCACACAACCTCCATGTTTTTTTTTCAGCGCATCAACCCTCCGCCACCATCTCATCCTATCCGTCGTATCAACATTTTGCCATCAGGCAGGCAGGGTAGGCAGGTGGGCTATGACCTAATTGAAGAAAGAGAGTCTTTGTGTGACAAACACAACCCCCAGCCGGCCAGATAGCTGGTAAACAAGTCACTGTCCAAGAGACTCGAAGCTTTGAATAGCAGCCTATCAGAGGCGGGTAGGAGCTGTGGGTACGGTAGTGGACTGGATCTGGGTAGTAGAATATGGGGTTGTGTTGCGAATGAGTGATCGTGAGTGGTTTTTTTTGGCTTTCTCGGGATGGGTCTCATCGTCATTTCCAACGGTGACACGCTGTGTTTACTCATGCTCTCGCTATGGGTTTTATTGTGTACTGGTACTGGAACGAACTAGGTACGCTCCGTATTATTGACAGAGCTGGAGTGGGCTGGAGTGAGCTGGAGTAATAGTGAGTATTGTATTGGTGGACGGGTCGCTTCTACACTTCTCCCCCTCCAGATCCCCTGACACGCTGTGTTTACTCACTCTCTCCCTATCCCAACCAGGGAATTGGGGGTGGATAGCGGGACGAACGATATAGGGTGTGGATGGCGGGACGAATACAGAAGCCATAGGTAAGTACTGCTACCGGTACACCAACCAAAAGATACTTCTCAACCTGCAGAAGTATGTGGGTTTGTGCTACAGTAGTAGGTACAGTACGTGTGGATTGTGGGTATCGGTATCAGGGGATCTGTACATTGCTGTACGGAGTGATACGTGGATACGTTTTTCCACTCATCCAGACGCCTCGATAGCTTCCTCGAGTCCCATCGACCACCCACGTCGCACAGCCTCGTTCACAGACATCCTCGACCTTAATTCTCCTTGATACTTTCCATGATCTCCAGATGATGCCATCTATGGCACGAGTGGAGAAGTGGCCGCGCATCCTCCTTTACACGCACTCCAAATTCTATTTTCACTTCAAACTTCACGAATGCAAATCGAGCAAAGCCCCGCGGGAGTGAGGGCTACCGACGACAACTGCGACTGCGACTGCACCAAGATCAATCAGAGAAAAGACTCATTGCAAAGGTGTCAGTCAGTCAGTCAGTGTCGGGGCCAAGCTCTGAACAATGCGCTGCGCTGCCGCGCCCGTACGCTGCAGCTGCCTAGGGTATTAATATTGGAAGGGGTGTTGGTGTGCATTATTACTGCATACGACTCCGCCAGAGTTATGAAAATACACCAACGGTAATCTCTGGTAAATACATTGCACCGCACCGGACACATCATTCGTCTGTGCTCTGGATACTCGATATGATTATTGACCCTCTCGAGTCAATATTCCTTGGAGGGCTGTACTCGTACAGTCTTCTCCATAGAATTTCGACGGCGCTATGTGTACGTGTGTGTACGTTGCTGTACTAGTACTATGTCGTGCTACCAGGACCCTATTCCATCAATCAATCAATTAATCAATCAATTGACTATTACAACACTCTGTACCACCACAACAGTAGGAGTATACATCTCAGTCTCAAATCTTCTCCGTTATCCTTAGATCGACTTCCTCCCCCCTCATCATTACTCATCACTTACCTAACCAAGGGAAGGTATCACCAGGAGTTTCAAGCCTCTCGATACAGCTAGAACAGCCCCTTTCTCAAATCAAACTATCGACATAGCCTATTAACTATTTACACGGAGGCTAAATAGTACTAGGAATAGGAAAAGTAATAGAAATAGAAATCCTAAAATAATCCCCGATAGATTCTAGTATTACTATTCCGAAAACCCGGATCTACCTAGATATAATACTACCGGCGCTTAATCTACTACCTTATACAAGTATAAACCTAATCTTCCCATCTTTTCTTATCTTTGTATTTATTTAACTCTACAAGACTACAAGACTACCTAGGTAGTAAAATCCATCCGTTCCGTTCTTAGAGCCGTCCACTTCCACCTCTACTATACGGTCGAGATATACTTTCTCGGGATTCGGGACTTACGAAGTAGGTCGGTCACTGTAGGTGTCTTGGTACTTGCTTGCGAGGTTGCGAGGTTGCGTAACTTGGTCTGTGTACGGTACACGATCCGGTCTGGTCTTCGTATCTCTAATCTACTAAGAGATATGTTAAGTTAATCGAGCTTGGTTTGGTTCTTTGGAATGAATAGAGATTAGAAGTATGGGGTATGGGGTATGGAGTTTGGAGTTTGGGGTATGGTTATTTGCTGTCTTCGGTCGGGTCGGAGTTTAGGGGTCTGGCGCGCGCTTGATTAAATGCTGCTGAGAACTAGTAAACTGGTTCGATGGGATACCGGTAAGAGAGATAGGTTGATGTTGATGGGTAGAGTATGGAGTATGTATTAAGTATGTATCTCGTGTTATATAGTAGGTATAGTACTACGTGATTTTTCTTTATATGAATTAGGTAGTTTAACGGATAGATAATGTTATTACTTAATATATTGTTCTTCTACTTACTTACCTTAGTCCTTAGCTTATCGGTTTATCGGTTTGTTCTAAATTCTAGAGCTAAAACTCGTATCGTATATAATGAATTACCTATTCTATTCTATTCTATTCTATTCTAATTTATTCTTATCTATCTAATCTTATTTTATTCTATCTTATCTTAATAATCTCCTAATAATAATAATTTTTAGCTCTCACTTCATTGTATTAAGAATTTAGCTTACTATTATAAGGGGTTAGCCCCTAAGTATAGTACTAGCTATACTAGTGCTTACTAAGCCTTACTAAGAGGGCTACTTCTCCTTTATAGCGGAGCCCGAGAAGATTCCTTCTCTCTCCTTTATTAAACTTATTAATTACTATATGAAACCTTCTATATATACGCTAGTCTGCTATAATATTAAGTTCGATCTATTATAGACGATTAAATTATAGATCTCTCTATTCCTAATAAGTTTAAGATAGCTACTAGGCTAAGCCTACTAGTAAATAGGAGCTATAAAGGGATATTAAATATAGAACTTTACTAAGCTCTCTAAGACGTCTACTAGTATTAAGGGATACTAGAGGCCGAGCTAATAAGGTTATATACTAAAGGAAAGGAGAGAGAGCCCTGACTAAGTATATTAGAAAGCTCTATATCTATAAATAACCTTATAAGAGCCTTAATTTCGTTACTTAGAATAATAAACTAGTCGAACCCCGACTACTAACTATTAGGCCTTAGAGATTAGAAACTACCTACCTAGGATAGGTATATAAATACCTTCTAGGATTACCTTCTAAGACTTAAGAGCTTATATATAGTATAGTCTATAAAAAAACTAGCGCTCTCTATAGATTATTACTAGAATACTATTTATAATACCCTTCTACTATATAAGTAAGCCTAAATAAGATACCTCTAGGAGAAGGGGAACGCTAGATAGAATAAGGATCCTATATGTAACGAATACTCAAACTGGCTAACTAAACTTGGCTGGGTGTTCGCTGGTTGGTATGCTATGATAAGAAGAAGACTATCGGGTTGTTCACTTGGAAGTGAACTCGTTACTTGTATCAAAGATGTCAAACTAATATGATAAGATTGATAACTAAGTTGAGCACGAAGCTCCTATCTAATGGCAGACGTGCCAGTCTTATATAGAACCTTCGTTCTCTGTGGTCGCCATGGTCGACTGTTCGACCATGGCCGACATGGTCGACTCGTCGGCCATGTCGCTCGTTTCCATCACGTGATAACTAACCAAGAGAAATCCCTGGATCGCTTAGCTAGTCTAAGCGTCCCTATTCGCTATAAGAGTCCATGATAATGTTTAACCTGTCAGGACGCCGCCTGGTCTTCACTCGTCACCTGCTAGCACGTGATTCGTGACACTATAGCTTTCTTTATATAGCTTAACAAAACCTTCATAGATAGTAATAAATAAGCTAAAGTCTTAGAAAAGCTTACTAGCCTAAAATATTCCTTAGGTTAACCTTAGTATAAATACTAGCTTAAATTTAATAAACTCTTACTAAGCGTAGGTAGAGAAAGCTAGGAAAATAATATAAAGATTAGCTATTTTAAGAATACCTTTTTAAACCTTGTTTAAATATATATAGCTACTATAGTTAAAATAATAGACTACAATAAGTTTTCTAAGAAGGTAGAGTATATTATAACTAACCTTAAAAAGACTAACTAGTTTAAATTATTAAACAAGAAATAGAAAGAAAAGAATAAGAAGTCTAGGATAAAGATAGTAATAATAACACGCTTATAGAGTTACTCTATAATACCCCGACTGGACGCTAATAGAGATACTATAATAGTACTAATATAAATAGGCGGCGACTAAGGAAAAACTACTAGTGACTATAAAGTTATAAGTAGAAAATAGAGAGCTAAATAAGTAGATATTATAGAAAGAGAGAGATGCTAAGAGAAAAGACTCTACTTCTGATATAAAGCTTTAAGATACTAGATCTAAGGATATCTATATAACCTACATTTATAACTAGTTAAGATCAATTAAGTTAGGGTAGGTCTAGTACTAGAAGATAATAATAAAATAGCTAAGCCCGATTCCTCTAAGTTAGGAAAAGACTAGCTCTTAGTCGTAGTTAGAAACTAAGAGTAAAAGGAGTATTAGTAAAGGGATAGAAGGAGCCTAAGAAAGTAATAAACAGAAACCTTATATATATAGATATAATCCTTTAAGAAACTTTTAGAGCCTTTACTCTTATTAATAAGGGATACTGATACTATACTATAATAAACAAAGACCTTATAAAAGGGCTTAGTCTTATATTTACTAGTAATAAAAGATAGAAGGTAAAGGGAGCCTCTTTATCTATATATAATTTAGAGGTTAAAGGAGTTATCGCCTTTCGAATAAATATAGCCGGATATAGTTAAGTAGTATATATATATATATAATACTAAACTTAGACTTCCTAATAATTCTTGGAAACCTATAGAAGGTATATGATAAAATATAAATGGTACTAGAAAAACAATAGTTCTATTATAGTAAGGTATTATAATAGATAAAAGAAGGTTATAACTATTATAACTATAAGGATAATAGTACTTTTATAATAGTAGCCGCTACTAGTATAAAGGATATTAGGAAAGCCTTAAAAGATAAAGATAAGTTATCAATAAAGTAGTTAGAATAGATACTATCTTCTAAGATTAAGGATATAGTACTATTATTTTCTAAATAAGTAGTAGAAGAACTAGTACCTTATAGGGTAGGTATTAATACTAAAATTAAAATCTATAATTAAGTAGATAAGACTCTAATAGTATTACTATAAGAACTACTATACAATATATGTAAAGATAAACTATCAGTTTTAAGGAAATTACTTAATAACTTATAAGTAAAGGGATTTATTGGGCCTTTTATATTAGAAGTAGTAGCTTTTGTTTTATTTATACGAAAACCTAGTAAGAGACTAAGGTTCTACTATAATTACTATGTATTAAATATAATTATAAAGCTAGACTAATATCCTCTTCTTCTTATAGTAGAGACCTTAAGAAATATAATAGACGCTAACAAGCTTATAAAAGTCGATATTATTTTAGCGTCTACTACTAGATTCAAATAGCCTAAGGCTATAAATATAAGACTACTTTGACATAAGGTTCGGCTTCTTTAAATAGCTAGTAACTTTATTTAGATTAAGTAGGGCTCTAGTAATATTCTAATATTATAATAATAGTTTACTATAGGACTTTCTAGATATCTACTCCTTAGCTTTTATAAATTATATAGTTATTTATACTAAAGGCTCTAAGGAGGAATATTTTATAAAGGTATAAGATATCTTTTATAAGCTTTAGGATAGAGGCCTCTTCTTAGATCTTAGAAAGAGTAAGTTTATTAAGAAATATATTAAGTACTTAGGTTTTATTATATATACTAAAGGAAAAGGTATAGGACGTAACCCTAAGAAGATTAAAGTAATATAAAACTAGGTAGCTCTTAAGATATAAAAAGAAGTTTATTATTTTCTTAGGTTCTATAATTTCTATTAGATATTTATTATAAACTACTCTAAATTAGTAAGATAATTAATAGTAAGGGAACTCTATTCTCTTAGGGAGGAGAGGAGGAGTTAGTATTTAAGGCCTTAAAAAGTAAATTTCATAAGGCTTTAGTACTAGTAAAGTAGGATTTTATATTACTTATATTCCTAGACATAGACTATAGTAGGTTTATAATAGAAGGCGCCCTCTTTTAAGAAAGAGATAGAGTCTATTAACTAGTAGGTTTTTTCTTCTAAAAGCTAAATAAGGCTAAAATTAACTATAATATCTATAATAAAGAAATATTAGTTGTAGTATTCTATCTAAAGTTCTAGACCCCTAAACTAAAAGTAGTAGGCCCTTTTACTATCTAAATAGATTATAAGAACCTTAAGTATTTTATAATAAAGAGGCAGCTAATAAAGCGCTAGATTTACTAGTATAAGACTATAGCTTTATTCTAGTTTACCTTAATTTATTAACTAGGAACTAAAGCTATTATCCTAAATATACTATCTAGAAGAGAATAAGATATCCTTAGAGAGAGTAATAAGATATTAAGGTTTAGGCGTTTTCTAGAGCTAGACTATATTAGAAACTAGCTAGAGCTAGTAAAGAAAGAAGAGGTAGTAGTAGCTACTACGTCGGTAGTAGCTACTATTTTAGTTTAACTACTAGCTATATAGTTTATGTAGGACTCTATATATTAAGACCCGGAATCCTAAGCTTTATTCTAGGACTAAGAACTAAATAAGTTATAGGATAAAATAGTATAAAAGGATATACTATATAAAAACGTCCTCTACTCTATTTAGAACAGCGACTAATCCTTTCTAAGTAAAGTTAAGATAAAGATCTAAGTAGGCGACTATAAAGTTAATATAAAAAGCTACTTATATTACTATAAGAAGTTATAGGTTTTAGGAGCTCTATTTTTGTCGGAAGCCGACTTAAATAGAGAGGAACTTAAACTATAATAAAATAATATTCTAAGAACTAAGCTTATCTAATCTATTTATAATTCGCTAGTCTATAAATACCTAGGCTAAGACTCTACTACTTTTATATTAGAATATAACTTTTACTAGCTACTATAATCTAAGTATATAAGATGGTTTCTAAGGAACTATAACTATTATAGAAGGAATAAAGTATAGAGGGAATATAAATATAGCCTTTTATAGCTACTACTAGTCCCCGACTAATTCTTTTAGAAAATCTTTATAGACTTTATAACTAACCTACTAAATTCCTGAGAGAATCGCTACCTCTAGGTTATTAAGGACTAATTAAGTAAGACTATTATATTAGAAGCGATACCTAGTATAAAAGTAGAGGAGTATACTAAAAGGTTTATAGAATACTAGGTATAATATTATAATATACCTTATACTATTACTAGTAATAAAAGTACGAACTAGATAAGTATATTCTAGAAAACCTTCTACTACTCAATAGGCGTATAATAAAGACTTAGCTTCGCTTACTATCTATAAACTAACGAACGACTAGAGAGGCTAAACTAGGAGGTATAAGTATACCTTTAGAACTTTATTAACTAAGAATAGTCCGATTAGAAGCGTTAGCTCCCTATAGCTTAACTAGCGCTTAATAGACGCTATCAAGTAGGCCTTAGAATAAGCTTATTCTTTATAATATATAGGTATAACACGTTCTCTCCTATTTTATTAAGGGTAGAGCCTAATATAGATAAGATACTACCCGCCTCTAAATAGGCTAAAGTATTTATAGATAAGATAAAAGGGATTACTACTTTATATTAAGTAAACGTTGAAACCTCGTAACCCCCATGACCTCTGGTAAGGAATTTGCCTCGTGAGACAGTACCCTAATCAACCCAAACCAGCGAGGATCGTTATCATCGTACATACCGATATATGGGAAAGAGATCAGCGTCGTTAGGATTCGCTCAAGCAAGTTCTCCCAAATTTGAATCTCTGCGCCGACCACCTCAGGTAATGGTTCTAGTACTGATAAAATGCTTTCCCTCAGCTTACAGACCTTATTAAAGTATGCAAGAGCAATCCCAGAGCAATGTTCTCTCTCCAGTACGTGGCCAGATACAAGGTACAAAGTGTTCGCTGGTGCCAGCCGTGATCCGTAGGCCTCAAAAAGCATTCCTAAGGCCAAAAAAACTCCAAAACCATGAGGGGATGATATATAACTTTTCAATGAGTCCTGCGTCTTGAGGTAAAGCTTTACAAGCATTGAAAATACCGAATGTGTAGCTTTTCCTAGGCTGTCCAAAAGATCCTCAAAAAGTCTATGTTTGACGCTCTTCCGTTCAGTGTTGACGTGGTGTATCTCGGCGATGAGTAGGGCACAGTGAAGAGGGGTAGAGGTGATATTGTGGAGAAGTCTTCCAGGGAAGCTTTTCAAGTCAAGAATCCTAGAGTCTATCCGGCCATCTCGATAGGATGAGAATGCTCTTTTGAAAAGCCTTGACGTCTCCTGAAGAGGTGACATGTGAGAGGCGTGGCTCCGTCTCTTGTCCAGGCGGGACTGAATCTCGTGACAGCATTCCAGGATAATCTCAGGCGCTAGGCCAATAATCGCTCTGTCGATTTCGGTCGAGATTCCATACGTCGACCCATAGTTATTAAGAGGGTACAAAACAGAGTTGTAGGTGGCGGGAGGTTTGTAATTCATCTCAATTGTGTGTGGTAGGAGTAAAACTTTCGACATTTTGAAAGTTTCCGACAGAGTACAACGAAATGAGGTTATAGAGATAAGAACAAACAGAGGTGGTTTAGACGAGAATGTCGTTTTTTCAAAACTCAAGCAACCCCCCTCTTATATAGGTAGGATTTCAAGGCATTTCCGCAGTCATTAAAATGCAGAGTAGGTGGCTGATCATCTCGTGCATGCACATCCATGCCCTCCATTTCCCAATTCCCTTCTATGGCAAGGCAGACCTAGGGTGGATTCAGAATCTGCCTTTGATACCTGGCGTAGAAATTCATAGGAACGGGAGACAGGCCTTGATGCGGATCTTTAAGCGAGGCCAGAAAGGGGGAGGGGAAAATGGCGGGTCAACAGGGTGATTTGCCCGATCCTCTAGCCTCTGTTGTCATTCTTCTTCACGGAATGTCTTCCGCTACACTTCTATTACGTTACATCGATACACATATTGGTTGTTGATCAAGTATATCTGCACTGAACTAGCCATGGTTAGTGAGCAACGCCGAGGTATACTCTTGCAGGTAGGTTTCCCGATCATTTCCCCCAGGCAAGGGAGTTATCGGGAAGGACTCTCTGCTATTTGTGCAATCCGCCGACTTTGGTTGGCTAGAAAATGATGCCCTTCGTCTTATAAAGATTCAAAATAGATGACGCCCCCTTCTAGTATCTATAACCCTGACTCTTGGTGGTTTAGGAGTGTTATCTTGATCTGTTTAGCTAAATGGTACAGTCGAGAAGGTTCTGAGTGTGACGGTCTCTCCCTGTATCGAACCGACTTGGATCTCTACTAAAAAGTGTTTGCCTCCAAATGCATTCCGGTGGAGAAGTGGGGCCTGGAAATGCGCCCAACAGCCTCTGCAGAAAAAAAGGACCACTAATCACGCATCAGGGAGGCCCCATCTTCCTAGTTACGAGTGGTTCCCTTTGCATGTATTCTGCCGGAAGTAATCCGTGGACTGTAAATATCCTACACATCCTAAAGCAAGAGGGATAATGAAGCTCACCAAAACCATGACTTGACCTGATTTGGACTGAAGCCCGAACGTCCCCAATTATTCTCTTATAGGACTTCGCATTAGGCAGACTATTGCCAATGAAGTGCTTCAGAATGCACACTGCCTCAATCAGAATCACAAGGGACGGTTTTACAGTCGTACCCAGGATCCACTATCCTTTGAGAAGAGGGGTATAAGAAGGCAGCTTCTTCCCAGGAATCATTCTTCGCCCTTAAACCTTTTTTCCCATTAGAATATTCTACCCCCGATGTCTTCCCTAAGCATGACACCAGCCAAACAGCTTCCAGTTCCCGACAGCCAACCAAACATTGAGTCTGGATGGCCCTCAGCTCCGGATTTTTCGAATGACTCAAATTTCTGGGACCTTGAATCTTTTTTTGTGCCCAAATCGAGCTTCGAGGACCTGGGCCCAGAAATTCAGTCCGCAGGAGGAATGCAAGAATGCCTTCAAGCATGGAGTTCTGTTTTTGATAGTGATGATACTGTCTCGATTACTACACTTGGTTCCACTCCGGCGAAACCTTTGGATATTTCGGCCCCAAAAGACCAGGAAAATCATACAAACGCCGGTGTAGAATCTTCGATAGCTACAGTGCCGACCCTAGAGGTATGATCTTCTAACAAACATTGATCCTTGATACTAACTGTATTTCAGGAGTGTATTCATTCGCCTGCTACCCTCTCGACAACAAAAACTCAATCCAAACCCACCCTACAGCAGACGGTGATTGATCTTACTAGAGCAGACAGCGATCACGTGTATGCTACACCTCCTGATACGCCGAAATCTGGGCTCTTATCCTCTTTAAGCATAGGTAAGTGTCTGTTTATATCTCATCTTAGCTAGACTAACATCTGATAACAGATTCTGATTCACCAATCAGCTCCGAGAAGAACTCACGCCCTGCATCTAATGGGACCTCCAACACCAAGAAGAGGAAGTGCTCTACAGGTTTTGACAACTCAAGCAAACGTCGGCAACCTCCGCGAAAGACCACGGTAAAACAGCACCTAGCCAATGAAATACATCACAGCAGTCAGTGGTTAGCAGGGATGGAAAAGAGCATTGATGACTGTGAAGCAGACTTGGTTTCCATCGAGGAAAAGAAGGCGAGGTTTCTCGCAGAGATTGAAGAAAAGAGGAAGGAGGTTACACGGCGGAAAAAGGAGTTCATCGAGTTAAAGAATAGCATGGTAGCTTGGGGTGCCCGCGAAAGAGAGGTCTCAGAAGAATGGAAATCGCGTTAGTTTTTTAGGTCATCTATAAAATGATCTATACTTGGAAACTTTAGCCTTCTTCTCTTTAGTGGAGTGTTCTAGTTGCTTCGTTGGATTAGTGATCTACAAATGGTTTGCTGTAGCCTCTATAACTTCGGCAAATTAAATATCGGACTAGACCTGTTGTTGAAATTGTAGCTTCTAAACCACACCTGAACCGCAACTTTGTCGCCACTAGTAAAAGTAAAAGCTGCCAAGTCTCAAAGTGACCATCTTGCAAGGCATTGGTTCAATTTTAAGCATATTCAAAATAGTAATATCAAAATAGGAACTGGGGAAGTAATGAATGCGCCCTAAATGGTAGAATCATAAGCCTGAAATCTAAACTAAGACTAAATCAAAATCAAGCCGTCTAGACTGCTAGAAATAGCTATTCAAAGCTGCTGTTGACCCCTGGCCCTTGAAATCACGTTCAAAATCGCCGCCTGCAGCAATAGCAAAATCCAAATGAGACATGGTTACTGATGCACTAACTTGCTTCTAGATCTGGGAAAATCGCGTTGCTTCCACTCCGTCGGTGCCAGCGAAAGCTGGGGTTTGTGTTGACCGAAACATTGTAGATGCGATATGTGGAGTGCCATAGTGTATGTTCAAATTTGTGAGTCTGTAGCCACCCTAAGACGTCATCGTCGTGACGTTTCTTATAGACTGCCTCGCTCTCATCCCTCCAGCGTTCTTCTTTCACCAACTCTTTCCATTCAATTTCGGTCCACTTGTAGCCCATGGGATTAATAGACCTATCGGTTTCATCTCCAAACCGTCGTTTGACCCGAGAACAAGCTGGCAGCGAGCTGCAAATTTGCAGCTCATGGTGTCGACGCGCCATCTTCCCGCCACTCTTTGCTGGTCTCTTCCATGGGTTTCGTGCCTTCCATTGGGGCCCATTCGCGTTACAATTCGCAATCCAGGTTCTCTTTGCTTCGTCCACAATTGCTTTGTACGAGTCTTCTGATTTTCCGTGCAGCTTCTTCACCACTAACTGCCAGTCACCAGTGTGGATTCCCTTGACTATCCAGTCAAACCGAGGCACCAACCTCGTTACCGGCTGTCCGTCCAGGAAGAGTGTGTCGTGGCAGAATTTCATTACCAGTGCTTCGATGATTGGCTTCATAAAAAGTAGCACGGCTTTAAATTCTCCGTCTTCTTCGGCCTTCTTTATACGATCAGAGTTAAGCATGGCAGCATTCCACTTTTTGGTCTGCTCGTTAAAATTTTCTCGCGTGGCATCTCGCAGGGCTTGATGTAGTGCCCATATCGCCTTCCATTTCCCTCGACGAAGAGCATCTGTAATCCAGTTCACGATCGAGCCTGGTCCCCGCGTGAGTGATGTTCCACTGCCCAGCATCAATCTCATATCTGGGTTGTCATTGTGGAATGGTTCTTGAAAGAGGACGCCTAGTCCCCCGGCATAGCTGTTGGAGAAAATGTGGAATTCGCCGAAGCCAACTAACGCAATCGCAAGTAGGAGAACTCCTGTGCCGTTCTTTCGATTAGTAGGGTGAGGCTGATACTGGGATTTTTTGGTATGTCCCATGAAAGATCCATGGGTGGTGAAAATTGTTACTCTCCCTTGGTCCTGATTTCCCTTTGCTTTGAATGATGATTTATCATTTGGATCCCAATTCTCGTTGATCAACTCTCGAGCTCTTTGGGTATAGGCAGATGGTGAGTCAAAATATGTTGGGTCGATTGGCCGATCGCCGTGTGCTGTTAGTCGAAAGAAGATTGGATCCTTTCCGTTTGGTAGGTTCCCTGCAGTCTCCTGCGGGTGCGCTAGATCCCACTCACGCTCAAGTACTGGCAGCAGTTTCGGGGTTGTGAAAATCACCGTCACACCAAGTGGGGGGTGTATTTTGTGTGCGGGACTCTTTGGAGAGCATGGGCAGGTCATTTGGTATTTCTGCAGTGTTGAAATAATCAGGATATTTGGCTGAACATCTGAATTCGGTGTCCCTCCAAAGAAGGAGGGGAGGGCTAAATATATAGACATTTGAGGCCAAGTGGGCTCCTCCAAAGTAACACCATTAAAAGTGGGTCACATCTCAACATGCAGGAAGGCCGCTGACATCTTGCAGGTATTGTTTGGATGGTGTTTCTCAGGCCGACCCTCGATGTGTTTCCACATGGCTGTCTGAAAGTAGTACATCGTAGAGGTAGTGATGTACATCGTGGATTTGCCCAAGCCCATCTCGTGGCCATGGATAATGCTGCCCAGTTCTTCCATTTGCTTGATACCCTCCCAAACACTGAAGAGTTGTACAGGGAGAATTGGCCGACCACCTCCGGGGGCAGCAATTCTGTCGTCGGCACTCATTTTTAGAGAGTCGTGGCCGACTAATTGGCATGCCGCGGCCCAGCTGTCGGCCAATATATCGTGATTGATACGTGCGCAGCTACTCAGCAGATTGCCAGACAATCCAAACCCTTGTCAGCCATTACATGATTGGCGCTTGACTCTGCAAGAACTTACCTTCTTGCGATGAGATCTCGGAGCTCCTCCTCTTCAACTGCGAGATCCCCATCCATGGCCAACTCTAAGTCCTTCTCCACTGCATCTTGCTCCTGGGTTGTCCCGATATCGAAGTTGCCCTTGGTCTTCTCTTGAGAATCCTCGCCAGGCAGGTCCGAGTCCTTGTCGAGTTGGCTGGAGGCAACCATCTCATCCCCCGCCTCTGCAAGTTGTAGCTCATTCAGTTTTTGAGCGATAGCGATGACCTCAAAGGCCAGAGGGAAGTTCTCTAATTGCTGTCTAGAGAATCGCATCATTGCTTGCTTCCAAGTCGTTGTTTGTTGCGAGTCTTTCGTCTGAGCATGTTGAAGCGCAAGCCAATGATGGAATGCAACTTGATTGTTGATAATAATTTGATCGGATCGTGTCAGGACCACGAGGTGCACCGTTCCATAGAACACCGGTTGATCTTGACTATCATGAGGAAAGAGTTCATTGACTGCAACAAGGAAGGCGTCGTATGAGGTATCGTACGATCTCAACTCCTTTGCTTCCTGGGTGGAGTGCTCTCGCAAGATATCGTGACTGGAGAGAGGTATGGCATGCACAGTTTAATCGGAGGTGACCTCGATGGAGACACGACCAAGTGGTATTGGTTGTTTCCACGGCGCCATGTCTGATAAAGTCAGCTTTGATCTGTCAAGATGATGGATTTGGCCTACCTACTGGCGGGTTCGTGATCTCTCGTGTTGCGATCTGGTGGGATAGATCGGCGGCTTAGACTGTGTTCGTAGGTGTCGCAGTATGAAAGAAGTCGAGAAGAATCTGGTGCAGGAAGGGCAGAACTTGCAGAAGAAATTCAAGCTCAAATTGGACAAATCATACCGAGATTGAAGAGAGGGCTGGTGAGGTGTTGTCAGGTGTTGATATAAAATCGAGGAAAAGCAAACACTCTAGCGGTGACGTGATTGGTCAATTCCGCGGTGTGGCCTAAGGCATGCGCGTTCACGCGGACCCCTGCCTCACTTCCCCTCAACACTCGATCTACTATACTACTGTATCGATCTACATCGCTGTTGCATGATTTTTGATTCAAGTCTCAGCGGCCCTCTAGGTCTTTGGTAACCTTCTAGTCAGTTGCTTTGGAAATCACGCCTGCCTTCAAACTCCCGCAGCCAGCAAGCGCTGTTCATCCTCAATTTGCTAGAACATTTTCACACAAATGGACTCGACGTAAGCCCATCCTCTCTTGCTCGATCGCCTCTTGCCTAATGATATCAGCAGTACAATGGACGGCCGTGCAAGATAGTCCTCTCCGAACGCTTCTCTGAGCATCCCCAGAAAAAGAGCGCGGTTTTACAACCCATCAAGTCCCCTTCCCGAGTGTCACAGTTGCGTACTAGACATGAGCTACCCAGCAGAGATCACCAAGTGGTTTCAGTCCGCGTTCGCCACCGACTTCAAAAACACCTGCACCGCGTCTTGGACGCCCGGTTCATGGAAAAACTACGAACCACTCTTCGTCCAGTTGTTTAACAGAACCCTTACGACTGTCGCGGATCTGTCGATAGAGTTCCTGGCCACGAAGGTCCTCGCACGAGAAAGCCACTATAGCCACACCCGTGACCAGCAATGCCATCTTCGTACTTCACAAGAGTTGGCTCAGCATTTGATATTCGAGCGCTTCAACACCGACTTTGAGTATCAGAGTGTCGCGTCGCTATTTTTGACTGCCTTCTTTCAAGCCGGATACCTAGCCCTCTTGGTCAGCAGACTCGAAGACACCTGGGCTCAAAATCCTGGTAACCATCGCAAGCACGGATTGGAGTCCTCGACGGGAGAGATGAATCGCCGCCTTCCCAGACAGCCGAACAACTTGCGCCACGTGTTAGCACAACCTCCTGTGGGATCAGGACGATTTGAGTCAACCCTATCGATGTCCACGCCACCCCATTCCAGTCTATTCGGTCTTGGCGTTGGTGAAGGTCGAGGTTATACCAACGACCATAAGACATTGCCACCATACAAGTGCCAATACTCGCCCCATATTCAATACGCAGATGCCGAGTACACATCACCCGAGGCCAGTCTTGGATTCCCCCCCCTTGACACTGACGCAACTGAAGAGGGCCATTATTTCGAAGCGCCTCCCTCACAGACAGCTCTGTTTGAATTTCCACTCTGCGATCGGATTTTGATGGTTCATTTCCCAGCGATCGATCAGCGTGATTTCTCTGTACCGGTATGCGTCGCTGCACTGGTGGATGGAGAGGCTCTTTCCCCAGAGGCTTATGATTTGCGTTATGAATTGGTTAGGCAATATCAGCAATCATGCAGTATTGAGGAGTTTGTACACCACGTGGGAGAAGATCTGGGAAGAAACCCTCACAGAAGCGATGGTTTGTCAGTTTTATATTGACATCGACGATCCGGAGTCCATTTTTACAGAAGCGAATTTGTTGGATTTGTTGTTCAAGCAGCATACCACATGAATCAGCGCAGTGATGATACGGCAAGCCTCATCATCCATGCAACGTACCCCTGTTGGGAGGCCCTCCGGGAAGACGGCCCCTCTGAAAATTTCTGAACACTACACTTCTACACGTATCTAAAAATTGAATTTGTCTGTTAAGGAATGAAGAAGGCCAGCCAAGTAATAAGACGCGTTCGGGCCATCAGGCGACATGGATGTGGTTTTAGATGTAGGAATATTTATGTGGTACAGCTTTCTAGTTTTTGGTTTTTTGCATTTTTTCGCGAATTCTCGCTTAATTGATAATGAATCCAGTCAGATACAAGAACCCAGATTCATATAACAACCCCTATCGCCAGATGCTGCCAACTTGACGGAGAACAGTATTGGTTCGACTTGCAATATTGACGTTCCTTGCACGCCCAGGTCTTGCATCTTCCAGGCTCAATTTGAACCCATTCACCTTTTCAATAAGAACATAACCCACACGCATGCGAGGTGACGCCCAGAAAGCCTTCTTTCCCAGCGTCGCCTAAGGATGGAGTTGAAACTACGCGAAATCTTACTTCTGGCCGATTCACTGCTCAATCTACCTGGGGAAGCGTGAGCTAGTCGAGGAGAAAGAGAAGAACACACAATCTGTATTTGGATCTGCCCAACATTCGAGACGATTTAGTATCCCCTTGAAGAAGAATCATGTAAGTGCTGACACTCGAAACCCCGCTGATCACCCAATGATCCAACACGTTATTACGGACTATACAGAGAACGGAAGAGAGCTATGGCAAACAACCTATTTTATCAACCACTGCGTTGATTGGCAGCAATACGACGAACTTCCACGTATTGGTTGGTCGCAAGACATGCGTCGAAAGGCGATGGCGGCTTATGAAGAATAGAGGGCTGCAGATCCATAACAAGAAGGAGTTCGGATGGCGCGTCGAATGGGCTCTGAGGAGAATGGACCCGTGGAAGGGGTGTATGAAGAAAGTGACGTGGACACCGACGAAGAGGGACCAGAACCTAGTGTTGAAGGAGATGACGAAGATGATTGGGACGGAAGTTGAAGTGAATAACTCATGAAATTATAAAATATAGAAATTGAAGAAGAAATTGAAACAATTCTTGAGGATTTTATGTAGACCTGTCAACAGGAGCGCCCTCAAATGAAGTGACGGAATACATGATGTCCTCAAAAGATTATAAGGAAGTCCAGGGACCTCCCCTCAACATTATTTCCTAGTCAAATATACCCCAAGTATTCTCCCCACCGGCGTAGTGTGGTACAGTACTATACAGCAACTATCACACCATATAAGCACGAACGGAGGTTACTTCAACAGTGCAAGGAATTGCTATTAATTAGCACCGTAAAACCTTTGAAACGCATAGGAGGAAGATGATAATTAGTTCAATTGAAATTTGTAGCCCCATGGGTATCAGAGAGAAGGGCTACTGCTAACTCAGACGCCAAATTGAAACCCTCTCGAACGCCGGAGTAAATTGGCAAAGAACAGGAAGTGCAAACGACAGAAGACCGAGTGCATAAGCATGGTACAAAGTGAATAGAAATCCCCCAACTCATAGATAAGCACCTTAGCTAAGACGAATAAGCCGTTCAACATAGCGTTGGGTATACTTCTTTTGCACGCCCATCTCAAACTGTAACTCTACTTGTTCCTTCAATTGTGTAATCTCCTGAGCCTGTGTTCGTATGATAGCACGTATATCGTCTTGAGGAGTCTTTGGGCGATCGGACGCGGAGACGTGATAACGTGACTCTGCATAATTAATTGCAGAGTCAGCAACGTCATGTGAAGAGGGTCGACGAGGAAAGGCGGACGGGTCGAAATCGGAGGGAAAGGGATTACCGGCGGCGAAGGCTGAGGCTGGTCGGGACCTATGTGAACCATACGCCAGGCTATGCGAAGCTGGGAACTGACGACCCAATCGTTCTCTAGGCGGGCGGTTAGAATCATCCAATAGGGTGTTGGCGATCGCGAAATCAGGTTATCGACAACTGGAGATGGGTGGGCTTTGGCGGCGTGGCCGGTGCTCGGTGTTCGAAGGGGAGGTTTTATCGGATTTGATGGGGCTCGAGTTTGAGCGGCTGCCTTGCTGTTGGATGTGCGAGGAGCAGATGGAGTAGATTTTGGTCTGAAGAGCGGCCGCACTTTGTGTAGGAGTTGGGGCCTTGGTCAATCGATTGTTAGGGCTTGCTTTTGGAGGGTCACCACCGTCGGTAGTTATTGTGGCCTCATGTCCACCGTTCTCCCATTTGTGTGCAATGCCGTAGGATAGAAGGGGGGGAGATGTTGCTGAGCTTGGAGTGGCACCAGGCGTATTGTGTCCAGAAACCCGCCTGTCGACCCGGGCTCGATTGCTCAGTGGTTGGGCTTCATCTTCGTCTGATTCGAGGTCGATTTGAGCGGGACGACGACGACGAGTGGATGCAAGTGGGAGATCTTCGTTATCTTCGTCATCATCAGCACCGTCGGTTGCCAAAGTTGAATGTATACGCTTGGAAGACTTGCCACGAGAGGCGCGAGAGGCGTGGAGATCGACCAAGCCGTGCGCTGTCGGTCGAAGCTTTCGCAAGGGACTGGAGACGGATTCTAGAACGACTTATTAGCTATTCATTGTAGATAGGCGTGTTCAAACACACCAGTCATCTTGTCTTGAAAGCGCACGAGCAGGGGCAGTTGTGTTTTGCTTTTGGTAAGGATGCCTGGATATAAAATCATGCCGCGGGGTAGCGGGGTTCGAGTTGATTCCTCAGGTATGATGAGACTACATACTCACCGGAAACAAGTAATGTAGAGTCTTCGTTGCACATCGTAAACAATACAATTTTGGTTGCTCTCTTTTGCATTAAAAATTGATCTCAAAGGCGTTAAACAAAGCATTGTTTCGTAGGTTCAACCAGGGATCTATCCAAATATGGGGCATACTAATAGAATGCTACAGATGAGGTTAATCAGGTAACCTGGGGTACTCGAGGGAAGCTCGAGCGACAAGCAAACAACGATAACACCGACAGCACCCGTCTATTCAAGTATGCCTGCTCTGGACCAGAGCACTGTCCGGTTAACAAGGGGAGATATTTCGTTTACAAACCCACAGCATTAAGATACATGAGCAATGCCGGGGTCAATGCTCCTTGTGTCGTCGCGGAGAAAAGCCTGGGGGGAGACAAGCAAAAAAGAAAGAAAAGATGGCTTGAGACTGGCAACCTAAATCTCTTTTCTCTCTCTTTGTGCGATAAGTTGAAGCATGCCCTGGATTATGGACAAGTGGAAGTTTTACCGTCAGGTTTGGTTGTAGATGAAGAATACCCTGATCGCTTAACACGACCATAGCTGTAATACATTTGGAACTCAAAATGGATAGCTAAAGGTGGAAAGACAGAGGGTCTAAATAGACTTTCCGAAATACAGCAGGGACAGTCATGTATTATTTCTAAGATGTAAGCAGCATGATGTAATCCTCTTGTTTCCTTATACTAACATGTTGACAGTTTCCACAAGGGCATTACTAGAGATGTAGATTTGTCTGTGCCCTTAAGAGACAAGGCCGTTTGATTTTCAATCAATGCTTTTTACGAATTTCTTTCAACTCAATATAAAAGATGATGCGTAATCTGAGAATATTAACTACGGTTTCAATGATCGAAGCCATAGTCAAATGATCCCAAGAACTAATACAGCTCTTCGAACCTCATATCTTCGTATGAATAGTGACATGCTAGGCAGAAAATATTTTCGAGCTCCCTCTTTCGAGCTCCACCTCGCTTCTGCCGACAAATTATCAAGCAATCTTAACTTTGCGTCCTGTATATGAAGTAACGAAGATTACTTGCAACTTTGTAGCTTTTTGGGGCTCCGCTCTCGCCGTCTAGACAACCGCGTTAAGGTTACAAGCGATAGCTTTATGAGTTAGAATTGGCGAGCTGGGTCGGATTCTGCCGCGATGTAATCCTGTCCCTTTACTACAAGTCCAGTTGACCAAATCGACCAAATCGACCATATAATTGACCAAAACTAAATTGACCAAAACTAAATTGACCATACAATTGACCAAATCGACCAAATTGAACAAAAGTTGACCAAACTGGCCAAACTGACCATATCGACCAAATTGACCATACCAGCCAAATTGACTATATCGACCATATAATTGACCAAAACTAAATCAGCCAAATCAACCAAATTAACCAAATTGACGATATAATTGACCAAAAATAAATTGACCAAATAATTGACCAAATCGACCAAATTGACCAAAAATTGACCAAACAATTGACCAAACTGACCAAACTGACCATACCGGCCAAATTGACTATATCGACCATATAATTGACCAAAACTAAATCAACCAAATCAACCAAATCAACCAGATCAACCAGATTGTCGGTATATAATTCTGGTGAATAGCACCTTGCACGAGAGCCTAGCGAACCTACAAGCTTTAGGTCATGTGAGTGGCTTGCCACTCACATACTTGAGTCTGTAGGGTACCACCTCTTCTTACTTTTACTCTTCACGCACAAATGAATACACCGATTTAGTTACTCAAAGAGAAGGTGACCTGAATCCCGTATTCGCCGTCCGTCGCGACTACCAAGTCGTACCAACACAGATCAACCAGATCAACTAAATTAACCAAATTGACGATATAATTAACCAAAAATAAATTGACCAAATAATTGACCAAATTGACCAAATTGACCAAAAATTGACCAAACAATTGACCAAACTGACCAAACTGACCATATCGACCAAATTGACTATATCGACCATATTGAATATATCGAACAAATTCTATATTGACCATATTAACCAAAACCAAAACTAATGACCAACCCTAGTAAAATGTATTTTTTCATTCTCATAGCTATTCATTGTGCTATTTACAACGTCTCTCACGAGACTTTTGACTGTTCTCATCGCGTCCTCGCTTGCGTGAGCTAGCACGAAATGAGACACTCAGGAGTGTTGCCAAAACCCCTTCCCCTGGCTCTCTCTACATGGAAAAATACGATTTAAGTTCCCTTACGCCACCTGCAAGAATGAAGTTATTCTCCTCCTACAGGAGGACCATAACCTCTCAACTTTTGGGGCCCACGTTCTCACCAATCGCTGATTTAGCGGGCCGTAGGTATTGCTCTATTATGACCGTCAGCTCTAAGCATATAATTTCGTTTTCATTTTCAAGTCTGGACCAGGTTAGTCAAACGCAGAACAAGGCTTTAGGTCTAATACCTTGATTGTCACTTATTTTAAGGAACCAGTGGGCCATAGGAGCTGAAGTATACCCCTTTGACTACCGATTAGTAGGAACAACTTGGTTCTGATCCTTGATTTTTGAAGCAACGACATCTCTAACAAGGTAACAAAACTAACTATCTGACTAAGGTAATTGGTCTCGAAGGTTGGTATGCGGTAAAAAGTACGGGGGCGCTAGGATGTTCACTTGAAGGCGAACTAGTTACTTGTATGATTGTCAAACAAGATGATAAGATGAATAAAGTACTTGTTTTGGCGCTCCAAGGTTCAGTTTCGTTCGTAGGCGCACCACGCCGGAATAAATGCACGATCATATTATCTTACAGACCTAATAGGTGCAAAGTCAGGGAGAACGCAGATTCACGCTCCCCACGTTACTTTTGAATAGTTCAAAGCTGCATGGCCACGCCTTGGCGGATGAGTTTCCTGCTCCCGCAATCCTTGCGATCTCATTGGTCGTTTTCGCCACGAAGGACGGCCGCTACCTGACCATTCGACAACCGTTCAGCTCAGATAACCGCTATTGCTACGGCTCAACATAGTGCTCGCAGTCAAAAATGCTAACACGTGGCGGTCCCAAGAGCCTCAAGAGCTTTAAGAGCTCTGCTTTTATCGCTTGCTCCTTCGCGTCGGCCCGCTCCTTCGCGTCTACTGTTGAGGTAGAGCGCAAGTTTTGCCCCAACGAGCATTCCTACCAATACCTGGCGACCAACGGCTACGACAAGAAAGGAACACGAATTCACGACATTTACTACGATCGTTATGGACAATTGTTCCAGCTAGGCGTTTACCTTAGGCTGCGCAATGGAGAGTGGGAGGGAAAGATCTCCGTGAGTGGCAATTACATCAACTCAGTCTGCACGGAGATCGTTGGCGCTGAGGCTGTGAAGGAGGTCATCAAACGCAACTTGAAGATCTCTACAGATGGCAAAACCATTCAAGAACTACTCAAGCCCTGTGCCGAGTTCGTCACGGACCGTCAATCCTGGACGCTAGCCGATCACACGACAACTCTAACTCTAAATCTAGCTTTTCAAAGCAAACTCTCGGTGGTCATTGACGAAAGTCACTCACCCTCACCTAGCAATCCCGATTTCAAGCACATCGTTGGCGAGGTCGAATGGACGGCACCTTTATTCGGCGAATGTACACAAAGGGGAAAACATCTTGAAAGAATTGGCAAAGAAAAGGTCGAAGCTGTAATGCGTGCCCACCCTCAGGCTTTTCCAAAGTGTGGAGCGGGAAAGTTGACAGTTTACTTTCAGACCCTGAGCCGGAGAAGAAAGGTCACGAATTTCTTGATGCACATACTGGCAAAATTGGGCAGGATTGCGAGGCAATATTTCTGGACCTAATGTACGTGAGGATGAGAGGATTTGAGGGGGGGGG